CTAACCACTGCGCCACGCGGGCGACCCCGGGAAATTGAAAACAACAACAAAAATCGTGCCCTGTTTTAAAATAGTTTGATGTGATGTTATGAAGAATGTCGTTGTCATTGAATTCTTCTAATATTCATGTCGGTTCAAATTATTATCCTGAAGTTACTTTCTGAATAAAAATAGACACTTAAATTGTAAAGAATGCAACTGTGTCCAGACCCCTATAAGAAAAAAGTGTATAAAGAACAGAGATAAAATATAAACATAAGATACAGATTTTTTACTTACAATTAGTGGACTCCAGGTTGCTACAAATGAGACTGTAACGATGAAAATCATCACGTGATGGTCGTAATAGCCAGAAACGAGGCTGAAATCTAGAAGAGTTCCTCTGGCAAAGGGATCAGTGCAAATTTTGCGCAATGTAACGATGTTTGAAACCAGTGTTATTAATATTATTAACAATCCTATTACTGAGTAAAGGTATGACATAATCAGATCACCGCCAATGGGTTCCTTGAAGTCGAAATAGCACCATGATCCAGGGTAGTACAGACTAACTGAACTCACCCCAACCAATTGTAACATTGAAATTACTGACGATGTTATCCATATGAATACCACAGTGACTTTGTACCTTTTCTTAGCATCTGGGACCCTTATAAGTGAAGGATTATTCAAAATAATTAGTCTATCAACAGACAGAGCACATATTAACATAGCAGAAGCTAAATGAGTATCCACCATTACGAAGGCGGTAAATTTACATACATCGTGTGAAAAACAGTACGTAAACCCGGAGGTATATCTCTTAATGATGAAAGGATAAGTTAATAAGACTCCTATAAAATCTGTGACAGCCAAAGCGGTGAACATTTTGTAGAAGGATGACCATCGGTGATTTGTTCGATTTATCCAAACTAGGAGCACTGCAATGGCATTGCCAAAGATACCGAAAAAGAACTCTAAGGCAGAGGGAACCCATGATGCCTTTTCCGTATTATTACAATCGTGGAATGGAGGACTTGTCTGGTTTTCCATTTTAAGTCCGCGTATTTCTGTACCATTTATTCCACCAAATGTACTTATATATGTTGTTATTTCAACTGCCACAATTGAAAATGGCTAGGAGATAGAGATAATTTACACAGAGATTTGGAATGATATCAAAATCCTCATTGATAATTAAAATATGTAATTGATTAGCATGTGCTGAATTGAAACTTTAATGTGCACGTTGTTTTAATTGTATTCTTTTGATAACCAACTTCCATTTTATAATCCACTGTGATGCATGACAACAAATCCGTAACTGAATATTAAAATAAGATATATTTTTAAAACATTTTGTAGTCCTCAAGCAAAATAAGTTAAGCAACTAAATTTTTCTAATCGTTTTTTTTTATATACATACGAAAATCGACGATACAAAAAGACCGTAAGTGACACCTAAAAAGGATGCCTTAAAAGCAATGAGTACGCCTTCAAGAACAAAAAAGAATTGATGAATGAATGGTGATTAAATAAATGCTAATTTTATAATGCAGAAAGAAGTACAAACTTTTCAAAATCAGTCTACTTTTTACAAACATGGGTTTTTATACTTTCGACAAAGTATTCCATTCTTAACCTTATCCTTCAACAAAAAAGAGGTTCAGCATATTTCATATTTTGTAAAAATGGTGTCAGTTGATGAAATATTTTTATAAAAACTTTTTACGAAATTGTTTTCCCAAACGTTCCTGCATCACATGTATATGCAAAGGGTCTTTTGAGAATGGAAGTGAATTACGGTTATTGTGACGTTAGTTTTATGAGTTGTTTGTACAGTTGTACAGATTGTACAATTGTACAGAAATTATTATTAGAATCATGTATAATATGATTAACGAACTAACATAGCTAACCGAAGTAAAAAAAAAAAATACAGTAATAAAAAACCCAGAGAAATCCATTTTACAAGGGTAGCTGATTATCACTTTAATTCTCAATGACCATTTAATGTCGGTTTCCACCGCAAGAATTCCATCGCCAAAGAAAGAACGTAAGGTGAGATCTGATCTCTCTCTCTTTCTCTCTCTCTCTCTCTCTCTCTCTCTCTCTCTCTCTCTCTCTCTCTCTCTCTCTCTCTCTCTCTATATATATATATATATATATATATATATATAATATCATTTAGGAGATAACTTATTTATTTTCGTTGTGCTTCTTTCACTTATCTTGCTGTCCGTCCATCTACCTGATTTTTAGTTCAACTACCTGCCCTTTTTTCCTAAGAGGAGTATTTTGTCATCTTGTAATCATTACGTGACATAACCCGTTTTTTTTAAAGCAATAAATCATACTTAGTCCTCCTCTTCAGTTTATCAGTATTTGTGCTTCATTTTCGACTTTGTTCGACATGTAATGATTATCTTAACGTACATATTGATAACTATGAATCAGGAAGTCGTTACTTGATCGAAAAGAAGTATCTTATAGAGATAAAGACTGACCTAATTTTATTTATGGCAAAGATAATAATAATTTTATATAATGATATAAAATCATTAGCCTTAAAGAACGATTTTTTCTCAAATATCTTAAAGGAGCCCTTATCCTTCTTTCAGTATCTCTGGCATTGTTTCAATGGACTACATACATCAAAAGAAAAAAATCCGTAGTACCATAAAATCAATGCCTTGGATCCCAAAACTAAAATTAAATAAACATTCATATTATAACAATCGCTAACGAATATACATTCTAAACATTACAGACAGTTGAACATTTTGAATTAAAAATCATTAATTTGAGTATTATTAAATAAATATATGAAAACATAAAACAATAGTTCAATTATATATTAATAATGAAATGTATGGAGATAACGAACAGTATTCAAGCTCAAAAGTCCATTAAACAATACAAATTTTGGAGCAGAACAAACACGGACCTCTAAAACATCAGAGGTGGGATCAGGTGCCATGGAGGAGTGAGCATCCCTTGCCGACCGGTCACACCCGCCGTGTGCTCCTTGTCATGATCGGGAAATAATAGAAAAATACGTCGACAATTCAGTGTGTAAATAATGGCCTAACAATAAGTATGAAAAAAGTCGGTCAGCATTCGACTTAGTGATAAATTGTATATGCTGACAAGGTCATTGGATCGACCATAGAACTTACAAAATGACGACTTTAAACGAGACTGCTGACATTCTTGTTTCATCAACTTTTTTGTCAATAACTTACTTTCTTTTTAGAAATTGTTCATACGTAGAGCATGCTTTTGCGTATCGAATCAACTGAGAGATATAAACCCCGTATGCAGGTGATGAAGGTATATTGCTGCATAAGTAAGAGAAGTTGACGATTGTAAAGTTAAAATCATCACGTTTATCATAAAGCTTTGTTGTTAGATTACCATTAACGTCTTTTTCAAGTAAAATATCCAAATATGAAACAGATGCCTCAGACTCTAAGGTATTTTTTTATTTCAAGCTCACAGGGATGTATTGTATCGACATAAGAACGGAAATAACCATTATTAATTGACAATACGTTGTCGATATATCTAAATGTCGAGTTGAAGGCCATAGCAAGTGTTTTCTTCTTTTCACGTATAAGATTTTGAACAAATTCTGCTTCTTTTGAATACAAAAATAGGTCTGCTAATAACGAGGCGCAATTGTACCAATGGAAATTCCAATAGATTGTTGGAAGACCTGGTCTCCAAAATCCACATCGATATTGTCAATCAGAAACTCAAGCATCTTTTTAATATCAACTACAGAGTACTTGTGTTTACAGTCAGAGTGTTTTTAACAAAAATTTTTTGCAAATGATATATGATATAAGCTATACAAAAAAAATCATTAAATCTTTACAGTTTATTTGAGAGAGAGAAAGAGGGAGTAGGAATGGTGTCAAGAAAATAATGAAAAATAAAAAAGTTTTCCTTGAAGTTATTTGACAACAAACAGAAAATGTGAAGATTTATTTAAATTCATAATAGCACTGATACAATATATCATATCAATATTGGTGTCTGGAAGTTTTCATCTTAAGTATTCGGTGTAACTGTCGTGAGACAATAGAATTAACTACAACTAGTCCGCATTTTGTGAATTGTAATAAGATGAAGATAACGATCAGTGATCAAGCCCATTAATTCAGTGAACAAAACGAATCATGAGGAGAGAAAAACAAAAATTATCGTTTCAATAAAGAACAACTTCAACAGATTTGGGTGAAAAATATCTCTCTTTAATTCATTTACGTTGATCAGGCCCATGCGCGGAATAATTGCTTTTGGAGAGATTAGATATGGATAGTTATTTAAAATCAGACTGCTGTTATTGATATGCGTTATTAAATAATATTTCAGTTGAACTGTGAATATAATTTCAATACATCATGGAACAGTCTTACCCAAATTATGACTACCCTATATGCTATAGAAACGATACCCAGACATCGTGGGTGCCTGCAGGAATGGAATATTTCTTTGGAATCACTGGTAATACTATTGCATTCATTCTTCTTTGGATCAACCGCCATGAACATCGATGGTTTTCCTTTTTCAAACTCTTCACCGGTCTGGTCATCACCGATTTTCTGGGAATATTCCTGGTATATCCATTAGAGATGCCTAGATATGCATCAGGTTTCACGTGGTGCTACCCGAAGCCACTTTGTCAATTCACTTCATTCGTCTTTGTCGACGCTCATTTATCAGCAGCTTTACTTATTTGTGCCATGTCTGTTGACCGGTTCATGCATCTGAGAAATTCGATGATGTTCACAAGCAGGAACTATACAATTATTCTCTTCGGAATATGGATTATATCTAGCCTGATATCTTGCTTACATTTAATTGGAGTGGGGCGAAGTAATATGTATTATCCGGGCTCCTGGTGTTATTTTGATTTTATAGGCAATACTACCGGAAACCGTGTCATGTCGTACCTGTATTCCATAATTGGTTTTCTTATCATTATCTTTACCATAACCATTAACACAGTCACAATGTACCGGATTTGCAGAGACCCAGTACAAAGAGGAAACCTTCTGGACACCAGTGTAGTTTCCGGATTCTATGATGATCACGTAATTATTTTCATAAGTGCAGTTACCGTCGTGTTTGTCATTCTCTGGACCCCCTTAGTTGTAAGTAACACCCCTCTTTATTATGTTAAACCTTTTTCAGCAAAATTTTGAAATATACAATTCAATCGTTTCATTTGTTTTCATTTGCTTTTAGGTTGACATATTCCTGCATGCCGCAAATCTCAGACACGATGAGAACAATGAAATTGAGTTATGGCTTCTGCGATTGGCTGTCCTTAATGCCATCATTGATCCATGGTTGTATATTGTCTTAAGAAAGGAATCGCTACGCAAAATAGTTGAGATTTATCGACATTGTCGGGGAAGGCAAGAGTCTGGAAGTATGAATGAACGCGAAACGGACGCTCTCTTACTCTAGACATCACATTCGTTCTCTTACTCTAAATATCTCAAAAATTTCTTACTCTAGAAATCGCAGACGCTCTTCAATCTAGATATCACAGAGGCTCTTTATACAACCATTTCCCACGATAAATTTAAAAGGTTTTTTGACATCATAGACAGCTGCTTTTATAATAAAAATGGAACTCGTAAATATACTTACCTTGTCATTGGTCATTTGCAAAATTATTTTGTTAGAAACATGCTGATTCTACACTCAAGTACTCTGAGTTGATATTAAAAAGATGCTTGAGTTTCAGTTTGACAGTATCTTTGTAGTATTTGGAGATTAGGTTTTCCAACAATCTATTGGAATTCCCATGGGTACCAATCGCCCCCAATTAGCAGACCTATTTTTGTATTCATATGAAGCAGATGGTATTCAAAAACTTCTACATGAGAAGAAAACACTTGCCGTGGCCTTCAACTCGACATTAAGATATATCAATTAATATCAATTAACAATAGTTACTTTCATTCATATGTCGACTCGAAATATCCCAGTAAGTTTTTTACACACTGAATTGTCGACGGATTTTTCCGTTATTACCCGATCATGACAAGGAGCACACGGCGGGTGTGACTGGTCGGCAGAGGATGCTCAATCCTCCATGGCACCGATCTCACCTCTGATGTTTTAGAGGCCAGTGTTTGTTCTGCTCCAAAATTTGTATTATTTAAAGGACTTTTGAGCTTGAATACTGTTTGTTAACTCCATACATTTCATTAAAGATACCACAGAGTCTGAAACATCTGTTTCTTATTTGGGTATTTTACTAGAAAAACACTCTAATGGAAACCCAACAACAAAGTTTTATGATAAACGTGATGACTTCAATTTTCCAATTGTAAACTTCCCTTACTTTTGAAGCAATATACCCTTATCATCTGCATATGGGTTTTTTATATCCCAGTTGATTCGATACGCAAGAGCATGTTCTACTATGAACAATTTCTTAAACGAGGCAATCTATTGGCAATCAAGTTGATGAAAAAAGGATATCAACAATCTCGTTTGAAGTCATCATTTCGCAAGTTTTATGCATATGGTCGATGAAAATACTTTGTCAGCAAAAACAGCCTATCATTAAGACAAATGCTCAGTGATTGTTAGACCATTATTTACACACTGAATTATCTACGGATTTTATTCGTTTTCCCGATCATGAGAAGGAGCACACGACGGATGTTCTCGGTCGGCAGGGGATGCCCAGTACTCCATGGCATCTGATCCCACCTGTGATGTTTTTGGAGGTCAGTATTTGCTCTGCACCCGATATGTATTGTTTAAATGGACTTTGAGCTTCAATATTGTCCGTTATCTCCATATTTCAATACACTTAATTTCACAGAGGTTCTCTTACTCTAAATATCACAGACTCTCTCTTTCTCTTGATATCACAAACGCTTTCTTACTGTAAAATCACTGCCCGGGGCTATAGACACTGTTGATAGGTCGCCCGCGTGGCGCAGTTGTTAGAGCGTCTGCTCTAGAGTCGCGGAGTAAGGAGTTGATCCTTACGGGTTCGAATCCCACTGTGGGACGTTGAGACCGGTCGCAGTAGGCGCTGGCACGAAAAAGTTCCCTCACTGCTCAATGGCCGTAAGTGCCGAGTATAGGACAAAATTTGCAGCTCTCCACCGGTAAGAGGTGGCGTCTCCATATGAGTGAAAAATTCTCGAGAGGTACGTTAAACAACATACAAACAAACAAACACTGTTGATAAAAGGTATTTTCAAGCCAAGCCCTTTTTTTATATATTATATATATTTTTACATAAATAAGATAAATTAGAACCGATTTTATTAAAGATATGAATCACTCTCAAATGATATTATATCTTACTTTCTTTTTTCATTCATTGTTTGTTATTATTCATAATCATTCCTATTAACTGAAGTTTTATTTTTTCCTAATTTCATTTTAATGGAAAACAGTAGCAACAGATCAATCTCATTCCATTGATATCCTAAATAAGAATATATTGTAATGTTGATAATACGAAACAGTATTTTTCTTTGTTGCATCTGTAATTTTATATGAATGTTTATCTTATTGAATGTTGCTTAATGATTGTTTATTACTTTTTCGACTTTTTCAACTTTTTCATACTTTTATAAATACACATGTATTATGAATTCTGTAGAAGATTACGCCAGGCGATGGGACAAACATAAAATGTCGCATTAATCTATTGCGGTCCAATATGAAAACAATCTATCTTTCTGTCTTTAACAACTCAAAAGTAAAAAAAAGAAGATTGATTTCATGTTCAACATGTACGGGTCCCAGCTCACAAAGCAGGTAACGACATTGTCTTTGTAAGGCTTATTATTTTAATAGTATTTAAGAGGAGGTTGGATGAAATATATGGAGATAACGAACAGTATTCAAGCTCAAAAGTCCATTATACAATACAAAATAGGAGCAGAGCAAACACGGACCTCCAAACATCAGAGGAGGGATCAGGTGCCATGGAGGAGTGAGCATCCCCTGCCGACCGGTCACACCCGCTGTGTGCTCCTTGTCATGATCGAGAAATAATAGAAAAATACGTCGACAATTCAGTGTGTAAATAATGGCCTAACAATTAGTATGAAAAACGTCAGTCAGCATTTGACTCAATGATAAATTGAATTTGCTGACAAGGTCATTGTATCGACCATAGAACTTACGAAATGATGACTTTAAACGAGAAAGCTGATATTCTTGTTTCATCAACTTATTTGTCAATAATTTACCTCGTTTTAGAAATTGTACATACGTAGAGCATGCTCTTGCGTATCGAATCAACTGAGAGATATATACCCCGTATGCAGGTGATGAAGGTATATTGCTGCATAAGTAAGGGAAGTTGACGATTGAAAAGTTAAAGTAATCACGTTTAACATTAAGCTTGGTTGTTAGATTACCATTAACGTCTTTTTCAAGTAAAATATCCAAATATGAAACAGATGTGTCAGACTCTGTGGTATCTTTTATCTCAAGTTCACCAGGATATATCGTATCGACATAAGAATGAAAATAGCCATTGTTGATTGACAATACGTCGTCGATATATCTAAATGTCGAGTTGAACGCCACAGCAAGTGTTTTCTTCTTTTCACGTACAAGAATTTGGACAAATTCTGCTTCATATGAATACAAAAAAGGTCTGCTTATAACGGGGCGCAATTGGTACCCATAGGAATTCCAATAGATTGTTGGAAGACCTGGTCTCCAAAAACCACATAGATATTGTCAATCAGAAACTCAAGCATCTTTTTAATATCAACTTCAGAGTATTTGTGTGTACAATCAGAATGTTTTTTAACAAAATAATTTTGCAAATGACCAATGACAAGGTAAGTATATTTACGAGTTCCATTTATTGAAAAAGCAGCTGTCAATGATATCAAAAAGCCTGGACTTTAATTTATCGTGGGGAATGGTTGTGTATAAAGTTGAGAAGTCGTAAGTTTTTAAGCTGTTGATTTTGGTAAAATCTTGTGATTTCAAATTTTCCAAAAGTTCCTTGGAATTTTTAAGTATCCACATCTGATTTACACCACTTCTCGAATATATTGTTGCACAGTACTCTTGAAGTTTCTCCTTCACCAATGTTAATATCTTAGTGAGGAGTAAAGATAGAGGCTTGGTTGAACATTTACTGGAACCCGCTATGTATCTTTGTTTGTAAGGATTTTTATGAAGTTTCGGAATCCAATATAAATATGGTAATTGGAATTCATTTTGGTTGTTTGGAATATTAAAAATATTCAAAACTGACATATGATTTTGAAGAATTTCTTCCTTAGAAAGGGAACTATGAGTATAAGTTGGATTACCACTTGTAGAATTAAATCCAAGTTCCTCTAAAATACATTTAATATAATGAGCCTTACAAACAAAGACAATGTTGTTACCTGCTTTGTCAGCAGGGACCAGTACGTACTGATCATGTAATCTATTTAATTCTTTTTTCACTTCTGGATTATTGAATACAGAAGGATAGATGGTTTTCATATTGCCTCTCAATCTTTTAATGCGCGATTTTAACATACATCTGATACATTTAATCCATTCTGACAAAGTGTCAAGGTCTTCTTTTTCATGTCTGGCCCATCGCCTGGCGTAGTCCTCTACAGAATCCATAATATTTATGAAATTCTTACGCCACTTGAAGGATCTGGGTTCCCTAAATTTAGGACCTTTTAAAATTAGTGATCTAAGGTCCTCATTATTAACTATATTTACGTCACCAGTAATAACGTGTCCAGCAGGACTATAGTTATAGGGCGAAGAAGAACATGAACACGATGGAGGATTATGTTTCAGATATTCGATATCCAGGCCCTGTAAAGTTTTCTTGTATTAAAAAGTTTGGAAGCAATAGTCGATGTATATTTGTAGGAAATACAAGGTGTAGTCTTTAACTTGAAATATGGTGGAATACAAGACTGGACCCTTTTGTGATTAAGAATATTGCTTATATTAACCGCGTCAATTCCTTTGTTGGCATATTGAAGTTTAAGGAAAAAAACGGATTGTTTTATCTGCATTTTCTTCAGTAAAACGCGGGGGTTTAAAAAGCCTATGATTGGCTATATCCATAACTACAGATCCGAGCCTTTATTCTGGTGTCGAGGAATCCAAAAATGGACTTTCCTTAACCTTTTCAAGAAGACTATTTAAAAGTTTCAAAGGGACAGAGTAAAGTTTGGTGCGAATATGATGTAGACCTAACTGTTGATTTACGTAAGGTAGTAATGAATCAAAAGAGACATCGTGTATTAAAGGATTATTGTAAGACCGATGCCCATGATTACGCTTACGTCTCTGTGTATGGTTAAAAAGTCCCATCACATTTACATTATTACACTGTGGACTGGAAAGATTTCCAACACTATCGACATTGTCATTACATCCATAGGGAAAGGCTGTCCCTAGCTTTCTTATCCAAAATTCTTCTCGTTGTCTACGGAAAGGTGTACTCAGTGATGGACTGTTTGTGTGGTGGTAAATCTTTTCCAGAATTCTAACTTTCATTGACAAAATAGAATGATCAGGTAAATTAAAATGTTTGTATAAAAGTTGCTGACCCCCATTATTTATCTGAAATCTATGACCTGATGTTCTTTTATTGAGTGATCCCTTGGTTTCACCAACATAAACAAGTCCACAAAGATTACATTCTATTCCGTAGACAACATTAGAAGATTTGCAGTTCAGATTTTCCCAAGTTTTGGTACAGAAGCTCTGTCCAGATATAATTCTGCTAGTGGTAATCGAACTTGTACCCAAGCTCCCTTTCTAAGGAGGACATTCTCCAATATTATTTGAGAATTTTGAATATTTTTGATATTACCAACAATCAAATTGAATCTGAATTACCATACCTATACTGGATTCCTAAACTACATAAAAATCCTCACAAACAAAGACATATGGCGGGTTTCAGTAAATATTCTACCAAACCTCTTTCTTTACTCCTCACTACAATATTGACAGCAGTAAAGGAGAAACTTCAGGAGTTCGGTACAGAATATCTTCGAGAAATGATGTAAATCAGATGTGGATACGTAAAAACTCTGATGAACCTTTAGAAAATTTGAAATCAAACAATTTTAACAAAATCGATAACATCAAAAAGTACGAATTTTGAACACTTAATAAACCATTCCTCTATGTAAATTAAAGTCCAGGCTTTTTGACATCATAGATAGCTGCTTTTTCAATAGAATGGAATTCGAAATATACCCTTATCACCTGCATATGGAGTTGATGTCTCCCAGTTGATTCGATAGCAAGAGCATGTACTACGTACGAACAAGAATAATTCCTAAAAGGGGGCAACCTTTTGACAAACAAGTTATGTAACAAAGGTTTCAACAGTCTCGTTTAAAGTCAACATTTCACAATTTCTAAGGTCCTCAATGACCTTGTCAGCCAATACAATCTATCATTAAGTCAAATGCTGACTGATGCTTTTCATACATATTGTTAGGCCATTATCTTCACACTGAATTGACTACGGATTTTTCCGTTTGCCCGATCAAACCAAGGAGCACACGGCGGATGTGACCTGTCGACAGGCGATGCTTACTCCTCCATGGCATCTGATCCAGTCACTTATGTTATTAGAGGTCCCGTGTTTGCTTTGCTTCCACTTTGTAGTGTTTCAACGGACCTTTAGCTTGATTACTGTTCGTTAACTCAATATTTCATTCCAATAATTTAAACATTAATATAGTCACAAAAATCTTATTTTAAACTTGTTGAAATGACTGTTCTTGAAAGAAACTATTTTCTGTTGAACTTTTTTCCCCAGAATCCTCAAAATCTTAAGATTCGACAATAATTTGAAAGTTTAATTTGGTATGAAATGAGGTCATTCTTTTCTTTAAAGCAATAAATTGATGATATCACATTTAGTTAATTCATTGATACCTAAGATTTTTAAAAGCTGCAAGTGAAATTGCAATGATCTTTTCTTGTGTACTGTAAAAATTTCGTTTCGTGGGTTACAGCCAAATTGAAGGATCTGAAGTTCAACCTGAAAACAATATTTTGTTACCTCTACCAAAGAAAGTTTTTAAGGGAGCTAATTTTTATCTTGATTGTTTGGCTATCTGTATTTGTGTCAATCTGCTAGATATGTCAACCATTCTGGTCAGTAAAGATCTGCCTTAGAAGATGGAAGAATTGGTTAAATTTTATATTTTGGTTATATTTTTAGGCATATCTTGCTGTGGATAAAAAGATGTAGGTTTTTAATCTCATATGTTTTTCTAATTCCAGGTGGTAGACTTCGTTTGAAACCTAAGAAAATAATAAGTCTTGAAATAAGAAGATTAAAATCTTTAGCTGAAAGAAACATAGTTTATCATACTTATTTAAAGATGAACTGAGTCAGACATGTCAAAGATAACAAGAAATTCCCGAATGTGTTTACTTTTCGAACTGCGTAACGGGAATACCCATTTTGGTTTGGATAAGCAAATTGCATGAGATGACTTTGATATGAATACTTCAGTTTCCATCATATGGTTGAAAGAGCTATGAGGGACATTAACACGACAGAATTATAAATCTTTAGTGTATCATATTTAAGGCACCTAAGTCTGTATTTTATATTGTCAAATAGACCGTTCACGGTAGCTCAGTCGATAGAGCTCCGTGATCGGGAGGTCGTGAGTTCGAATCTCGGCCGCCACTGACCTAAGTCGATAAAAAATGGGTAGCAACTGTTCCTTCGCCATGCGCTCGGCACTTTGAAGTGAAAGTTGCGGGTCCTTCGGATGAGACCTTAAAAACCGAGGCCCCGTGTCAGGGCAGACGTTGGCACGATAAAGATCCCTCACTGCTCAATGGCCCTGAGTGCCGAGTAAAGGTCAAAATTTGAAGCCCTTCACCGGTATATGGCGACGTCTCTATATGAGTGAAAAATTCTCGAATGGGACAAAAAACAAAATACAATCAATCAATATATTGTCAAATATCTTTGTCAGGTAGGGCAAATAATATTTACAGAACAATATTTGTTGTATATGTAAAAATGAAATTACAGTATAAAGTCTCTTTAAGTGATTATGTACGATGGCAAGAAGAATAAAACTCCTATTTCATGAAATATGGAGATAACGAACAGTATTCAAGCGCAAAGTCCATTTAAACAGTACAAATAGGGAGCAGAGCAAACACGGACCTCCAAAAACATCAGAGGTGGGATCAGGTGCCATGAAGGAGTGAGCATCCCCTGATGACCGGTCACTCCCGCCGTGTGCTCCTTGTCATGATCGGGGAAAAAGGGAAAATTTGTATAGACAATTTAGTGTGTAAATAATGGCCTAACAGTTAGTATGAAAAATGCCTGTCAGCATTTGACGTAATGATAGGTTGTATTCATCCAAACAGATGTTTTAAATTACCTGGCAAAATTATAGCAGTATAGAAAACGTGGACAAATATCTTGTTACAATTCCCTCATCCTTTTATTTTTATGCAAGATCATTAATGACCAATCGTGGTTTCATCCAAATGCAATGTGAGAGACCTGATGATCGTCTGAAATTGAACAAAAATTTGAATAAATATTTAGAATTTTTCGTCTACCTTCGATGATTATCGAATGCAACAACCAGAGATAACGTAGATCAATTTTACAATTATCCTAAAATTTTAATTTGCGTATAACTAAATATCATGTAAATAATACAGGCACGTGTTTCTATTATATATTTTTAACACAGTAGTATGATAATGACACAAGGTTTTTATATATTTTGTACCCCATAATTCCATATTACAAAAAGTACCCACCCACCCACCCACACACACACACACACACACACACATACACACTTCGTGGTGTGAAACGAATTTTCCACTCGGCGAGCAATATTTGAACGCTGTTTACGGAGATACAAGAAAATAAAGACATGTATGCCATGTATGATTTTTAGATAAATTGTCGTAGAAGAAAATGGTAATTAACATTCGCCACTCCCCTTTTTTAAAGCCTAATTTACTGCAACTCTAGGGATGGGTGCTCATCCAAATTTGGAGTTAAATAAATACCTAGTCTTATTATTATACTCTGGAGTAAAAATTTATTTCGGAAATAAGTGTCTGTGGTAAATAAATTGTGATCAATTACCCGTTAAATGGATGTTTAAATGTTTCCCTGATTTGTCCAAAGAAAAATGTTCCTGATGAATCACGTGACCATTACTTTTTACGTTCAGTACGTAATCACCAAGGAACCCGGATGTATGAACTCCACTGTGTGTGCTTATTGCGTGGGTAAAGTCTGTTCTCCATGCTTTACGTGCCAAGTCAAGGTACACCTGCCCTGCTTTGTTTGGCTAAGTCGGAAAGATAAAATATATATTTCTTAAAACAAAATCCAGCAAATTTGCCTACCATGCTTGTTTTTCTTAGCTGGAGGTAAATGTGTTTTAAAATAAGGAAATCTTACTTAATTATTAAACTCATATCTGAAATGCGATTTTTTTTCAATACCGTCAAGTTAGGTCCCTCAAACAGCTTATCAACTGAATGATGTATCGCGCCGTCCCAGAATCCCCAGAACATAACGCCCTCTACCGCCGGATGACTGAAGAACAGAGTCAGCAGATTTTCCAGAGCCGTAGCTTTTTTGTTTACGTCACTTTCAGAAATGGTGAGCTCTGTTATCCAGATTTTTAGGCCAGCCTCTGCCACTTTATCTAATCTGTACTATTAGGAATAAGTGATTTTTTTTAAAGTTCACTCTAAGTTGACTTGTTGATGATTATTTATTTAGGTGATTATTTAAATTAAATAATACCTTCACCACGTCTATATCTATGTCACCACTGTGGAAATGGCCCTGAATTCCTACGCCATAAACAGGTATACCCATATTACGGAGTTGAATAGCCTGGTTTCGAGTGGCCTACAAATCCAACATTTTCATGTTATGAAGTATTGTTGAAGTTTATACACCCTGACTTATATGGATTCTATTACAATAAGTCATACTCTTGTCCCCCTGAGTGGTAAATAAACATGTTTTATATAATTCATATATAATTCAAAGCAAACTAAACAATAAAAACAATAAAGAAATTTATGAAGATATCAGAATTACGAAGAAATTAATTTTCTTTTAAATGTTTTGCTTCTAACCAGGAACCAGGAAAAGTTATTTTACTATAAATGAGAAAAAATGACCAAATATATGATTATGCTTTCATATCGACTTGACAAAAAGTTGCATTGTTTCTCTCGAGAAAAAATAAAATATTAAACCCATGCAGATCTATTTAAAACTTCCAAAGAGAACCAGTGTCTAAAATGAGGTAAACATTTTACTTAATTTGAATTATTGAGAGGAGAAGGCTAACTAGGCTACACCTGCTGCCAAATCCCATTCACTTTTTATTAATAAAATTATGTATAATAATATCATAATAAATATGAATAACATAATTATAAAATGGCCCATGATAAAATGACAATTTGAAGAATAGAATTCTACTTTAATAAATTTTAAGAATTGGTCACAAATAACTGCATAATTATGTTAATTATGAAACTGAAGTCAATCTTCAAAAAGTTGGTTATAAACTACTCTATAAGGTTTGACATAAAGAGAAAATTATCAAAGTAGATATTTAATAGAACTTAAAAACTACTCTTCATGGAAAACAGTTTTTGCTATAAATTACTCTGCATTGAGTAGATTTCAAATAAATTAAAAATATCTTCACAGGGAAATTTTCATATATTATACAAGTATAGGTTTTTCAAAAAGCTTTGCCATCTTTAACAAAAACCTTAAACTTTAAACTGATATACACCTATCAGGCGAAGTGTCAGTATAATGACCTTGTTAGCAAACATAACCTATCATAAGGTCGCATTTTGGCTGACCTGTTTCATGCCAATTGTTAGGTCTTTGTTTTGTACTGAATTGACAACGGATAGTTCCGTCTACCTGATCAATACAAAGGGCTCAAGCGGTTGTTACTGGTCAATAGGAAATGCTTACTCCTCCTAGGCACCTGATCCCACCTCTGGAATTCCCAGGGGTCCATGTTTTATGCCCTCTTCACATGTTTGCATTGTTTGTTGATTTTTTTAGAGGATCGATCATTGTTCGTTATCTTTACCTTTACATTACTGCTATTTTCTTTTGTTCGTGCGTCTCCATATGAGTGAAAAATTCTCAAAAGGGACGTTAAACAACAATCAATCAATCTCTCGTTCGTTTTGTCGATATTTCTTAAGATTGAAAATCTTGAAAAATTGGTAAAGCGTACGAAAATAAGATCATTAAAAAATTATCTCCCTTGTCTAGCACAGCATTTAAACCAATAATAAAAATAATAATAAAAAGTAATTAAAAATTTTCAGATCATGCATTTTCTACCAATCACAGAAGAGATGAAGTGCACAGTTCGAAGACTGTAAAATACTAGACTTCTTAGGAAGATGGTGATAACTAGTTTTCAATAGGTTATATAGAGGATATTCAATGTTTTGTAGATGAATATAGAATTTATTTCACGAGTGGGACAGGATTTTTTTTATATTTTCACGAGTGCGAAGCATGAGTGAAAATATCAAAAAATCCTGTCTCACGAGTGAAATAAATTCCATATTCATCTACAAAACATTGAATTTTCTGTTTATTACATTTTCTTTGATTTTCCCTTTGCCTCTGTCTTTTCTTAACACAGTGTCATAGGCTTGACGTCATAGCTTAGCAGTTGTGTGATTGAAAACATTACGTACATAGCATGGATTCTAGCAACATATTTGGGAAGAAATTTGCAATTTTAGCTCTATCAAAATGCTTATTTACTATTTCTATCTTATGACAGGCCAGAAATTATTTTTTGCTTACTTTGATATCCTTTCACATTGTGAGAGAATATCATTTTGGTATCCTTTCACACTGTGAGAGAATGTCATTTTTATTCAATAAAAAATCACAGTATTTCACTTTTGAAAATGTAATAAAAATAGATTTCTTATAAGTTACAAACTTTATTTCATTGGAGAGATTTAATGTAGATGTTATACTGTAAACCAACTTTTATTCGCGAATCGTCAGTATGAAATCAATCCGAGACAATTAATTTTCGCGACTGAGGAAACATGCTCTACAAATGCAAGCAAAATAATTGGTTCTTGGCGATTAATACTCGCGAGTTAAAGTAGGTCGCGAATATTTCTCGCACTCGATTAAAAGTTGGTTTACAGTAAGCTATTCCACATTCAGTACTCATATAAGTAACATATAGAGATTACAAATATGTTATTTTAATTAATTATTTCATTAAGTGATATCACAAACACATTCTTCATCCTTATAAATGGAATAGACAAAAGACAACAGACCGTTGTAGCCTGTGAGTTGTGATGACATTGTACTCGTTAATGAAGAGTTTGACGCCTGGTTCTGCGCTGTGAATCCACTGAAACATTTTGGCGGTAATGTCAGGGTCATTAGTATGACGCTCAAAGTAATCCCCGTGCTGGTTTTCATTGTTAACATCCCAGTGTTCTAGTCTGAAAACAAAATAATTCATAAAACCAATCAACTCTGTAAAGGTTCGGTAACGGAGATATTTCCTCTCTCTCTCTCTCTCTCTCCTTACGTTCCCCTGGTATGACTGATGACCTCCTGGACGTGGAGCTTCATTTCACTGACGTATTCTGATGCAGATTTTCCAGCCAACCACGCCGGCGCATGACCGTCCACTCCCCAAAACATGTTGTGGCCTCGGATCTTTACACTTTGTTAGAATAAAGTTGACTGATTATGTTCATTTTTTTTAATATAAAATGCGAACTTTTGCTTCAAAAGTTGTAAGGCTGAAAAAGGATACATAATGAATCCTCGTTAAGACTGTTCTACATGTAAATGTTTTAATAAAAGTACCTACCCATGAGAACTAAGGGCTTTTATAGCGTTGACAGGTCTGGCGAAGTTAATATGGCCCTTAATTGAAAAGTAATTAAATACACTATAAATATGTAAAACAAATTTTATCACTGTAGAATGAATGCTATCACCATCAAATTTGCAAGAAAATGTATATAAATGTTAACAGAAACCGAGTCAAAAATTCTCAAGGATTGGGATATTGTTTCAAGTAATATATGATCCATAATTTTTCATACTATAAGACACAAGTGTGATATATATATATATATATATATATATATATATATATATATATATATATATATATATATATATATATATATATATATATATATATATATATATATATATATATATTACAGATGTCGATTTTGTCAATAATTCATATTCGAATATTCAATAAAACTATTCGAATATATTCGAATATTCGATGAAATAAATAAAATCTGTTTTATTTTAAATATGCATCATCCTACTCTCATGAAAGGTTTAGCGTAGGTATACTTATATTGGAAGTAAAATTGTTTGAAGACTTTTGAAGGTGTACAATAAGAAATTCCATTTTATATTTGTCAATGTTTGAAATAAATAATTGATTTAAATGTAGAAAAGTATAATTTTAACAAATTAAACGTGTATTTATAGTAGCTTCAACTGAGGAACCAGCCGTCTTACAAAAGGCAAGATAGTGGTAACGAAATACTGTTCAGATTTCAATACGTGTAATAAATTACAATTATCTGCTTGATAAGAGATATGATTATAATCGTTAATACAATGTAAACAAATATTTCCATGTAGACATTTTTCCTATGTATTTAACTAATATCCCGATAATGAATATAAAATTCAGGATTATGCACAACCCGAGATAATCAAGTAATTTACAAGTTATTCTGAAATTAAGCTCTTTACAATATTAATTACAGATTAATTCTATCGGACATTCATTCAATAATCAATTAATTTAATTTTGATAATTATACTCTTCACGCCTTTTAGACATTCTTATATTTCATTTGTTGTCCTCGATTCTAGATTCGATCGTATCTAACTAATAAAAAGTATGAAAGTACGTTTCGTATTATACATAAAGCATTATTGTACAATTCTTTAACACCTTACTCAAAACAAAATTCATGTAATTTAGTAGATTTATAAGATAAGAAAGTAGTGAAAAAAAATCAGGCGATCGAAATTGATCGCTAGTAAATTAAACAGGGATAATTCCAGCACTGTTCTAATCAAAATTTATTAATCACAGTACTTCTTATAGAATGAATATTCGAATGTTCGAATATTCGTTGCCATCCCTAATAGAGAGAGAGAGAGAGAGAGAGCTACAAAGATATGGGCCATACAATTATTATACCGTATATGCAGAAATTTTAGCGAGGATTCAATTTTGGCATTTTTAGTGAGGTTGTTGAGATCACTAAAACTAATATCGTTAATATTCATTCCACATCGGAGGTTATCTTTTATCTTTCTATGTATCACAAAATTGCAAAAATTACTTCTCGCAAAAATAAAACATCAATTTTTTAGAACAAATCGCTAAATTTGCTTCTCGCTAAAAATTCCACCTATACGGGGTATTATTAATATATTATATTTTCTATTTGCAAAATTTAGACCGTATACATATTTACCTTTGACCACTCCATAAGACGCCACTTAAGAGCGTTAACAATGACTGCCCATTCAAAATTTTTATACACAAAATTCTGATAGGCCTGTTGATTATGATTTGTCATCATATCGGCCACTACACCAGCACCAAATCCGAAACTACTCTTCTGTTGCTGCAGCTAAGGATACAAAAAAGGCCGAGTCAAAACCCGTGCTTGATAATTAATGGTTTCAATGCTTATTTATAGGGATGCACCACTGTAGTAAACATTCCGTTTTGAATTACTTAATAAACCCAAAAATTATTAAGATTTACCTCAACGCTAAGTCCTTTAGCTGATGCTCCGTTTACTAGTCTGAAGAATTAATAATCAATGTATTCCTTTTAATATAAGGATCAATAAATTTTTAAAACTTATGGCTCGTTGTGTAATTGGTTTTTTTTCCGGCTTCTTGAAAAAATCATAAACATTGGAAACTCTCAATCTTAACGAGTAGTTACATAATAAATAATATTAACAATCACACTAGCAGTCTCTGATTTGTTCTTTAAAGGAGATATCTAGTGACAGTCATTTTCTTTCAGAATTAAGTTGATTAATCTTTCTTTATATATATATATATATATATATATATATATATATATATATATATATATATATATATATATATATATATATATATATATATATATATATATATAGGGGGGGAGGGGTGTGTGTGTGTGGGAGGGGGTGTGTGTGTATTAAAACTGACCTGACTGTGATAGGGGCTTTCCTGGTGTTGTTAATTCTGGCGTTAGCCTCTGATTTCCAGTTTGGGTTTGTGGGAATCCTCTGAAGGCTGGTGAAGTCCTGTAGGTAATTCACAGCGGCGTTGTGTACCTGGACATACAAAGTAGCACCAGTCGCACCTGTTCATGAACACCTTTATCTAACAATGCCTTTATTGTTTTCCATTTGAAATTCAGAGCTACAAACATACATATATTTTCAGAAGTTACGTATCTTGTATACAAGAATCTCACCATGATCTGCGAAAAAGTCCCCTCCAACTTCCGTCCATCCATACTTCTCTTGCTGCATGTGAATTTGACCAATAGTTCTGTATTTTGTATGTCCTATAAAGAAAGTCCTCTGTGAAAAACATCACATAAAACGTTCATCTATCCATTTTTCTTAGGTTTTACTGCAAACTCAATATTAAACACGACAATTCTAGTACTCATCAAAAGGTACAAACCGTTTACATGGACTGCCGCCATCATCTCCATGTAAACGTACGAGACACCTGCTGGCATGTTTAGTAACTTGATGTATGCTTTGGCAGCGTACCATTGTCCTCCTGTGAGACTGACGTCCTGGCGGACCCCTGACCAGTCATGGTGCCTTATGATGAACAATAGCTTATTTACATGTGATGCTGTATAGCATATTGACTTTTCTTAATCTACTTTAAATCTCCGTTTAGAACTCCGTTACATGGAAAAAATTTAAACGCCAAACCTTTGTTCTTTCATACACACGCTTGATACAGTAATTGCACAGTGTAAGAGTATCCGAAATGGTTTATTTTTTATCATTAGTTAATGAAAATTGACTACGATTAGAAATGCACGAACACGATTCAACACTAGTTTAAGAAACTAAAACGAATTTTCTACGAAAAAACATAGATAAAAAAAATGTTTTTCACACCTGTTTGAGATTTTTACACTTCTACTTCCGTGATACTTGTCGGCTGTATATGAAGTCACTCTACAGTCTGCAGCCTGCCAATTTCCACTAAAAGACGTGCTCTCAAAGTCACCATTTTTCAATAGTTCGGTTTCCGCATTAGAATAAAGTACAAGTAATAATAGTCCATACAATATAGAGAATCTTGCCATGTTTCTGCTTGCATAAACTAGTAATCAAACTTAATTCTGATTCTATCTAAGGTTATAAAATAGACTACTTTTGTGTCTCACATGGTAAGTGAGATAAGGTAAGAGTGCTTTGATCAGATCTAGATCAAATTTCTGACCTTTTGACATTAGCTAAGTCCGAGTTCTGATATTTCATGAATCAATTACAAAATTAGTGGAAAAGTCTTCATTATGAAATTTCACACATAAGTCAAGAACAGGATATACTATTCAAGGCTAGATTTTCTTCCTATGAATCTCGTTTGGTACTTTTTTCCTAACGCTTTACTTGACATTCAGTTAATTCTTGCAAAATTCCCATTTTTTTTTATTTCGTTAATTTCAATTCAGTTTTCTTTTGAAAGAATTTGAATGATTCTCATCTTCCTTCCTTTCTGTTTGAATTTAGCGCATTCCTACTTCCTTGTATAAAATTTATGAATTATAAATAAAAAGAATAAATAACTTGAACAATCACATTTAATAAAATTCGAGCAACCAAGAAAAATACCAAAGAAATGTACGCTGTGTAAATAAACTATCAAAATCGATACTTCACCTATAAGCTTAAGATCTTGCTTCAACGTATGAAGAGTACATTTAGAATTTTTCTTTTGCAGAATCATTTTAAACCCTGTAATGTGCATTTACATTCAGTATTTAGGGAAAATGATACAAGAAAAAACACTTTTTAGAATGAAACTGTTCACAAAAGGTGGACAACAAATTGGATAAGGAGCCAGAGGAAACTTTAATGCTTTTCTAAAGCTCAGGTTCCTTTGCATGGTTATTCATAATGATGACATCAAAATTAGACGTACTGTGAGCACTGAGCTCACAAGATGATATCCTCGCTCCCATATGAGAATAATTGAAAAGTTCTTTTTTGCTATGGGAAACCCTAAATATCTGTCCGATCAGAACGTAAAATAAGAGGTGCACACTATATAAAAAGATTCTGTGATAGTTTCATTGAATTTTATTGAGTGGTACAGGAGGAGTTGCGAATAAAAGATGGATACCCCCAATTTTGCAGAAAGAATGTCGCTGTCCTTGTTTTGCTATGGAAATCTCCAAATTTAATATCAGTTTGATCGAAACTTAGAAATAGGTGCAGGATGGCACTATGTAATGAAGATTTTGTGCGCATTTCATTAATTCTTTTTAGTGATATAGGAGTAGTTACTGATGAGATGGATACATCAAGTGTTTCGGACAGAAGACGGAACCCCCATCTCTATACAACCCTGTTTTTCAAGCTGGGGAGGGGGTAAAGAAAACCCATAGAGTTAATCTATGATAAACACGGACTGTTCCCGCAAATTTATTTAACTCTTTTTGACCCTTGTGATATTTTTTATATTGAATTTATGATTATGTTTATGTGTCTTCAGAGCAACCTTTAATCAGTTCTGCCTCCAAGTTTGGCAGTGACCTTTAAAATTGTAAATAGTCAGCTGGTTTCATTGTATATATCACTGAGGTTTCATTCAATCCTAATATAAGTCATATTACATGATTTATTTTCATTACCCTTAGGGACTTCAAAATTCTCCACTTACTGCAGCCAGTTTTAGGTGGAAAAATATCCATTTCAAAAAAATTAACACACTTTATATATTTAATTTATATTCTATCCATCTATCTTTTTGACATTGCTGGGTATTTTAAATACAAAATATTTAAAATTGGTCTATTTTTATACAATCTTTGTCATGGTTGAATTAAGAATATCAATTTTTTAGATTAAAAAGATGATTATCAAAAACATAAATACATATTCCTGTTCCATCTTTATTCAATCAATCACATGTTAAGCAAACAAGGAAACAGATTTAATTGATAATCAGGTATGCTTTATTCCTAACCAAACACAATCTGTGAAACATGCTGGTGGTCACCTGTCGAAAGAGCAGGCCAATGGATGAAAAATTCAAAAGATAAAACGATGTTAAAGCCATGTGCCTCATTCAAAACTTACCTGTAAGGTGAACCGTAAGGTCTTTTCCTGATGAACCTAAGCTAAATGTCTCGTTGTGAATCACGTGACCGTTTCGTCGGACGCTCAGAACGTAATCTCCCATAAACGCTGTAACGTTTACTGTGTGACCTGGATCTAATCTACGTTTCATGTGAGATCGCCAAGTGCCATGAACAAGATCTAAATATTTCCGTCCCGCAGCATTTGGCTGTAAGTTAAAATCGATTTTAATCAAGTATTTTCGAAAATTTCATTCCAATTCACTTTCAAAAATTAGTATAGTCAGTGGCACTTTCAAGATACTCCAAATGCCTTCATCAATACGATTCTCGTAATATAGTTTATCAAAAGAAAAAAAAATAGGCTTTAAAACTAAACAAATACTTTACAGTGATTCCTGGGCCATTAAATAAAGCCTCATCTTGATGCCAGTTGGATCCGTCCCAGAAATGCCAGAGAATGACCCCTTCAACAGCAGGGTGACTGAAGAACATCGTCATTAAGTTCTCCAGAGCTGCCGCCTTTTTATTGTCGTCTGCTGCTCCCACTGTCAGCTCAGTAATCCAGATTTTTAGCCCGGCCTCCGCCACCTTATCCAGTCTGTACTGTGTTGTAGGGATGGAAATGATAACACAAAGGTCTTTATCCTTTTATCGTAAAATTGCAGTCTTCGGGAAATGTGTGGTTTTGTACTATTTACAAAAATTATATACACAAGAAAATAAATGTATGGGGAAAATTTAATTTTCAATCTAAATTTTACATTTATATTTATCGAATAAGATTTGTTTATTTTATTGAATATAAGGATTACCTTTAAGACATCCATATCGATATCTGTTGTATGAAAATGGCTCTGTAAACCAACGGCTCCGATAGGAACGTGGTTTTTCATAAAATTAACTGCCTGGCTTTTGATTGCCTGAAAAGTGTTATAAAGACATGTTTATATTGAATACACATTTATTTGCAATAATCCATAAATTTAATTGTATGTCATCCCAATATTAAAATAAAGGTAAATTTGTGAAAATCTCCAGAGACCGTGGTCATAGAAGACTGAGAGAGGATGTTGTAGTCATTAAGGAATAGCTTAATGCTGGGGTCCTGGGAATGGATCCACTGGAACATTTTGTGGGTGATGTCTGGGTCCCTCGTGTGACGCTCAAAGTAATCACCATGTAGGTTCTCATTGTTTACATCCCAGTGTACAAGCCTATACAATGTTGAAGTTAATATTCAATTTATCAGAAAAAAATTAAATAATATATATTGTTTTTCTGTTTTGAAATTGAAATTGAAAAGTATATGATTAATTGGGGTAATTTGTTTTGTTTTTGCTTTTTGTTTGCTTGTGTGTGTGTGTGTGTGTGTGTGTGTGTGTGTGTGTGTGTGTGTGTGTGTGTGTTTTAGAATCATTAAAAAAATAAATTATACACTAAACTAGGATATTAAATTTAATTAACTATTTTCTCTTCCTTTTTGACACAAAAAGTGTTTTTATTGTAAGATTTCTGTCTTCCATTGCACAGTAAGACAAATACTTCCATAGTGAACGTATCGGTCCTCCATCAGATTTGCACTTATCTTTTTATAGTACAAAAAGTTCTTTTGTTTCATTTCTGAAATTGGATCCATGAGTTCCATTCTTGTACATGTAACTTAATTTCCCTTCATATCTTCGGCAATGGGCCTTGTTTATTATAATTATAAAGTTCTCAGATTCTTTTATACATGTGTAAAACAATATAGTTGTTGTTAGTGGGCATGCGTGTTTCGTCAGTACGAAAAGAAGTTTGTGTGAGATAATACCAAGAAGGTTTTCATATTTTCATGACAAAAAAATCAGTTCTTCATCTTCCATAAGAAATACTCGTGTTTTTATCTTCTAATCATATAGAGTTTATGTTAAATTTTTTTCATCACCTTCCCCGGGTATGCGACATGACATCGTTTACGTGGGCCTCCATTTCTTTGACTAGATCTGAGGGAGACATTCCCTGTAACCAAGCTGGCACGTGCTTGTCAACGTCCCAAAACATGTTGTGACCCCGAATCTGCATTCTGTAAATTGATCAAAGAAAACGTATTTAAACATCCTTTTGTAAGAAACGAAATGATGAGGATAACGAATAGAGATTAATCTCATAAATCCAGTAAACAAAAAGAATCGTGAATAGCCCAAAAACGGACCCCTGGAAACATCAGAGGTAGGATCATGTGCCTGAAAGGAGTAAGCATCCCTTGTCGACAGGTCACATTCGCCGTGAGCCCTATGTATTGATTAGACAGACGGAGTATTCCGCATGTCAAATGTAATATAAAAGTAATGACTTAACCAATGGTATGAAACATCAGACCCATCGATAGGTTGTATTAACAAACAAAGTCATTATAACGACCGTAGGATTTGCGAAAAGCTGACTTAAACGGGGTTATTGAAAGCCTTGTAACATCAAACTATTTGTCAATAGCTTGCCTTTGTTTAAAAATTGACCTTACTCAGAAAATGTTTATGCGTATCGAATTAGTTTGGAAACATAAACACTTTAAGCAGAAATATTACTACATGTACATTAATAAGGGATGTTGACGATGAAAAAGCTGAAGTCATCCCTTTTGTCATTCAGTTTAGTTATCAATTGGCCATTACCATCCAAAGTTAAAGAAGTAATATTGTTTAAGCAATGCTAAAACTGGTGCTATTTGCTACTATTTTCTGAATGATTAATGCACATAATTTTTAAGGATATCCGATCCTCAGCTAGGAAGGAACACTCTTAAATTTATATTTTCTTTAAAAGTTTCAAAATGAAGTTTGAAATTGAGGTCTTTTCGGGCAACAATTTTCATTTTATGCATCTTAATATGATTCAAGGTTCTTTGAAGTCTTAAAAACGGTCTTGTAAAAAGTTGACATTTGTACCTCATAAAAGAAAAAAAATGAATTCATTTTTAGAGAAATCGAATTTCCTTTAGTCTAGCATTAGATACCACTGCTTATTAGCATGATATGAAATTAGATGTGATATGTGATGTCTAGCAATGATAGCACAAGCTTTTTATATGACAATTGAAGTAGAAAGAACTAAAATACTGTACAAGCATATAAAAAATGCTAATTTCTCCAAATGCCTGGATACATGTACCTATATTTTTCTATCTTAAATTATATTTGTTGATCAATTTTCAATTACAAAATGCATAACTGGTGTTTTTATTCGCATTTCCTGAAAATATATTTGAGATATGATAATTTTCCCTATACAATATGATTAACTATAATGATGAACTTTGAAGAAATTCCATGGGTAAATTCACGTTATTATGTGAAATCAGAGACATTTTTGTGAGCATTTTCAATTACTTAAAAGCTGATTTCAGAACCTGAGGATCGGACTACCTTATAAACGGTTTATGATCAATCCAGATTTATTTTTTACTCCATGCATTTAAAGTTCAGAACATGCTCACCCACGAGATTGAAGAAGTTGTAAAGCATTCATCGCCAATGTATAATTTGTATGACCCTGAAAAGGTAAATGCAACGTATTAAGATATTTTCAATCTATAAATGTCTATTTCCTTATATCTTTTTTTAAATAAGAAGTGGTCTGACACCCACTGGACGTTCTCTAGTCTACCAGTACTGGGTTCGATATGTCTTCTTCACCTTTCTGTGTTCTACGGCTTTCCATTTCAGCATATTTGCTATGACACCCCATTCAAAATTTTTGACCACGAAGTCTGTATATTTCTGGTAGACAGGATTTCCGAGCTTGTCGGCATGAACAGCTGTCCCAAACGGAAATGCACTTTTCTGTTGAATTAGCTTAGTAAAATTGAGAAAATAATTAAATCACATTGAATTTAAATCAGAAAAGATAATTTTAATTACTGTAGCAAGAAACAGGTGCTTTCAAGAAAAAAATGACATTGAATTATTCAACTACTATTTAATCCTTACCTCAGCGTAGACGCCATGAGTTTGCTGTCCTGGTGCCAGTCTAAAATACTTTTTTAAGTTACTGCACTAAATATGAACCAGATTATTTCAGAGAATGATGACTTATCTATGATTATCCCGGACAGAAAACTGGCCTATAAGAGTTTGTTATTTAGAACAAATACGTGTTTGTAATTCTTACATGAAATTCCCTCTACATCGGCAATTAATATATCTAATTACGAATCTTGTTATTTTTGTGACATGCAGTGAAACATCGCATACTGTTTATAATGACACCTACTTTATTGTGACGGGTGCTTTACGGAGTTTGTTGATGCGGTTGTGCGCTTTCGATATCCAATGTGAGTCGTGTTGTAATGGCTGAAGACTTGCTGAATCCATCAGATAATTAACATCAATACTCAAAATCTCAAGGAAAATTGTCGCTGATGTTGTTCCTGAATATGTCAAATGCCACAGTTATAAATCTAATATTAAAATTGGAAATACTTAAAAATTCTGACTTCTTTAAAAAATAAGAAAGGTACCATTAGGTGCAAAAAAATCGCCACTTATTTCCGACTTATTTAAAAGTAAGAAAGGTACCATTAGGTGCAAAAAAATCGCCACTTATTTCTGTCCAACCAAACTTCAGTTGCTGCATAGGCTGTTGAGCCACTTTTAGATGTACAAATTTCCCTAAAAGAAAACATTGCAATATCCGAATCGCTGAAATGGGTAATAAATCTTATTGTTTTCTTTGAAAAAAAAATACTATGACTTTCTTTTTATGGGCATTGTTATTTACCGTTCACCTGAAGGTTGACTCTCAGAGACAAGCTAGTATACATAGTCCCCGGATGAAGGTTAAGAAGTTTAAAATACGTCTTGACGACATAGTTCTGTCCGGATGATATTGGGACAGTTTGATGTGGCCCTGAGTAAGTGTGTTTCCTGGCAATGAAAGATGTCATCACGCGTTACGGTGTTATAATACCGCAGAAAAAAATATATGATATCTTGAATAGAAAAAGCTAACCTGTTTGTAACTTTGACAGATTGTCTTCCATGATAGGTGTCGCTAGTGAAGCTCGTCATTGTACAATCGCCACAAACCCAGTTTCCGGAAAAGGATGAACTTTCAAAATCTGAATTATGCAGCAGTTCATTTTGTGCATTTATGGAACTGATGACTAGTAAACTCACAATTGTATATACTAACATATTTTACATTCAGTGGATTTTGGATCGTATAATCTTTGTCTCTGAATGTACTGAGTCAATGTTAACGTTGAACGCGATAAGACATTGTGCCTCAAGGTTAAATTCTATAATTGTTATTACGTGAAAATGAGAAAGAACGTATAGTGCTTCACATATTTCAAAGACAATTATATTGTAAAGAGTTTGTTGCCTTTTATCCAGACTTAACTGGAAGCTAAATGTTACTTGCGTAAAGGGGACTTTTTATAATAGCTACTATCATTTCTCATGTCCCTCCATTGAAATCCATATTAAACAGATTAAAATCGTGATTTTTTGGTCAAAAAATGACCCTAATAATTACTAATATGGTTTGAGTATCAAAAAACTTTCTATCTATATATAGGTCAACTCCACATTCAGATATATCAACTAACAATGGTTATTTCTATTCATATTTTGACCCAATATATCCCAGTGAATTTCGAATTTAAAGACACAACAGAGTCGGCCACATCTGTTTTATATTTGGATGTTTTACGAATTTTACATGATAAGGGCCAACTTATAACTAAACTGTATCACAAAAGGATGACTTCAGCTTTTCCATCGTCAACTTTCCTTATATAATATTCCGCTATCACCTCCATATGGTGTTTATATCTCCAAACTTATTACATACTAAAGAACATGCTCTGAGTACGATCAATTTTTAAAGTGAGGAAGGTTACTAATAAGCTGATGTTACAGGGATTTCATCATCATTTCGTAAATTCTTTGGTCATTATAATGGCTTTTTTAGCAAATACAATCTAATAACATTGGGTCGTATTTTGACTGACATATTTCATACCAATGATTAGGCCTTTGTTTTAATACTAAATTTGGGTACGGAATATTCCGTCAACCTGATCAATACATAGGGGTCATGGCGGGTGTGACCGGTCGACAGGGAATGCTAATTTTCTCCTATGCACCTGATCAAACCTTTGGAATTTCAAGGGATCCCTGCTTTTGCCCTGTTCGCAAATTCGTATTGTTTGAAGGTTTTTAAGATCTGATACACTGTCGTTTTCGTAACCTTTTTCATTGTAGTGCTTAAAGGATTTGTGAGATCGATTGTTATTCGAAATCTTCACCTTTTTTAAATAAAAAACATGAATAATTGTTCCATCTAACTCGTACACTTCTCATGATTCATAAAACATTTAGCTAATTTGACTTATTTTAAATTGTTGAAAAAGGTAGTTATCATTCAAAAGATCATTAGCTCTGGAATATTATAAATATACTTATGAAAAGCAATCCCAATAATATTTTACCTCTAAATTTCACTGTTTAAATAATTTAGCGTACATTATATCTTGAAATGTATACAATATTAAATATTGAAAGTATGAATATTTCTTAAAAATTAGTTCAAAAGTTCAGTAAACATTTTCATAAGCAATACACATGACAAATAACATCTTTCCACTTATTTTTAGCTCACCTCGACCAAGTCGAGATCAGCTTATGCTTTACCCCCGGCGTTGGCGTAAGCGTCGGTGTCCCCAGTTAACTTTTTAGGAGCAAGTCCATTCCCAAGAATCTATATGTCCTACCTGGACAAAGCTTGCATAGATGATGCATCTAGGAATGAACACTAACAGACTTGCTTCAGATGTTGGTCTGACCTATATTTTCCATATAGAGTGACCAGGTTAAAGTTTTTGGAGAAGGTCCTTTCCAAAGGAACTACAGGACCTTCTTGGACCAAACTTGTTTGGATCAAGCATCTAGAGATGGACACTACAAGACTTGCTTCGGATGCTGGATCTGACCTACATTTTCCTGATGAATGATCAGAATAAAATTTTTGGTGCAGGTCCATTCCCAAGTAACTTTAATCCCTACCAGGACCAATCATGCATGGATTATGCACCTAGGGAATCACACTTCCTAATATGCTTCGGATTCTGGGTCTGACCTATATTTTCCAGATTATTGTATATTTGCCCTACCTGAACCAAACTGGCAAGGATGATGCATCTAGGGATGACACTAACAGACTTGCTTCGGATGCTGGATCTGACCTATATTTTTTACAAATGAATGAGCAGGGTACGCAAATATGTTAAGGAAGCATTCAAATCATTTCTCTGGAAATTTAGACATTTTTAAAGAAATTTAAGTTTGATAAATTATCAAAGCCGCCGATAATACTTAAACTATTATTAACTTTCGCATAAAAACCACATAGTGTCTGAGGCCAAGAAGTGCACCACCACGACGTCATCACGTGACTGCTATTAATAGAAAAATATTCCTTCATAAAATATTAAACAGAACAACACTTCCCACGGGTTAAATAATTTCTTTGAGTAAATAATAGCTGAAAATATCTCTTATGGCTAGAAAGTGCTGTTAGAATCCTGCTCTCCGGTTGGGAAAATAATTATTCCGCACATTCGTACTAAACTTTACCCGATGTATTGCATTATATACCTATAAGATAATTCTTCAAACCCTGTTTACCTCACGATTCTAGCAGCACTTCCAAGTATTATAGAACGCAAGTTTTCGATCTTTACAAATATTATATTTTGAAGTATCCGGCTTAGTGTTGTTCTTTTACATTATTTTGTTATGAATGACATAGGAAACGCCGACGGGGATATGTAAATAACTTGATCGTCATCAATAGAAAATATAATCGATGAAAATAAATCAACATACCTGTTTATCCCCTTTTACGTATCTTTTACATGCCGTCGGAGCAAAATTTTCGATACACATCATGATCAATTCTCAAGTTATCTGTTGAATAGTTATAACGTCATTGATCGGAATGTTTAATCCAAGTGACAGATACAGCATAACAAATTAAAAACATTTAATTTTGTTAATATTTGCAATGTTTCTATTCATTTACAGGAGTTTAATTACATTTCTAAATACCAATGTAAAGAAAACTTGTGTTCTAAAATTGACGTAACTTGCTTACTATGACGTCAAATTGTTTCACTGATTTAGTCAAGTCAGAAAATATGAGTGTTTCCTTAACACACCTGCGTATTGTTTTTGTAGTAGCTTCATAACTATATGGACTGTTATGATGAGACTTATATGGATGATGCAACAAGGGATGGACATTACCAGACTTGCTTCGATGTTGGAACTTACCTACATTTCATGGATAAGTGAACAAGTGAAAGTGTTTAGAGCAGGTCCATTCCCGAAGTAACTGTATGTCCTACTTAAATCAAAAATTGCATGGATATTGATCTAAGGATGCACACAAACTAGAAAAAAAAATGGTTTGAGATTCGACTCACTTATGAATAACATTCGTCGAAGTGAGCTTTGTAATCTTTGATTACCTATGTTTTAAAAACATCAAGAAGAACAGACAGACGAGCGACATCACTCCCAGGCTTAGCTTGTGACACAAACAAGTGAAGCTTGAAATAAACTTTTTATCCTGGAAGAACATATTTTTCATTCGACAATTATGGACTTTTATGGCGAGATGTCCTCACTTGTCTGTGCAAAATGCAATCTCTTTTTTGAAATGTTTCAAATTCCTTAGTCGAAACAGAGAAATTAGTGTTTTTCATGCTTCACTATTTGTTGGTTTTTAGCGGTAAAGTATCCCTTTGCCCTCACAGAGTTCGCCAAAAAGGAAAAACAGTCGATCTACAAATGATGGAAGGGTACATATCTTTTGATATAAAATGTGAAGATAAACAGCGATCAATCTCATAAATCCAGGGGGTAAAACGAAAAGCGTATTGACATATCCGTTGTTTCTTTAATTATCTTGGGAAAAAAAATTTACGAACACTTTTGATGTTTAATTTATCAAGAATATTAGTCTATATACATGTACACTATGCTCATTATCCAAACACAATCTGTGAAACTCCATGGTGGTCATCTGAAATCAATGGATTCAAAAATCCTGAATACAATTTTTTTACATTGTCTCGACATTATTTCAATTCATACAGTTCTTATTAATCTTTCAAGAATTTTGCTTATGAGATAAACATGTCAACAACTAAATCGTTCCTTAAAAGTATCAATATAACTTAAGGTTTCAGTGTATCATAAGAACACGTCAATTTATATCCATGATATACTGGAAAAGTGAATGTATATTTTATGGAATGTTTCAATCTGCATTGTCTAAACTTTCAGGTTGTCTACAAATCTGATCTTACTTGTGAGGTGAATAGTTATATCTTTTCCTGATTTGTCGAGGCTGAAATTTTCCTGGTGAATAAGATGACCATTTCTTTTTATGTTCAGTAGATAGTCTCCTAAAAATGCATGTGTGTTGACTGTACTTCCAGGGTTTACATTGTGAACGAAGTATGTCTTCCATGTTTTATGGAAAAGATCTAGGTATTTCTGTCCAGCTGCGTTTGGCTAAAACAATTTAAAGTCCCGTGACTCAGTGTATCTAATTTATTATCAAACTCTGAAACTAAAATCAAGTTGCATGAAGACCATTTTTTTTATCATTCTAATCATTCTAACTGAAATTAAATTAATATATCAAAATACTGTGATATTGTCTCCGGTAAATAGTGCATCCTGTGTGTGCCATATATGTCTATCCCAGAATCCCCAGAATAAGACGCCCTCTACCGCCGGGTGACTGAAGAACAAGGTCAGGAGATTTTCTAGGTTTCTGGCCTTCCTGTTGTTATCTGTGTCATACAGGGTCAGTTCTGTGATCCACAGTTTTAGCCCGGACTCAGCAAGCTTATCCAGCCGATACTTTAAGTCAGATATGCAGTGTTACTTTACAGTATCCAGTCTATACTTCAAGTCAGATATGTGGTATTACTTTATCGTACGAAGCATATTATACATTTTGTTAGTCAAATTAAGTAATCACGTACTTCATTTTCCTGCCACACATTGTAACTTTTATTTATCGCCTTCATTCAAATATTGCTACTCTTTGGTAAATGAATGGCAATAAGTAATTTATATTGTAGAATGATTACTTTCAGAACATCCATGTCAATGTTGTGTGAAAAGAAATGTCCTTGGAGTCCAAGACCGTAAACAGGTACGCCGTCCTTAATAAGATGTATTGCTTGATTTCGCAGTGCCTAGAGAAACAACGACATTGTCCATGATATTTTGTATTTTGATTTCCCCTCTCTGCAACACAATATAGCTGCACATTAAGTAAGTTTAGTTGATGTATGTGTGTGTTTCTATGAAATTTACTTTTTTTTAACCCTGTGTTTCATTCAAATTTTTTGCTTGATCTTTATATACATTTTTTGTTTTATTTTGCTTTGTTTGTTTTTTTTTTTTTTTGGGGGGGGGGGGGTTGTTGTTGTTTTTGTTTGTTTGTTGTTTGTTTGTTTGTTTGTTTGTTTTTTTGGTTTTTTTTTTCGTTTTGGTTCTTTTTTGGGAGGGGAGGGTGTTGTTTTGTTTTGTTTTTGTTTTGTTGTTGTTGTTGTTGTTGTTTTTTGTTGTTTTTTTTTTGGGGGGGGGGGAGTGTTTTGTTTTGTTTTTGTTTTTGTTTTTTTGTTTTTTTTTATTTGATCTTTGTTTTGGGGGGAAGGGAGATGAGAGATTATATTTTTTTTTAAATTCAAAACAAGTAAACTGATTGAAAACTTGCCTTACAGACGCATTAGAACATACCGTAGTTTCATAAGGCTGGTTAATGACTTCGTAGTCGTTGAGGAACAGTTTTACGTTTGGCTCCTGTTGGTGGATCCACTGGAACATCTTCTCTGTAATATCTGGGTCACGTGTGTGACGTTCAAACCAGTCATCATGGAGATTCTCGTTGTTGACATCCCAGTGTTCCAACCTATCAACAATATACACTTTTTTATATACATTTTTGCATATAAATTTGCTATACAAGCAATATGGAATATCTCTAAACCTTTTACAAGAAAACGAATTCGAAGTTCATGAGCAATCCACATAAAGTTGTTTTAGCAACGTTGCTTTAGAATTCAGGGTGTGTTTACGCTGATCCATGTTTATGATATCAACCCAATAAAATACATCGACTCTTGCTAATATATGAAATTTTTGTTTGTCAAAATGACAACACAATTGCATGGAAGAAAATTTTGTTTTTGGAAAGAATCGTGTTATCCATAAACACATAAACATTATCAATAATGTAAATAGAATTTTTCATGTCAATGACTGAGTTTTGTACAGAAATTAAAATACGATGCTGAAACAATCTTCTTAACTTACTTCCCCTTCGTCCTTGAGATCACTTGGTTCACGTGACCTTTCATACAAGACAAGAGATCATTTTGGGATTTTCCTTTCAGCCACTGAGGAATAAATTGTTCCACGTCCCAAAACATATTGTGTCCCCGAACTTTTATTCTGTAACGGACAGTTTTGTATATTTACAAAGATTTATTTGAATGTTAATGGTTCGCATACCTGCTTGAATTTAGGTATTCCAGAGGTTATACTTGCCCATGGGATTGCAGTGCAGAAATAGCATTCAACGGTCTGTCAAAATTAACGTGATTCTGAAAATAATAAACCTTTATCATCAACATGAAGATAATAGCTGACAATCAGGGATCCCGGAATAAACCAAGCAGGCAATCAACGTTCAAATATCCCAACAATTAAGTTGTTTTACTTTCCTTTACAATCGTCAGTCTTTATTTCTAAATTCTGACAGCCTGTGCATTACACCTTAATACAACGCTTTAAAGTAATTGAACTTCGCCTACCTCTGTCTATTCAACCCTAAACACCCTTATAAAGTAATAGAACTTACTTTATACCTGTCCTCCCTACCCTAATATAGCATATGTATATATAAAGTATATATATTATGTATATATAAAGTAATAAAACCACACCATCTTTTTCATTCCATCCCAAATACATCCCTCTAAAGTAATTGAACCACGACCACTGTGGAATCTAAATACTTTAAGTAATAAAGCGACCTTTACCTCTGTCCACTCCATTTGCCTCCACTTCAGGGCGTTTTCAAGGACTGCCCATTCAAAGTTATTATATACGAAATCCTGATATCCCTTTTGAGACGGGTCTGTCATGGAAGTAGCAACAACAGCAGTTCCAAAGGCGAAATTTCGCCTTTTTTGGACCAACTAAACAAAGAAAAGAAATATTACATCTATTATTGTGACAAAATCCGAGCAATCGGGTACAGAGACAAATCTTTAATGCCAATAAACTGACTAGAGAAAATCGAAAAATACCCCTTGATACTTGGTTATCAGACAATATTTTCAAAAAATTTAAATGCATATTTTTTATGTAATCTTAGTTAGTCCTCAAGTGGTGAAAACGGAGAAGACTAACTACAATAGGTCTCTTTTCTGCCTGTCTGTCTGTCTGTCTATCTGTCGGTCAGTCTGTCACACGTTATTTTTACAACAGCATTTCCAAGGGCGAAATTTCGCCATTTTTTGGACGAGCTAAACAAAGACAAAGAAATATTACATTTATTTTTCTGTACACATGCATTATGTAAATTTTGGATCAATGATTTCGCCTCAAGCTGCATTGATATTGAAGCATCCCAATGTTGATTTAATTCCAATTATAAGATCTGCGGTTTATTTTTTTTTTCAAAAAAATCCACAGATCTTAGGTATGTTTTGGTAATTAAAAAAATTTAGCGTGATCTTGCAACTGTGTGTTAAGATTTCGTCCCGTGTACTCGTTGTAAAACTCTGATCCTCATTGTAGTCTCAACCTATTCTCGAAGGACCTGATCTGAACGAATTTGAATCTAAACTAATTGAGGATGCTTGCATATCAATATGCCTCACCATGGCTTTGCTGATCAATAGAGAATTTTTTTTAAAAGATTTTCCAAATATATTCCCATGTAAAACTTTGATATCCTGACTGATTATAAAAATGACTAGTCTTGGCTTTCCTGTTTTGAGAGGAAAATTTCTAAAGATATTTTCCTACATATTCCTATGTACAACTTTGATTGCTTATTGTGGCCCTGTCCTACCCCGGGAGTCCTAAACAAACCTGAATCTACACTATGGTGAAGCTTTCACACAAAGTTCATGTTTTCTGGCCCACTGGTTCTTTAAGAGATGTCATTACATTTTCACTTATTTAAGAATGAAAGAAAGCATGGCCCTTCATTTTTACAAACTTGAATTCCCTTTACCCAAGGATGTTTTTGGCAAGTTTGGTTGAAATTGGTCAAGTGATTCTTGAAAAGAAGTCGAAGATGTGAAAAGTTTACAAACGATACACACACCTTTCGATTAGAAAAGCTCACCTGAGCCTTCGACTCAGGAGAACAAAAATAATTGACATTTATTGTTCCAATTACAAAGCAATTTTACTACAGAATAAATTATGTTGAATTATTATCCAAATATTATATTCCTCTTTGCAATACAAGTTGTGTTAATTCTTAACTTGAAATATACCTCAATAGAAATCCCATGTGCATTCACTCCATGCGGCAGTCTAAAGAAATGTTTACATATTTTAAATTGATTGATCAATTTTAATATACTCATCAAGTCATTAAAAAACATATAAAATATGCACAAAAGTACAATGCCCAATAAAGGTAGAGAAGGAATTATTTTTTTCAGCAAGTTTTTGTCGTTTTATGAACACTCTACATCATGTCTTCTTCCTTTCATTTATGTACTACAATGAAAAACATGCATAAATGATATATAATGCATAAAATATTTCCTCTCTATTACCTTACAAATTCCACAGTACGTCATATCAACTATAAATATTATCATTCCAATAACAGCGTGTCACTTTATTTGATCATGCGTGCGAAAGTTTCAAATGTTGATTACCATATTTCTCATAGATTGGATGTTTGATTTCAATGAGATGAATACTACTTTGCATATAAAACAGAGAACCCAGCAATACATTGATAATGCTGAAATATGGAGATAACGAACAGTATTAAGCTCAAAGTCCATTAAAACAATTCAAATCGGGAGCAGAGCAAACATGGACCTCTAAAACATCAGAAGTGGGGTCAGGTTCCATTGAGTAGTGAGTATCCCCTGCCGAATGGTCACATCCGCCGCCTGCTCCTTTGTCATGATCGGTCTCCAAAAACCACATAGATATTGTCAATCAGAAACTCAAGCATCCTTTTAATATCTACTTCAGAGTACTTGTATGTACAATCAGAATGTTTTAACAAATCAATTTTGCAAATGACCATTGACAATGTAAGTAAATTTACAAGTTGACCAATCGCATCGAATGGTTATTTACGAGTACGGCATTTGTAATAAGAGCAACACGTGGTCAGTCAAAGCCCATTGCTGGCAGTATTAAATGTATTATTGGGTTCTGTTTCATATGCAATATTGTATTCTTTTCATTGAAATAAAACATGCAATCGATGAGTTATATATTAATCAACATGTGAAACTTTAGCACGCTCGATCAAGCATAATGACACGCTGTTATTGGAATGATAGTACATTGTGTCACACGCATTTGATCGTGTTCTTTAATTTTGCGTATGAATACAATTGACACACAGCACAATGAGTTGTAATATCCTCGATTCCAGAGTGAGCGTTGAAAGTTATTTTAAACTTATTGTTCATAAACATGTTTTTGTGAAACGTTTGTGGAAATTTTCTTTATAAAAAGGACCCCAGGACACCTTATCATTCAAAGATATCAAAGCTGTTTACTCCGCTACAAAAGATAGTCAATTATTTCCGCAAAAGTAGAAGTAGAATGTGTGAAGCTTTTACAAACATTATACGGAAAATGTATTTTTTAAAGAATAACCGTCTTTGGTCTCTGTCTGTTTCTGTAAGGAAACATAAGCTGGCCTCTGGTCTATGAATTGATGACGTGTGGTGTCCATATTGATAAAACATATTAGGTGACCTCTGGTCTCCTTAATGATGACCGCTGGTCCCCGTATCGATATAAAACATTGGTAACCCTTAGTCTCTGTACAATATATAACAAACTCGTAATATGACCTTGTGACCTCCAATAGGACACACCACTCAAGGTAACCTTTGGTTATTGATATTGATTACCTGTCTCCGTAAGAATATAGTATACAGGGTTCTCCATCATTTGAAATTTTACTGTGTTGCAGACTTTACGTGGAGCACTGATATTCGTGGTATTTTCGCGATCAAATTCGCAACTAAACCACTTTTCATCAAAATAATAAAAGCATACACACATATTAGGTGACCTCTGGTCTCTATAATGATGACCAGTGATTTCCAATTTAAAAAAAATAATACGTGACCTCCGGTCTCCGTATTGATATTGATGAATCTAACTTTTGCGCCTCTAATGTTTGAAGTTCGTAAAGTATATTATTACACCTCAAAATGAAGAGCCATTTGCCTGTGACCTTTGGTCCTACCTGAACGTACGAATTATTCTCCTGTCTGCTAGTTGCTACAGCTTATAGGATCGGGCTAAAAATTCTATTATTTGAAAAACGACTTTACAGAGAAAAAACAGTGAATAGGATGTAAATAAAACCATAAAGTGTATTATTCTCATCATAGGGGAAATACTAATTGTCATCATTGTAGGAAAGTGTTCACTTTCCTATGATGCTGGCAACAGTCATACCTTCTATGAGGTAGGCCTTTCAACTAATTTTTCAAGTTGCACATATGGTAAAAAAAAAACATTTGATAGGTAGATTTATAGGTACGTGAAATGCTCAATATAGAGTATAATCTATGAAAAAATTTAATTACATAATAAAAAAAAATTAAATTGTCATTAATTGGTTTGCACGATGTTGTGTTTTAAGGCAAGGTAACTCAAGTGTGAAAAACGATCAATAAATTGCCGATTTGTAGGAATGGCATATAGATTGCTTCCACTGTTGTTATGTACACAAAAGGTTCCTTGTATTGTTGTGTACACAAGAGGGTTGACTAAACCAGGGAGAATTTCTTCATTATTTATTTTTCATTCATTTATTATCGTTTTTCTAACAGCGTGACAGTTTGCTTGATGGAGCATGCTAAAATTTTGTATGCTGAATATTATATTACTCATCGATTGATTGTTTGATTTCAATGGAATCAATAATACTTTGCGTATAAAACACAGAACCCAGCAATATCACTGACCAATCGTGTTGAATCATTGTTGACGAGTATGCAGTAAACAACAACTACACGTGGACAGACAAAGCAAGTTTTACTTCCTATAATGATGATTTTGATAGCTATATATAGTACAACAGCCTTACCAATTTTCTTATATGTACATGTATTTAAAACTCCATCATTGAGTCAAATGCTGACTGACGTTTTTCATACTAATTGTTAGGCCATTATTTACACACTGAATCGTCGACGGATTTTTCCGTCATTTCCCGATCATGACAAGGAGCACACGGCGGGTGTGACCGGTCGGCAGGGGATGCTCACTCCTCCATGGCACCTGATCCCACCTCTGATGTTTTGAAGGTCCGTGTTTGCTCTGCACCTATTTTGTAATGTTTAATGGACTTTTGAGCTTGAATACTGTTCGTTATCTCAATATATTTCACTCAGCATTCAAAATTTTAGCACGCCCCATCAAGCAAACTATTACGCTGTTAGTAAAACGATAATATAAGTCTCCCAGATAGTTGTTATAAAGAAAATATACTGACATGTTTTTTTTGTGTGTGTGAATTGTTATGCTTCTTCTAAAAAGATATATTTTTCTGCAATTAAATGCAATGATTAATTATCTTATTCTTTATACTAAGTACGAAGAAGAACGACAAGTTTGAAAATTTAATCAGATTGAAATCAACAAGGGAGGTAGATTTCACTTTATATTTTTATTTAAAAAAATTACTTTTAAATTATTGTACAATGTCGATAACCTGGTAACTACGTGATAAATAAGTTAACCATTTGTGCCGACTTTCAAAACCCCAGTATGGGACAAAAGTTCAGAACAGACCTCTCCTCTACTCTGTAATGGAGCAATATTGCATCATTAATGACGTATCATGACATAGTGAAGCAAACATTTGACTCACTTGAATGAGACAGGAGCCTTTCGGATGTTGTTAATTCTATTTTGGGCATCTGACTTCCAGTGAGAATTATGAGGTAGCTCCTGGGCACTGGCAAAGTCCACCAGGTAATTGACAGATATGTCTGGTATTTCTATGTATATACCAGCGTCTGTGGCTCCTGAATGAAATGAGAAATAGTTAGACGTTAGCCCAAATACCCATTTTTAAATGGTAAAATCAAAGGGAATTTTATGATATTCAATATAAACAAACCATTCTGGGCATGGAAATCGCCACTTATTTCCGTCCATCCAAATTTCAACTGCTGCATCGGAAGTTTTGCCAGCCCAAAGTACTTAGGACTACCTTAATGATATGTCAGATAATATGATTTTTATAAATAGAAAAAAATACGAAAATTGATAATCAATTGAACATTAAAAAGAGTATTTTATTGTCACTCATTTCGTCAAAAAATATTTTCATTATAGTAATGAATTAACGCCGTTTTATCCAAATGTCTTTGGATATATTAACTTTCTTTTTGTAAGATTCGGTTGCTGAATACCGTTAACAGTAAGTGCCACGTTCAGTTTGACTTCGGCATAAGCGTGTCCAGAGGGAAGGTTAAGGAGCTTGAAGTACATTTTAACCACGTAATTCTTCCCTGGAGTGACATGAAATGTCTGTCGGACAGCCGACCACGTATGATGCCTGCAACATCAAACAGATTTATACATAAAGAAGTAGGCCTAATTCTCATGCAGATTTAGAATCTGAACATAATGATACAGAAAGAAATAATTTGAATATTTATTTTTATCTCTATAACGTAACTGTGTTGAATGATTCAGTATCACATCAAAACAAAGGCATGACAAGAAGCAAAGCAACAACCACAAAAACAGGAAACGAGGAAGAAATGTGACATTTTACTCGCCTATGAGAGACCATGACACTGCGCGTTCCATGATATTTATCATCTGTTCGGGAAGTCATGGTACAATCAATAGCCACCCAATTACCGGAAAAGGAAGTGCTCTCGAAATCTGCATTGTGGAACAATTCACTGGCTGCGCCTGCCCCATAAAATGTAATATAAAAACAAATTGTGATCAAATATTTCAACAACATAATGAAGAACTGATACACAGCAAATGGACAGAGAGGACTTTATGGGACAGTTCAACAATAGATAAACCTACGGTCAGGACGTTGCTATTCATGGAGTGTCCTCGTTGTCATTTCTACACTATTTAACCCCTTGGATAAGGAGAGCTCTGCATAAGAAATTACATATTGTATACCTAGATCATTTTTTTCTTTTCTTAATAAGAGTTTATAGCTATAAAAATATTTCATATTTGTAGATAAAAGTACTAGTATTTGGTAATTTGTTAATCTTGCATACCCTTTTAGGTACAAACATTCAAATTTTTGAATGCTTAGTGTTGAAAGCTAATAAATGTCTTCAATTTCCGTTGGTTCCTATAACTTAATTTTTTTTTTTTTTTTGCAAAGGTTATATGAAAACAAACATACGAGAAATCGTATCAAGTTTTGTAATGTCACTCAGCATGCTTCAATTCGTCGTTGACATGGTAAAGAATACTCCCTGCTCAACTGCCCTAGGTGATAAGTAATTGTTTACATTTGAAGCCTTCTTCGTATTATGCTGACGTTTTATGGCTGTAATGATCTTGCAAGGGACGTAAAACTACAGAATTCAATCAACTATATTATTAGTAAGCATTGTATTAACTCAATATATATACATGTATATATTGTTCTTGGTGCTCAATACACCTATTTCAGTTTAACAGAAAAAAATAAGTCGGGAATTTGTTGCTTGGTTCTTATTTTCAATTCAAATGTAACGCTTTGATGATGGGTACTAAAAGCGGTCTGAAAAGATTTCTCAGACATTGAGATCTGACTTTGTGGTATCCATGATGAAACTACAACCGAACGAGTCCTCCAATGTGCCGAGGGCTATACTTGGGGCCAACTTCCTGTTTTGATTGACCAAGAAGGTGACTGTGATCCGAGCATTCAATCCAGACCTGGTGACATTTCTCACAAAAGACAGAAAAGCTCCAGTCAAACTTGTGAAGTGAGGTAGGTGGAGTAAAATCCAAATAGTAATAATGATGTAACTTATGACATCATGTATAATTAGATCTTTCTTGATGTCCTACACACAGAGAGTCTCCACTCATTCCTACTGGCCTTTGCTGTCTGTTCTTGTTGCATTTCATGACAACCATCCAATATCTACCCCCTCCTTTCTACAGTGCGGCGCCATGTTGTTTTCGGTCGATTTCCTTTTCCTTATGGTCCCATGTTAGTGCGATGTTACAGACACTGGTAGGATCCTGTCTCAGTGTATGTCCAGTAAACCATCTTCTCCTGCTTATTCCTCACTGATCAGTCTCATTCTTGTTCTCTGTAACAGGTCTTCACTTCTCACTCGATCTTCCAATTCTAGCATCATAATCCGTCTTAAGCATCTGTTCTTGATTGTGTTAACTTGTTGTTTCCTTTGATTCACACCACACGAAAATTGTCTTCAAGAGACCAACCTACTGTTTCTCGCACAAAAAGGACTTTGAAAGCTTTCCATTAGAATCTACAAGGCAAGCCTGGACACTCAATGTTCTCTTTTAAGATGAACTTTTGAAGTTAGTCAAACAAGTTTAATTTGAAAGGTTTCTTCAACATATGCCAGGGATCGAATATACATTTTGGTATAAGGTGCATACACATTTGAAAACACAACAGTGCGAAGGTATGGATGCTTTCCTTCAATTCTTTAACCTTGTTTTGAGAGAAGGAACGAGCAATAGAGTTAAAGAAAGGAAGATATTTATTTTCCTTCTTTTTTATGCTTCAAAAAAAGTTCTCAAATGATTCATGAAAGTTAATAAATTTGGGCTTATTTCCACTCTACAAAATATTGTAGGGTAACTCCTGCTATACTTCATGACGTTTTTAAGTATCTGGAATTCCTTTTCTCTTTCTATCAAGAGTGCCTCCTTATTCTCCTGTTTTGAATGGATGAAACTTTTTTCGAGCTGCTTCATCATATGATTAAATGTAAAGTCGACATTCTCCAGAGCTTTTTCGGGTAGAGGATCTCTGTTGCTGATCTCATACTTGATCAATGTGATGGACTCATTCACATCCTCGCTTTGAACTGAAAAACGCCTCTACGGTTTTGATATTCCTAAATCTAGTGTTTAACACACTGTCAGTTGTTTTACTCTCTAGTTCTTCAATGTGAGAAATCACTCGTGGTGAACACAGACACTCTTCGTAAATTTTTTTGCTAAAGAAAAATTTTAAGTGCTCATTTGAATGTCCAGGAGCTTTACATTTTGAGGAAGACATAAGATAATGGTGTTGCAAATTTGCATACTCGTCAAGTGATACAAAACCATCTATTTCTTGTACTTCAGATAAATTTGCAGGCGCTCTGGGCATAGATTATGAAGAGAGTCCATAGACAATGACATGTAACTTTCGTTTCTTGATCACAAAAATCAAAATATACTTCTGTCTGGATTTGGGGATCCACTGCAATGTGTCCGATCTTGACAGGGTCTTTGGAAATATCGTGACATCATTCTCCGGAGTCTCGTGTGCTGATTTTACATTCTGGACAATACATTTAATATACTAATATATTACGTCTAAATCTGATGGTTCAAATGATTTAGAGTATATTGACAGTATAAAATAATAATACTTAATTAGTAAGTCAATGTTCAAGGTCAAAACCTCAGTAAACATATTATTTATTTATTTAATTTTGAATTATCCATGAAAAACTGAAGAAAAACTTCCATGTTTCATTTGTTTATAATATTGCTTTACATAAACGAATTATGCGTATTATCCAAACAGAATCTGTGAAACTCCATGATGATCACCTGAAATCAAAGGATAGAAGAAAAACATAAATATTTTTACACTGTAACCGCTTAACTTAAATTCCTTACTCATCTTCATAGAATCATCTGATGAAATGAATACATTAACAACAAAATCATTCGTATGATCTTTGATATAACTAAAGGTCTCAGTGTATCACCAAAATATGTGACGTCATACCCTCAAGCGTTTAATTTCGCTTGCGTTTGAAAAAAAAATACTTGTTAGCCTCTCTTGTTTAAATCGTACATTGTCTTAACTGTTAGGTTGTCTATGAATCAGTTCTTACTTGTGAGGCAAATAGTTATATCTTTTCCTGATTTGCCGAGGCTGAAATTCTCTTGGTGAATAAGATGACCATTTTTTTTTATGTCCAGTTGATAGTCTCCTAAATATGCCTGTATGTTGACTGTACTGCCAGGGTTTACATCGTAAACAAAGTATGTCTTCCACGTTTTGTGGAAAAGATCAAGGTATTTCTGTCCAGCTGCATTTGGCTAAAACAATTTTATATTTCAGTGACTCTGTGAACACAAATCACCTGATTCATTATTATATATTCAAACCTATACTGAGTTGTATAGAACTGATTTTTTTTTCTTGCAATTATTATTATTATCATCATCATTTTTCAGTCACATTACTGTGATGTTATCTCCAATAAATAGTGCATCCTGTGTGTGCCATATATGTCTATCCCAGAATCCCCAGAATAAGACGCCCTCTACCGCCGAGTGACCGAAGAACAAGGTCAGGAGATTTTCTAGGGTTCTGGCCTTTCTGTTGCTATCTGTGTCAAACAGTGTCAGTTCCGTGATCCACAGCTTCAGCCCGGACTCAGCAAGCTTATCCAGCCGATACTTTAAGTCAGATATGTAGTGTTACTTTACAGTACAAAAAATAATGTTTCGACTGATAATGTTATTTCGCAATAATGTTACTGTAAATCAGTCAATCTATCTTCGAAAAAGTTCTGTACCAATCATTTTTTTTTCTTCCATTAATTTTTATCATTTGGTAATTGAAATTATTGCATAATGATTACTTTGAGAACATCCATGTCAATGTTGTGGGAAAAGAAATGTCCTTGGAGTCCAAGACCATAAACAGGTACCCCGTCCTTTATAAGATGTAATGCTTGATTTCTTAGCGCCTGGACAAAGAACATGACCATATCTTCAATATTTCATATCTGATTTCCTTTTCTCAAATGAATATCTTTACACAACCACTGAGTAGAATTTGATCTAATTCAATTTTACATTTGCGGTGTTTTGTAATTTTTTTTTTTTTTTGGGGGGGGGGGGGGGTTGATCGTTGTTTGATGTATTTTTTTCTCTTCTTTGTTCTTGTTATTTTTATTTGTTTTTTTTTTAAACGTCGTAGTATTTGAATTTGATTGATAACAATTTAAACATACTGTTGTAAAATAATGCTGGTTGATGGCTTCGTAGTCGTTGAGGAACAGTTTCACGTTTGGCTCCTGTTGGTGGATCCACTGGAACATCTTCTCTGCAATATCTGGGTTACATGTGTGAAGTTCAAACCAGTCTCCATGATTCTCGTTGTTGACATCCCAGTGTTCTAACCTATCAACAAGATGGACTTTGTCTTCATAATTTCTAAACCAAATTTACACTGCTTTCAATATGATAATGACTAGAATACAGTTATAGGTTTTCTCAACCAATATTCGATGTACATTAGCTATATACACATTTAAATATCTTAATAAAGTTGCTTCAGAATATATGGACTTTGTACAGGGTATATTGATGCAAATTTTTGTTTTTTATGTGAGCCTTCTTCAATTCACCGTCAACCCTTTATATTATATAGTGACAGTACTGTTGACTTGACAAGACATTTGCATATATAAGAAAATTTTGAATTAGAATAAAGAGTATTAGCAATGACAAAATATCAATAATTCATTTTTTCGGAAGGCGGGGGAAGGGGTTGGCTTGTTTTGTTTTTTTTAAATTTCATTTCAATGGCTGAGTTTTGACACATAAATCAAAATACGATGCTGAAACATACTTCCCCTTCGTCCTTGAGATCACTTGGTTCACATGACCTTTCATAGAAGACAAAAGATCATTTTGGGATTTTCCTTTCAGCCACTGGGGAACATACTGATCCACATCCCAAAACATGTTGTGTCCCCGAACTTTAATTTTGTAATGATCAAAATCATATATTTTACAACGATTTATCTTGAATATTAGTAACTCATACAGCTGCTTGAATTTAGGTATTCCAGATGTGCAATACTTGCCCATGGGATTTCAATGCAGAAATAGCATTCAACGCTCTGTCTAAGTTAATATGATTCTGAAATAAACATGAAAAAAAAACAAAAATTTAAAACAGCCTATTATGAAACAAGCAGGTAAACAGAGTTAAAATATCCCTCGAATTATCTGGTTTACTCTCCTTTTTATGTAAGGAAATTTGTCATCTTACAGTCCACAGATTTTACTTTGAAAATAAAAAAAACCTGTCTATTCCATCTTAATAAACGTTTTAAAGAAATTGAATCATGTCTACTTCTTCCTACTCAAACCTCAAAGAACCCTTTAAAGTAATAGAACCACTCATATCCCTGTCCTCCCAAGTACATCACATTTCAGTAATGAATTAATGTCTACCTCTGTCCACTCTTCCCAAATACATCACCTTCAAGTATTCAATTAACACCTACCTTTGCCTACTCTTCCCTAATATATCACTTTTAAGTAATGAATTAAAGCCTACCTTTGTCTACTCTTCCCTAATACATCACATTTAAGTATTGAATTAATGTCTACCTCTGTCCACTCTTCCCTAATACATCACCTTTAAGTAATCAATTAACATCTACCTTTGTCTACTCTTCCCTAATACATTGTATATCACTTTTAAGTAATGAATTAACGCCTACCTTTGTCTACCCTTCCCTAATACATCACATTTAAGTAATGAATTAATGTCTACCTTTGTCCACTCTTCCCTAATACATCACCTTTAAGTAATCATTTAACACCTACCTTTGTCTACTCTTCCCTAATATATCACTTTTAAGTAATGAATTAAAGCCTACCTTTGTCTACTCTTCCCTAATACATCACTTTTAAGTAATGAATTAGTGTCTACCTCTGTCCACTCTTCCCTAATACATCACCTTTAAGTAATCAATTAATGCCTACCTTTGTCTACTCTTCCCTAATATATCACTTTTAAGTAATGAATTAACGCCTACCTTTGTCTACTCTTCCCTAATACATCACTTTTAAGTAATGAATTAATGTCTACCTCTGTCCACTCTTCCCTAATACATCACCTTTAAGTAATGAATTAACGCCTACCTTTGTCTACTCTTCCCTAATTCATTACATTTAAGTAATGAATTTATGTCTGTCTACCTCTGTGCACTCTTCCCTAATACATCACTTTTAAGTAATGAATTAATGTCTACCTCTGTCCACTCTTCCCTAATACATCACCTTTAAGTAATGAATTAACGCCTACCTCTGTCTATTCTAGACGTAATACATCTCATTTAAGCTATTGAACAGAAATCTGACCATTCAACCCCAATAAAACACCTAAATAAATAAACCATCTCTTTCCTTTAACCTTTACTAGATCCATCTAATGTAATTGAACCACAGCTATTCTATCCAAGTCATTTAAGTAACAAAACTAGCCTCACCTCTGTCCACTCCATGGCCATCCACTTCAAGGCACCTTCAAAGATTGCCCATTCAAAGTTATTGTACACGAAGTCCTGATATTCCTTTTCTGACTGATTGGTCGGTCATGGATTGAGCGACCACAGCAGTTCCAAAAGCAAAATTTCGTTTCTTTTGGACCAACTTCACAAAAAGAAGATGTATAATATTATAACATTAATACATAAGTATACGGACAAATATCTTGAAAGCCAATCAACGGACTTAAGAAAGTCCAGAAATACAGGAATACTTTGTGATATGGCAAATACACATTATAGCATCATCGGAAGGTCGTGGGTTCAAGCTCCGTTCGCAACAGACCTAAGTCGATAAAAATTAGGTAGCGACTATTCCTTTGCCAAGCTCTCGGCACTTAGAAGTGAAAGTTGCGAGTCTTTCGGATGAAACCTTAAAAACCCGAAGCCCTGTGTCACGGTAGGCGTTGTCACAATAAAGATCCTCACCACTCAATGGCACTGATTGCCGAATAAAGGTCTGAATTTGAAACCCTTCACCGATATACGTTGACGTCTCTATGTGAGTAAAAAATTCTCAAATGGAACGTAAAACAACATGAATTAATCAATCAGTCTCATCAAGCATGAAAAGCCTGTTTTGATATTTTCACAACACGTAAAGTACGTTTGTATGGACATCTGTGTACCTATAGCGCCGAAAAGTGTCAATAAGACATGAATGCCCCCTGTTACATTCAAATTTTAAAAGATCAATTAATGAAAATGAAGCAAATTTGAATATCATATTACAACTTCTTTTTTATTTTATAGTAAACGTGATGACTTTAACTTTTCAATCGTCAACTTCCCTTACTTATGCGGCAATACACCTTCATCGACTGCATATGGGGTTTGTGTCTTTCAGTTGATTCGATGCGCAAGGGCGTGCTCTGCGTGTGGGCAGTTTCTGAAGCAAGGTAAGTTGTTGGCAGACGGGTTGGGTTGATGGAACGGGAATATCAGCGGTCTCGTCTGGGGTCGTCATTTCGTAAGTTCTATGGTCGATAAAATGACCTTGTCAGCAAATACAATTTATCATTAAGTTAAATGCTGACTGACGTTTTTCATACTAATTGTTAGGCATTATTTACACACTGAATTGTCGACGGATATTTCCGTTATTACCCGATCATGACAAGGAGCACACGGCGGGTGTGACCGGTCGGCAGGGGATGCTCACTCCTCCATGGCACCTGATACCACCTTTTATTTTTTCGAGGTCCGTGTTTGCTCTGCTCCAAAATTTTTATTGTTTAATGGACTTTTGAGCTTGAATACTGTTCATTATCTCCATACATTCCATTACTCTTATTGAATTATTGGTGGACATCATTACTTATTATAAACCAGCACATCAGAAGAAAATAATCAGGAAAACAGTGCATGAATTCATGAATATTTTCAAAGCATAAGGCTGGTGAAACCCGGAAAATGGTGATGGATTAGAAATTCTCAATGTCCAAGGGCAATAACTTTCGAGAAATGGGTCAATCGTCATGAACTTTACATTGATCCGAAAATCATCAGTATAATGAGAGCTGCTAAGATTCCGCTCCTCTTCTCAAAAACAATTTATGTCAATATTCATGCATACCTCGATCGATATACCACGTGCATTAACTACTGTGGCAATCTAGATAATTAAACAAATACATACATTTAATAAATGAAGTGTTAAAACAGTTTATCGCTTATCCCTAACCCAGTCAGTGAAGCATTTTCAAAAGTGCATGAAATATGTACAAAAAGGGCCAAAAACAGTGGAGAAGCTTTTATTATTATCATTATTATTAAACATTTATAGAGCGCCCTATATATTAAACTCTAAGGCGCTGTACAAGCATATTATATAAAACAATAAAATTTACAGCAATCATATATGAAATTATAAGATAAATGTATCAAATTTCAGTGTCCACACTATACATAAAATACTAAAAATAAGATAAATAGGATAAATATTTAAAATGTAGTCACCCTAATGTAATTAAAGGATTAAATACACAGTCTATTTACAAGTCATATGTCTTTTTAAAAAGAAAAGTTTTTAGCTTTTTCTTAAAAATTTTTATTGAGTAACATTTTCTAAGATACAAAGGGAGAGAGTTCCATAAGGTAGACACAGCTCTGTCGAATCGTCTATTCCCATATGTCACAGTCCTTGTTGACGGAACCACTAAAATATTTGATGATTCTGAGCAGAGGCTACGCGAAGGTGTGTACGGCTCAATTAGTTCGCAAATATATGTTGGAGCTTGTCCGTGGAGTGCTTTGTATGCATAGACAAGAGTCTTAAATTGGCAACGAAACTCTACCGGCAGCCAGTGAAGCTATATATAACAAACAGGTAATTGACAGATATTTCATAAGCAAAATCATTTCCAGATCAGTTACATTAATTTTACTCCTTTTTTTAAAACATTTTTGACCAATTAACCACTACCAAAAGTAAATTGTAGCGGGGGAAAATCTGACAAAAAACTTCTTCCAATTAAATATTCTTACGCTTTTTTCTAATTTTTATATAATAGCTTTCGGTAGGATACGCCTCTTTCAATCCAGTTGAGCAATATGGGCCAAAATGATCAGGAAAGACCTGTAATGTGTAGCCATATTTCGTCATCAATGACGAGTCATGATAAAGTGAAGCAGGAAAATGAGAGATGGAAAGACAAGAACTCTGCTTTGAAGTCATATTACGCCATAAATGACATATACTGACGAGGAGAAGCATAGAAGCATTTTAAAAGATTGTTTAACTCACTTGAATGAGACGGGAGCCTTTCGGATGTTGTTGATTCTATTTTGGGCATCTGACATCCAGTGGGAATTATGAGGTAGCTCCTGGGCACTGGCGAAGTCCACCAGGTAATTGATTGATATGTCTGGTATCTCAATATATGTATAAGCGACGGTGGTTCCTAGAAGAATGAAAAGGGTGAAGATAACGGACAGTGATTAAAAAAACTACAAACAATACAAATCTGTAGACAGGGCATAAAACACCTATGTATTGATCAGGTAGACAAATTAGTTAACGAACAAGGTTCATTTAGGGCCTTTTTTGGCCCTGGGAATTTCAGAAAAACTGAAACTGCTTGGTTTTAGTTGACATTGCATTAAATATCATTTAGACCTTTGATGACTGCGTATCTATCAAAAATGACGTAATTTTCCGGCTAGCCAATGCATTATGACGTCATGAAATGCGTCATTTTCCTAATATCCTGAAAAATTCTACAAAAACAGCTAATTTTTAAAGCTATTTTTCGATATTTAATGAGCGCAACCTCTGATCTAAAATATGCAACTATTAAATGATAGAACTATTTCTGAGGATTACAAAACATGTTTTATTTTTTAGATCAGAGGGTGCGCTCATATTATTTCTCTTCTGTTAAAGTACTCAAATATACTTGTTTTCCTTAAAATTCAAGAAACACTGCAATTCCATGAAGCTTGTTTTCCAAGACCTTGGCTTTAAGGAGAAAAATTTTTAATAGAAAATGAAAGTACTAAGTCTCTATCTTGATGTTAAAAATGGAACATAAAGTGTTAGTCAATGAATTGGTATATCTACAGGGCCATTTTATGCATAAAGTGAACCTTGCTCTTTATTATAAAAATAAAGGCCTAACAGTTTGTTTGAAATATGTTGTATGAAATTAGAAAAAGCAGGATAAGTTTTTTTAATAGTAAAATCAAAGAGGGTATAGCATAATTCAAAATAGATTAACCAACCATTTTGAGCATGAGAATCGCCACTTATTTCCGTCCATCCAAAATTTAACTGTTGCATAGGAAGCTTAGCCAGCATGAAGTACTTTGACTTTCCTTAACGATAAAAAGGCGGTTGATACGAATTGTATAAATAGAAAAGCTATGAAAATTAATGACAGAAACTGAGCTTAGAAATGTGTGTTTAATTGTCACTTATTCTATCAAATATTATTTTCAGTACCAAAAATCTCTTTGAGAGTCAAATATCATATAGTAACTTTCTTTTTGTAAGATACCGTTAACAGTAAGAGCCACGTTCAGTTTGACTTCGGCATAAGCGTGTCCAGAGGGAAGGTTAAGGAGCTTGAAGTACATCTTAACCGCGTAATTCTTCGCAGGTCTGTAGGACTGCGGACCACGCATGATGTCTGCAACATGACAGATTTACACAAGAACAAGTAAGCCTTATTCTCATGAATAAACAGATAATTCAGAAACAGGTCTAGAAACAATTACTCAAAACAAAGGCAAAGTAAATAGCAATGCTACAACCACAAAAACGGGAAACGAGGAAGAAATGCAACATTTTACTCGCCTATGAGAGACCATGACACTGCGCGTTCCATGATATTTATCATCTGTTCGGGAAGTCATGGTACAATCAATAGCCACCCAATTTCCGGAAAAGGAAGTGCTTTCAAAATCTGCATTGTGGAACAATTCACTGGCTGCGCCTGTCCCATGAAATGTAATACAAAAACAAATTGTGACCAAATATTTCAACACCATAGTGAATGCCGATACATACCGAATGGCCAGAAAAGAATTTATAGGGCAGTTCTGCATAGATAAACCTAGAGGTAGGACATTGCTATTTATGGAGTCTCCCAACAAATTACAAAGTACATACGCCCGTTATATAAGTTTTATTTCTTGGTTCAAATGCAACTTTTTTCTTACAAAATATGATACCATTAAACTTCGATCGTTCACATTTTCCTGCAATGACAAACAAAATATAATTGAATAAAGTACAGATAATCATATTTGTGGACGACTTATCTTAAAAATAAATATCATTGTTTTCTAACACATTTTCTGCAAAAATTACATTGAAACTGAAAATAAATCAATCGTATTTTAAAATTATTTATTGAAAATCGACATAAATCAACTTTACGGTATTGTATTAACACTCGACATTTATCGAGTGCTTTAAGTATTATATTAACACTAAACATGTATCAAGTGCATTAAATGCCTTATACACCTGTCAAACAGGTAAAAGATGAGACGGGATTTTGTTAATTTGTTGACCAGTTCTTATTTTTAATTCAACAGTAAATTTCCCTGAAGGGTGTAGACAAAAAGCGGGCCAAAGAGGTTTTTCAAACATGACGTCATCAAATCGTACGATGAGATCCGACTCTGTTGTGTCCACGATGGATATACAGCCATTTGTATCATCCACGAATATCCCGATTACTTTTCTCAGGGAAGACTTCCTATATACAAGACCGACAGGTAAATGACTGACAAGGTGACCGTGATCCCAGCACTCAATGCAGACCTGGTGACATTTCTCACAAAACAAGACAGAGAAGCTCCAGCCAAACTTGTGATGTCGAGTAGGTGACGTAAAGTCAGACATTTCCAAATTAGTAATAATGACGTCACATATGACATCACTGAAACTAAGATCTTCCCAGATGTCATACTTTATTTCGACTTCAAAATACGCTGCACAAGGAGAAAAGAACCAGATGGAGCCGGCAATTCCATTGTACACGCTGCCCTTGTTGATAAGGGTCGTCTGATACTGCGATACCGCTGTAGATGTGTTGGAAATTATCAGCTTATTTCGAGAAATGTAGCAGTTCTTGTGTAAAGTTGACTCATCAAGATGAAAAGGGGGACCTGAAAGTAAAAGAAAAATCAATACACAAGTAGGCTTTATATATTGAGTATGATTTATTGAATGTTAGCTACTAGTGTGTTACAGGTATAGGTCATTCGGTAGCGCTCTAATCCGGATGAACCTGAATTGATGGGTTTCCTTGGAGAAGTCAAAGGCTTCATGTCATCTGCAATTTAAAAAAAATGTTAATGATAACCATGAGAACACTGGTATATTTAACCATAACTCAAATACTGATTAAGAATAAGTGTCTGTTATTTGGTGATTTCTATCAAGACACCACGTGATGAGAATTACCTGCCACTAGATTGTTTATCGTTCGTAAAACATCAGATTAAAAAAGTATTTATTACATTTTCAACAGTGAAATACTGTTATTTATTTATTGAATAAAAGTGATATTCTGTCACAGTGTGAAAGGAAACAAAAGTGATATTCTATCACAGTGTGAAAGGATATCAAAGTAAGTAAAGAATAATTTCTGGCCTGTCATAAGATAGAGATTGAGTAACTAAACCATCTTGATAGAGACTAAAACTACCAATTTCTTCCCAAATATGTTGCTAAAATGTTACAATGTTTTTAATCTCACAATTGCTAAGCTATGACGTCTCAACCGCTCAAAAATAACGTCACAGACTGGCATTGTGTTAACTAACAAAAGACAGAGGCAAAAGAAATTCAAAGAAAATGAAATATGCAAAAAAAATTCACAATTCACTCGTGAGACAGGATTTTTTTTATATTTTCACTGGTGCTTCGCAATTCCATATCCAACTACAAAACATTGAATATTCTCTATTTCATACATTATATAAAATCGGATATAATGAGGATCGGATACCTTAATTGACTAAACATTAGTATATATATATATATATATATATATATATATATATATATATATATATATATATATATATATATATATATATATATATATATATATATATATATAATGGTTACAAACCTTGTGACAGAACTAAATCAGGAATGGGACTTTTCATAATATCAATGCATTGAACACCATCTACAAATAGGTTATTGAAATAAGTGAAAGTGTGCAAGACTTCAACTAGTAAGCAACAAAATAAATTGCTTCGAGTGTCTATAATTCTGTATATTATTTTTTATTATTTTAGGAGCCGTCACAATCGATAAACTGCATTTAAATTAATTTCCCCTTTTCCCGTGAGATCTGAGATTTTAAATTTTATTTTTAGAATAAGATATTCTATTGAGAATGAAAAATTAACTTTAATGTCAAATATTTTTCTCAGTCAAATAAACTTAAACTTCTGGATCTCATAGAACTTATAGTACTTGTGAAACAGGAATGACCAATAACAGTCAACCTACCATCAGGTGACAGTGGTCTCTCTATAATGTCCAGCTGCTGGCTATGGGTGTAAAATGGCCGTCCATGTATAAAGACTTCCACGCTATAGATACCAGTCACATCCACACGAAATTGTGTCTTTAGAAGACCGCCGTCCTCTCTCTCACACGGGCACAAGGATCGTGTTACCTTTCCACTGGGATCTACAAGACAAACCTGGACGTCCATTTCTTCTTCCTCAATGCCTACTTGATGTTGATCAAACAACTCAATTCTAATTTCAATAGTTTCTTCAACATGTGCAAGAGATGGAATATACATTTTGGTATAGGGTGCATACGCATTTGAAAATACAGTGGTACCGAAGATATCGATTCTCTCCTTCAGTTCTTCTAGCATGTTCTGAGAGGAGAAACGAACGGTAGAGTTAATGCAAGGAAGACATCTATTATCCTGATCTGTTAGCTTCAAGAATTGTTCTCTAATGATTCGTTCAAGGTTAATAAATTCTGGTTTATTTCCACTCTCCAATATATTTTTAAGGTAACTTCTGCCATCCTCTATAACGTTTTTATGCATCTGGAATTTCCTTTCTTGTTCCATTAGGAGTGCCCTTTTATTCTTTTGTTTTGATTGGATGAATGTTTTCACTTCGGACTTTCTTCTTTCAAGTTGCTTCATCAGGAGATTAAACGTAAAGTCGGCGTCCCCCAGAGCTTCCTCGCTAAGTCGATCCACGTTGCTGATTTCGTCCCTAATCAACGTTATGGTGTCATCAACACCATCACTTTGATGCTGCAAAACTGCCTCTATGGTTTTGATATTCTTTAATCTAGTCTCAAACACACTTTCAATTGTTTTTACTTTGTGGTTGTCTTCAATGTGGGGAATCACACATAATGAGCACAGACACCGTTCACAACTTTTATTGCTACAGAAAAATTTTAATCGCTCATTTGAATGCCCAGGAGCTTTACATTTTGAAGAAGACATAACATAATGTTGTTGCAAATTTGCATACTCTTTAAGTGAAACAATACCATGATCGCGGTACTTCTTGTACTTCTGATGAATTTGCAGGCACTCTGAGCAAAGATTATCAAGACAATCCATACAACGATGTGTTGCCTTCGGTTCTTGATCGCAGAAGTCGCAGTAGACTTCTGTCTGGGTTTGGGTATTCTCTGCAATGTATCGCATCTTGACAGGGTCCTTTGGAAATAGAGTGACGTCATTCTCCGAAGTCTCGTGTGCTGATTTACATTCCGGGCAATTCAAAATCTCATCAAAGACGAGTTCGCACAGACAGTCCAGGCATACGTCATGTAGGCATGGTAACAGACGTGGTTGATGATCCTCGTCATTATACACGTGGTTACATCGGCGACATGTGACTGAGAAAACCCGCGAATCCAGATTCTTTATCGCGTTCGTGTCTGACATATCTGAAATGGATAAGGGGGGAAATTAAAAGAATTTACATTGCCAATTAGGTTAGCATGAATGCCAAAAAAAATGTTTTCAATGATGTACAGTGAAGTATGATTGTACTTACCTCTAGTGGAGGACTATCATCAGTAATATACAAAATAGACATACCAGAATAGACAAACTAATGTAGACATTCCAGTATAGACAAACTAATGCTTTACCAATGACAACGTTTAAGATTGTGCTTTGTTGTTTAATATGCAAGACAAAGGATCTTATCGTTGTGTTTAAGTCAATATAATCCAATTATCTTTGGCATCGCATTTCATTACATCTATTATTCATGGGTGTAGCTTAAAGTAATTCTGAATGAATGATACAAGGTATTTAAATATACGCGATAAAATAGGCGCGGATCAAAGCTTTCTGTTCTTTAAATAAACCAGGAAGCGATATAAGCCTCTTCAGTGGGTTTACTCCTCAAGATATTAGCATTTTAAAAGTTAAAAAGGAGTGCACACTTTACGCAGCACTTTTATTTACTTGTCTCGAGGGAATTCGTAGCTAATTAAAAGGGAAGTTTATTTATGGCGTTTTCCTTTGAACATCACACTAAGACCCTGTAACTCGGAGGACCCACAGCGACCTAACTGATAAAATAATTATCAATACATACTTACACCTTGCTATGAACTTATTTTACTTCCTGGATCTTAATTGTTTACTCATAATTCACATTTAATTTTAGAGCTCTCATTCGTGGCGTTTGTGTTTTAGCGTTTGCGGTTTTATGTTTTACTTTAAGGGACGTGCATTACACGTGAATAGGTCACGGGAGGGAATATAAATAATGACGAGGACAACACAGTATGTGGACGCTTTCTGGGTATGTATTCAAATTCGGTCAATTGTGTAATACTTGAATTACTAGGTAATCGCTAGAAACGTTTATTATTCTATTTTTTTTACATACACATAAAGATAGATGTTTTAAATGATTTATAGGCTCTAGTTTCACATATGTTGACGTGTTTTATTAACAAAGGGTTTTTATCTCTACATCTTACGATAGAAAGTTAATAAAGCTATATAAACAGCTGTCATCGAGTACTCGTATGTCTAAAAGGTGTCAGAAATGTTCAATTTGCATATTCGTATTTCTGTCTTTTTAAAAAAAAAAAAAAAAAAAACACGTGAGTTTAAACCTATATTACCTCCTTTCGTTGATTTTACAAACCGGTTCTAGAATTCTCTACTTTTTGTTTGCTCGTGTATTCAGGACCCCGACTTCACCAATACTAAAGGTTTTGAGATCCTCTCCAAAAGAAACAAAGACATAAGGAAGGTGTCAAAGGAGTTAGAGGATTATTACAAAGAAAGGTAGGGTTATAAATTAATGTATTACACGGTCCCAAGGTTTTCCAGTGTGAATATACAAGACAGTTTAAGACAACATAAATAATAACAAGGAAAATACATAAGCTGAAATTTGTTAGAGTTTGTAATCGTAAATTTTAAGCGAGGATGAAGGGGCGGTCATAAACATATCGCTAACGAATTCATTTTAATATCAGTTTAGATTGTTTATCACAATGACCTTAATATATATGTCGGTGTTTATTATTACAGAGCCAAGGCAGAACAGGTGTACAGCAAAGCGATCCAAGCCCTGGTCAGGAAACTAGAGGCTAAAGAAGAAATCGGGTATGTATAATAGTGGGGGAAGAGTTTCTGTATGAAAAAAGTTTATTCTAAAGTTTACTAGTAAATAATACAAGAATTTCTTACTATAGGAGAGAGAGAGAGAGAGAGAGAGAGAGAGTTAACAATTTAAACTATAAAAGAATGAGAAACGCCATTAAGGCCTTTTACTAATTCATACTCCTGTGATTACGTATAGGGACCTGGGTAAGGCAGTAAGGGAACTAAAAACTCAGACAGAGAGGATCGCCCGAACTCATGAACAGGCAGGAAGTGACTTCCAAATACTCTACAACGAGCTCAGCAAATTCGACGACGACCATAAATCTATTAAACAACAGGTGAGCATTTTAGGACACGTCCGCCCAATACATCAGTAGCTAGCTCACCTGAGCCAATGTGTGTGTTAAAAACTCTCATTCGTTTACATGGAGTCGCTCAGCTTCGCAGGGCACTAAGACGCAAATTGAAAAAAAATTAAATGATACTATCAAGGAAGAATATGTCTAGATAAAAAAAAAACGAAGGCAAAATTTGTATAATGATTTACTGACATATCTACTGCACTACTACACAATTATTAGGAAATTCTAAAATTAAGATATATATGTATATATGATTCCTAGGAAAATGTAAACGAACATATCTTTTATACGTATTTTTAACTCTGAATACTTAATGATATTCACGCCAAAATGACAATGAACACATGGTCCTCTGTTAAGCTTATATGTTTGAAGTTTGCATGTTAACGGTGGTCATGCATGAAGCAATTAAAAAACAATAGAGTGATTGTTTCGGATTGGGAACTGGAAATGATATGTATGTTTCAAATCATTCATGTCACTTGAGTCTGTCAGAAATGTTAACTGATTAAGAAATCAAGGTTATGTAATTTTTGTATTTTTTTTAATTGACCCCCACCTTTCCCTTATAATGATAAATTGACAAATGCAAAAGCCAACCAAAAGCAAAGAGGATGAAATATTGTGTAAATGGTTAATGATCACTCGGAGCCCTTTTAACCATTCTATCTCAAACCTCCACAATTGTGTTGTGAAACGCATAAATTTTCTTACAATGTGAGTACCCAGCATCTTGGTCGTCATTTGCTATTTGATGATGAAAAACGAAGGCTTAAGAACACTAAGAGGAAGACATTTTTTAATTGCTATTAGCAGTTATTTCTACAATTTTGTTATTTTTTGTCGGTTGAAATACAAAATTAATTCATAAAGTTTTGGTTTGTTTCAGTATGAAGAGCGCTGGAAGTGAATACTTAACCACTAAACAAAACTTTCCGTAAATTAAAAATTTCTCATACAATGGTTCATTTGTTAAAATGCTTAGATTACTTCTTCCTCTCACGAATCGTTTCAATTTGGTACTTCGTGCATATTTTATAATTGAAGATTTTCATGAGTGGATATTTTTCACTAATAAAACCTCAATTAAAGAGACCTTTTTTCAAATTTTATATTTGAAGCGGAAATAACTGTGTTTTGTTCGTTTAATTTTTATTTAGATACACGAGACTCTTTTAAATATTTTTGATACATCTTCTATATTTAGATCGAGGACAGAACAAAATCAAGTCAAAATGACAAAATCCAAAAATACAAAGCCTGTATGTCGGTAAGTTGGAAGATGTCACGTAAATCTATCTTGAGCCATTAGGTACATGTACAAATGTATAATAAACAAATAATTCTACTTCTGTCTAGTGCAAAGAGAAATACATCACAAAGTGTAAAGAGAAGGAGGCAGCCGAGGAGACGTTTAACCAGGCCCGACAGAGTGTACAGATTACCTCTAAAGACTTAGCCAAGGTACGACTTACTGACAAACATACCACTATATAATAATGTTAATTCTTAGACAATAATTAATCTAACCCGACAGAGTGTACAGATTACATCTAAAGACTTAGCCAAGGTACGACTTAATGGCAAACCTACCACTACATAATTAGAGGCCCACGGGGCACATCGCTCACCTCAGCACACTGGCTAGAAAAAAACAGAAATCAGTATTCAGTGAAAAGTTTACAGGGGAGACAACCTTGAATTTACACTACCCCAGGATTCTTCCATATCAATATTACTAATCTTGAGCAGAAGATTTTTAAAGATTTTTTCCTATGTATTCCTATGTAAAACTCTGATCGCTTATTGTGGTCACACCCTCTAAATTTGAACAAATTTGAATCTACACTACCTGAGGATGCTTCTGTAATAATATTACTTATCATGGGTTTGCTATTCTTGAGCAGAAGATTTTTATTTCAAGATGATTCCTATCTATGCTTATGTAAAACTTTGACCCTCTCAATCTGTTGTGCCCCCCCCCAAACCCAACCCCTGGGGTCATAATTTGAACAAACTTGATTCTACAGTTAATAATAACTTGCATTTAGTTGCTCTTGAGAAGATTTTCAAAAATATTTCCTAAATATTCCTTTGTAAAAGTTTGACCCACCGTTGTGGCCCGCTCTACCCCCGGGGTCATGATTTGACTGAACTTGAATCTACACTACCTGAGGATGCATCCTTATTAATATTACTAATAATGGCTTAACTGTTCTTGAGAAGAGGATTTTTTAAAGATATATCCTATTCCTATGTAAAACTTCGACCCGTTCTTGTGGCCCTGTCCTACCCCGTGGATTATGATATGAACAAATTTAGATCTAGAGTATGTAATGAAGCTGTCACTTAAAAGATGCCACCAAATTTTAACAAATTCGTAATAATCTCTCTGTTAAAGGGGGTGTGGCACATCCTATGAATAAACTTAAATCCCCTTCACCCAAGGATGCTTTGTGGCAAGTTGGTTGAAATTGGCCCAGTGGTTTTTGTGAAGAAGTCGAAAATGTGAAAGGTTTACAGACGACAGACGGACGCCGAAGACTCTTTGATCAGAAAAGCTCACTTGAACCTTCGGCTCACGTGAGCTAATAATTAGAAACTTCTAAAACAGTGATCATGTTAACTTGACCCCACAGAGTGTAAAGATTACCTCTGAAGACTTATCCAAGGTACAACTTACTGGAAAAAACATATCATTGTATAATAATATAATTAGTAATTCTTTGGCAATTAACCTGACAATTACCTCTAAAGACTTAGCCAAGGTAAGATTTACTGACAGTTGCTATTATATAATGATACATGTGTAGCTTTTTATAAGAAACAACGAAGACAACAAAATACCAGATATGATTATCACTTTTTTAATATTTTCAATGACAATAGGTCGGAAAGGCAAAAGAAAAAGCTGACGAAGCCCAACAACAGGCAGGTTAGGGGTCAATATATATTGCTTTTAAAGATTATGCATTGTTGGAAAATTCTACTCCGTGTTTTGTTGCCGAGGAACAAAAGTAATGCATATCTGAAAAAACCAAATACATTGTACAATAAATCGATCTAATAACACACTTGTCCTAAGGGTTGCAAAATATTTTTTCGCATTAGTAGAAAGTACATGTATTTCAATAAACCATTCAACCACATTTAATTAGATCCAGCACAATCTCTTGATTTAGCTATATAACTTGGATTAGCTGTATAGCTGGATTATGCTATTCAGAATTTAGCTTGATTTAGCTATTTTATCACACTTTGTACTTAGTGTTATTTTTTCAACATGTACAAAAAGTCGCATTTTAGTGAAGTGATAGAACTCAAGCTTGAACTCTTCTGGAAAGTGTGCATGTAAACATTGTCTATCAAATTGCGTCTCCTTCAGAGACTTTGAACTCAAAGTTATAAAAGTTTTGAGGCTATATATAAAGCAATTGATTTGTGACCTAATAGTTACTTTTTGAATGGAATTATAAAGGTCGATTATGATCAACAAGATAATTGATTGGTAATAATTCAGCACTATGCAAACCAATCATATTTATCCACGCCTTAACGCATGCAAGGTGGTGTACAGTTATCCAAACAATGGAAATACATCTTTTGCTTAAATGCATTCAAATGCTGCAATGTTAGAACTATCTCTGATATGGGTTGCTTTTTGATAGCTCATAGTACACATATGAAAAGTCAAAAACTTGCAAATTTTTATCTATTTCTTAGGAAAAACACTTTTGTGAAAAACTGCATATAAATAGCTTTATAATGCTCTTCTGAATAGCTAAATAAAGCTTTATAGCTAAATCAAGAGAGTGTACTGGACCTGTTAAAAATAACCTAGATTATTTAAAGACGACAATGCCTATTTGTTTTAGAAGTACAATGTTTATTACGTCATAGAAGTAAATAAATAATTTGACAAATGGTCCTTTGTTGTTAGATGTTAATTACAAGAATGCAGTACAGGCAGTAGAGATCTCTAGGAAGATATGGGAAAAGGAGATGGAGGATGCTTGTAATGTAATTATTGTGTGAACCAAGGATGCATGCTGTAATGTAATTATTGTGTGAACCAAGGATGCATGCTGTAATGTAATTATTGTGTGAACCAAGGATGCATGCTGTAATGTAATTATTGTGTGGACCAAGGATGCATGCTGTAATGTAATTATTGTGTGAACCAAGGATGCATGCTGTAATGTAATTATTGTGTGGACCAAGGATGCATGCTGTAATGTAATTATTGTGTGAACCAAGGATGCATGCTATAATGTAATTATTGTGTGAACAAAGGATGCATGCTGTAATGTAATTTATTGTGTGAACTAAGGATGCATTCTGTAATGTAATTTTTGTGTGAATCAAGGATGCATGCTGTAATGTAATTTTTGTGTGAACCAAGGACGCATGCTGTAATGTAATTATTGTGTGAACTAAGGATGCATGCTGTAATTTAATTATTGTGTGAACCAAGGACGCATGCTGTAATTTAATTATTGTGTGAACCAAGGACGCATGCTGTAATGTAACTATTATGTGAACCAAGGACGCATGCTGTAATGTAATTATTGTGTGAACCAAGGACGCATTCTGTAATTTAATTATTGTGCAAACCAAGGACGCATGCTGTAATGTAATTATTGTGTGAACCAAAGATGCATGCTGTAACGTAATATTTTACATGTGGGAAAAGGAAATGGAGAATGCTCGTAATGCAATTATTGTGAGAACGAAGGATGCATGCTGTAATGTAATTGTTGTGTGAACAAAGGATGGAGGATGCTTGTTATGTAATTATTGTGTGAACCAAGGATGCATGATGCATGCTGTAATGTAATTAATGTGAGCAGCAAGGATGCATGCTGTAATGTAATTATTGTGTGAACCAAGGATGCATACTGTAATGTAATTATTATGTGAACCAAGGATGCATGCTGTAATGTAATTATTGTGTGAACCAAGGACGCATGCTGTAATGTAATTATTATGTGAACAAAGGATGCATGCTGTAATGTAAAATTTTATGTGTTTGAAAAGGAGATGGAGGATGCTTGTATGTAATTATTGCTTGTGTGGAGAACATCTGTTATGTTTGTGTAATGTTTGTTTGATTTAGAGAAGTTTGTGATTGGTGAACGTTTGTAATGTAATGTTTGTGTGATTAGAGAACGTTTGTTATGTAATGTTTTTTGTAGGGAATGTTTGAAATCTAATGTTTGTGTGATTAGAAAACGTTTTATATAATTTTTGTGTGATTAGAAAATATTGTTTATAATGAAATAATTGTGATTAGAGATCGTTTGTAATGTAATGTGAGTAGAGAACGATTGTAATGTTTGTAACGATCTCGGCAATAACTGTAAAAGAATTCAAAATAATACCTACAAAATCTATATATACTGCGTATTTCATTAATTAGATCTTTTCAGACGTATTCATTAATATTTGTCATTATGTTTTGTATCCCCTCTTAATTCAGTTACTTGTAATAATGTATTAAATTAAACATCTCATATTGATCTGACATATATATCATTTTATCCACAGCAATTCCAGCGCTTGGAGGAACAGAGGGTCGGCTTTTTTAGAGATAGCATATGGAAGTGTACCAATGTAGACTCTAAAGCATGCGTGGATCACGACGAGGTCAGTTTTTATTCTGAATGATTGAATATTGGCGAAAGAAAAGTTGATCTCTTAGCTTGAAAGCATATCATTGAATACACTATTGTGCGATATTTATATGACAATCGGTGCAATGAAGAGAATAGCGATACAGCGATGAAACACGTATATAATTTATCATCGTAATTTCTCCTGGTATCTACCCGGTAGCTCTTTATTTTATAATCGGCGCTCTTTATACTGAGTACTCACCTACCTGTAATTTATATCTTTTGTTTACCAATAGACAAAGCTTATGTGATGTACCCATTTCTTTTTTATCACTCTTTGTTTTTGCCTTTGATTGGTTATAAGCTTTGATAAACAGTTTCTTCTTTTGTGTTGAACAGTGCGCTGAAGCTGTTCGGAACGTCTTGCAATACTGTGATATATCAAAAGACCTACAAGAATTCATAGATAACAACAAATTATCAGGGAGAAGACCAGGTTAGCAAAATATAAATTCTCTAGTGTATGTTTGATATATGTACGTTGTACTTGAATGTTTGTTGATTTTATTGAAACATAAACCATGAAACACATTGCAGAGATAGTCAATTATTAGAGTGATTTTTTTTTCTAAATGACAAGTGAAATAAAAAAGGAATATAAGATGAACTTTTTACTACACTACAGAGCCGATAGTCTTTGAAGACTACGACCGACGAGCCCCCAGTACACCACCTCGGAGCCACACGATGCGACCCCCACAGCCACTGCCTCCCATCCAGCAGCCTAGAGTACCACCACCCAGGCCCTCTGAGGGGCCGCTCATCTCCTTTGACGAAGGTAGAAGAAAGCAGTAGAATAACTGCATCAAATTTATATACAACAATTTTGTTCCGTACACGGTTGCTTGTTAAACCTAATGCTATGTTTGTTTTACCAGACAATTGCAAAAAGAATACAAAAAAGTTAATAGATTACAAAAATCCTTGATTTTGTCTTACTAACCCTGAGAATTAATTGTTTTGCTGTTTTAATTTCCACGCATGCTTAGCTGACGAGCATTATGCTTTGGCGGGAGCCATACCGTCTGGGGAATATTCTTATGCTCGTGTTTTCCAAGGTAAATCGGAGCGGACACGTACTGCCTGTAATTATATAGCATGTCACTGTTGCACACTGTAACCATCCCATTTATTTTTGTATCTACTTGTCTCTTGAGAGAGTACTAATATTCATAATTTTAAAAGCTCTCATAATATGCTCTCTTTCCTATCTGAAGTGCTCTGCATTTCAATTGCACGTCTTGTGTTTTCTGTATTTTACTAATCTATTTTTGTTTCTTGCTCTTTAAAAACATTCTGAAGTGTATATGGCAGTCTGTTAGATGATTTTGAGGAAACCACTTTTTTAATCTCTGCTTTCAACATATATACTGTACATCAAAGTCTTATGCATTTCTTGTCAGATTGTCCAGTTGTTATCTGAGTATTTTTGCGCATGCTCTGTACTACTTTCTTTCTACAAAGATTCCAGGCCTTCTGGACCAGGTCTAACGCCCGGATCACTGGTTAACATTCTCAAGTCTTATCAAGCAAAGGTAATAAATCTCCTCTCCTTCTACAGGAAGTCTAGTCATGTCTCGTCTTGTCTCGTTCAAATCTATCTGATGAAAGAATTGCTTACTGATGTATATACTTATTGAAATGTAAAAAAAGGTAGAAAATTGCAAAACTTTAAGCATTATTTTTGTAAAGTCTAAATAAATTTTCTGGCCGAAAAGATCACCAGAATGTAAATCTTGATTCACTATAGCAATAATGAAAAGCACTATTACTTTTACCATGATTATTGTGAATAAGTGTGCAAATTAGACCTGTAAATCGAATAAGACAAATATGTCATACAAAATTGTCATAAGAGTTAACCTTTGACCTTTTATTATATATATTCTCTCTAGAGTCCGTCTGAGCTGACAGTGGAGATAGGACAGAAGGTGGAATTCATGAGGGACATGAAGGCGGGGATGACCCAGGTTAAGGTGGGGGAGAGGTGTGGTCTGATCCCCACAGCGTGTGTCAGAATGGGGACCACTACCTACCTGTGAATTCTCACCTCTGGAAGAAACAACAATAAAAATTTACTGTGGATATGTTTGTCGTTGTGAATCGCAATGTTTAAATGCAATTTTTTGAAACCTTCTTTTATTTTATTATTTATATTTAAATGTATGTTTAGTGTTACGTATGAACTGAATTTATTACCCTTACCCGATTTTGTGTCTCAAAGAGAGAGAAAGAGAATTTTAATCTGTATTTAGTCTTACATTAAGATAACAATTTGAAGCCAAATTTCATTAAGGTGCTTAGGAATGGGTAAAATAATCAGTTTAAGTTGGCCTATAGAAAAAAGTACTACGTAAAAATATCGTTACGAACTACATGTGCATATGCAATATTTTATGTCAGAAATGTTTTTCATTCGTCATGTTGAGAAAGCTATGTAAAAATTGAAGTCAGTCGTTCTTTAAAAGATTTTATTTTTTTTATAATCCTAGAAGGAGCTTATTTCCGTATATGATGTTCGTTTTGTTATGCTTGTAGTAAAGTATAAAGATGTTCATTTATATATAAAACATTCATTTGACGCTTAATCCATTGCCAGATGCTGAATTCGTTTATTTTTGTTTTGTGTATCTTATAAATTTCATTTACTCATACCTGACACAAACTGATAAAAAAGAAATGTACTTAAAAAATTAATTTACCGTATTGATGATTTCTCAGTGACTCTGTAAATGAAAATAACAGAATTCTACTTCGTTAAATCATCAATGTGTTCGTAATTGAGACAAATTTCACTTTCACTTTCAATTCAATTTCTTTATTGCAGAAGACATACGTCTTATAGCAGTATTACAAGATTATAACAATAGAGACTTTCATAAGAATATAGAATAAAGCTATTTTATATATTCATGCACTGTATAAGATATGAAATCATTGTAATATAAGAAATTATACCAAAATGTCTCTTGAAACACGAATAATTCAATTTTAGTTGTGAGACAAATTATGTGATAATGTCAGGTACTTAAGCGCTTTAATGTTGAACAATGTGCAATCAGTTATGTGGAACTGGAGTATACCAGATATTCACACCTATTCTATTTCAAAGTTTAAAATCAATTATTTATTCTGTGATTCGTGTGTTTATTGTATTTTCTTCTTTAAAATAATTTATTGCCAAATTCCTGCTTCATTCTCCTTTAGTACGATGTATTTTAGCAATTTTTTTTTCATTTCTGATTCATTCCTTAAAATGTATACAGATTTTTTTCTTTTATTTTTTCTTGGCAAGCATTTTTTGTTCTTTCTTTCCTATTTCTTTGTTAAGTAAAACATCTCAATTCATCTCAATTCTTCATGCTTTCGGTCCAAGTTAAATAAAAGTGTCCTTTTAAGAAATAAGAAATCATTTTTAGAGTTTCATATGGATATGACATGAAGTTGGTCACGTGATCAAATCCTATGTAAATAAACAGTTAGGTCCTCATCACATTCGCAGCCAAACTTTACTCTGTCCTTTTGAAAGTTTTAAATAGTCTGTTTGAAAAGGTCAAAGAAAGTCCAAATTTGGATTCTTCGACAACAGAATACAGGCTTGGATCTGTGAATATGGATATTGCAAATCATAGGCTTTTTAAAGCGCCACGTTTTACGGAAGAGAATACTATTCAAGCAACCATTTTGTTCCTTAAACTTCAATTTGCCAACAAATGAATTGATGCAGTTAATATAAGTAATATTCTTAATCACAAAAGGATCCAGTCTTTTATTCCACCATATTTCAAGTTGAAGTCTACACCTTGTATTTCTTACAAATATACATCGACTATTGCTTCCAAACTTTTTAATTACAAACAAACTTTACATGGCCTAGATATCGAACATCTGAAACATAATCCTCAAACGTGTTCATGTTCTTCACCCAACAACTTTAGTCCTGCTGGACACGTCATTACTGGTGACGTAAATATACTTAATAATGAGGACCTTGAATCAGATATTTTACAACGGCCAAAATTTAGGGAACACTGATCTTTAAACTGATGTCATAATTTTATATATAATTATTATGTCCAAGTTTGTGGGCCAAATATGAAAAAGAAGACCTTGTCACTTTGTCAGAATGGATTTTATGTATCAGTAGCGATTGAGGGGCAATATAAAAATCATCTATTTTTCTTTCCTCAATAATTCGGAAGTGAAAATGGAATTAGATAGATTACACGATCAATATGTACTGGTCCCAGCTGACAAAGCAGGTAACAACATTGTCTTTGTAAGGCTCATTATTTTAACTGTATTTTATAGGAGCTGCAAGTGGTAATCCAACATATACATATAGCTCCCTTTCTAAGGAGGAATTTTTTTTCAAAATCATGTTAATTTTAAATATTTTTAATATTCCCAACAAACAAGATACATAGCGGGTTCTGGTAAACGTTCTGCCTTGCCCCTTTATTTACTCTTCTCGAAAATATTGACAAAGGAGAAACTTCAAGAGTACTGTTCAACAATATATTCGAGAAGTGGTGTAAATCAGATGTGGATACTTTTTGCTAGGGAAATTTCTTCACCCATGTTTTCATGGTAACCATGAACCAAAACTTTTTTTTAATTTTACATACATGGTTACAAACTCTGTGTGGAAAATCATCAAATTCTGAGAACCTTCATATATCACCTACATGCCTATTTTGCATGATTTTTACACAGATCTGTTCTTAAAAATAAAAAGAAAATTTGAAATCACATAAAATTTTATCAAAATCAATAACATCAAGACGTACGGTTTTTCATGTCAGGCTTTTTGACATCATAGACAGCTGCTTTTTCAATAGAAATGGAATTCGTAGATTTACTTACCTTGTAATTGGTCATTTGCAAAATTATTTTGTTAAAACCATTCTGATTGTACACACAAGTACCTCGAAGTTGATATTAAAAAGTTGATTGAGTTTCATATTGACTATATCTATGTAGTTTTTGGAGATCGACTTCCAACAACCCGGAATTCCCATGGATACCAATTGCGCCCCGTTATTAACATGCCTATTTTTGTATTCTTATGAAGCAGAATTTATTCAAAAACTTCTATATGAAAAAATTCTCTTGATATATCAACGACGTTTTATCAATTAACAATATTCATTTTCATTCTTACGTTGATTCGATATTTCCTCTGAACTCGAAATAAAAGAAAGTACAGAGTCTGACACATCTGTTTCATATTTGGATATTTTACTAGAAAAAGACCCCTTACAAACAAAACTTTATGATAAACGTGATGACTTTAATTTTATGATAAACGTGATGACTTCAATTTTTCTATCGTCAAACTTCCCTTATTTATGTAACAATATACCCTTATCACCTGCATAAGGAGTTTATGTCTCCCAGGTGATTCGTTACGCAAGAGCATGCTCTGCGTACGAACAATTTCTAAATCGAAACAAGGTATTGACAAATAAATTAATGAAACAAGGATATCAACAGTCTCGTTTTAAGTCAACATTTCGCAAATTCCTTGGTCGATACAATGACCTAGTCAGCAAATACCATCAAGTCGAACGCTGAATGACGTTTTTTTGTACTAATTTTGGCCATTATTTACACGCTAAACTGTCTATGGATTTTTACGTTTTTTCCCGATCATGACAATAAGCACACGGCGAGTGTGACCAGTCGACAGGGGACACTTACTCCTACATGGCACCTCATCTCACGTGCACCTCTGAGGTTTTAGAGGTCTGCGTTTACTCTGCACTAATTTTGTATTGTTTCAATGGACTTTCGAGCTTGATTATTGTTCGTTATCGCCATATTTCATTGTAGATTTGATGGTACCAATTTTATGTCAAAACCCAATGAAACTCTTAAGAAATTATATTTTATTTCTTATGTGTATATTTTATTTCAAATTGTGTTACAAAGAAAAAAAAATGCTCTATTTAGACTCTGTTATAGAAATGGAACGTAATGTACACATGTCAGTTTAGTCCTTCCAAGTGTGCAGTTTGCTTTCCAAACGCAAGAAAGTCTGATCACTTGATCAAATTTATGTGAACGAAAATTGAATGCCAATTTCGTTAGTATTGTCATATTAGGAAAGACAAAATATATTTTTACAACATTTACTAAATGATTTGATTTCAGAGTATTTATAATCAACTGATTATTGTTGTGTGGTGTGTTTTGAATTTTGAAGTCTTGATAATAATACCTTGTACAAGATTAAACAAGATGCATGTCGCGCAGAAATCAAAAGCATAGAAATTCGTTAATTTAAAATATTCTCGCATAATTTCTATTCTCGCAAGCTACATAGCAGCCATTTCAATCAGTTCAACCTCATCAGATTTCTTTATGAAAAAATATAGGACATCTTTACTGGCCTGTTTTGTCGTGTGCTGAAATTATATTTTTTTATTTAATTATTCAAGAACATATTTTAGAAGATATTCTGTGTATTTTTAATTATCTCCGATCTCAAGAACTAAAAGGTGCTAAGTAAAAGAAATTCTGGATAATATATTTTTCTCTCTTCAATTTTCAGATAACAAATAGTCATAATTCCAACAAACACAATTCCCACAAAGCTGAAACGACATCTACAGTTCCTTTATAACTGTACTAGTGTAATAAACCGAATTTTTTGTCAAAATTCAATGAAGAACACAGAACTTTAATAATACTGGTGGACAGATTGGCGAATGGAGATCAAACGTATACGGTACCCCCAGTTTCCTCAGAAGGGAATTAATAATTAATATTGATTCTTATGATTGAATTTTTAATTAGTCCTGTATTAGGGACACTATTATAGTAGTACTGTAGCTAAAAGATAACCATCTCCGATCGGTGTTTAATTAACTCCATGTTATATATTTAGACTCTCTCTCTCCTCTCTATGCAAGGAAGTTCCCTTATTCTAAAGTTTAGAGTACACACAATTTCCAAATTCTAAAACCTGTACAGGACATGTACTTTATACGTATCTTTCACCGCGTGCCTGACTTTCTGTGCTAATCTATATCAGGAAGAAGTAAACCTTTACGGTATCTTACTAGATATAGTGGTTAAGGAAACTTCCTTTCTGTATCAGTATTTTTAAATAAAAATACTTAAATCCACTGAATATTATTTCCTTTATTTCTTATGAAAACCATTGCCGTTTATCAGTCGGTAAACGACACTAAGCAAGCCACCTGCATAGATTTCTAGTTGAACAACGGTTGTTCCATCAATTATGCAAACAATGACATACACAACTATAATACAAAATATAACATATTTAATTTTACTTTGAATGTTTTTTAAAACAGATATAAATATAAACAATAAAATGCTTTCTTTGGTTGTTAGTATGGAAATTAATGTCGCAGCTATTGCAGAAAAAATTACATAACCCGCTTACGCGGGTTATGTATTTTTTCTACAATAGCTGCGACATTAATTCCCGTACTAACAACCAAAGAAAGCATTTTATTGTTTAAAATTACAAAGGGAGTATACTGTAGAATATCTACCTCATGAATGTTTGGTTTGATTTTCTCTGTAAACATAATTACAAAGACTGGCTACAATTAACTGATTTATTTATCGGATTAGATATTAGAACAAGAGACCCAAAGAGCCTTTACGGTCACCTGAATATAATAACACTGTAATGAATCTATAAAAGTATAAAATAATATACAGTTAAAATATATCATTGAGGGAGTTAGCAAGATTCCAGTTCCTCAAGGCCAGGACTATTTCCCGAGGCGAAGCCGAGGGAAATAGTCCTGGTCGAAGGGAACTGAAATCTTGCTAATTCCCGCAATGATATACTTTTAACTGTTTTATTATACCGATACAAACGTAAAATTTTGAGGATTCAGATAGCGTGATTTCAAAGCAGGGATTAGCTCACTGAACTAACACACGGGGATTAGTCCATTTACATATCATACCTATGTAAAAGTAAAATCTAGAGGATTACGGATAACCGGGAATTAGCTTCCGAAGCAGGGATTAGCTCACTTGACTAACACACGGGGGTTAGTCCACTCTTAACGAGTTCTAGGGAATAAGTCACATCTAACGATCTAATGTTATACAAGGAAAAAATCAGTAGAGGTATAATAAAACTAGATGAAGCTATCTTGCCCAAAAGCAAGAGAAATAGGTAGTCTATGAGCCATACAAAATAAAACGTCATATATATGAATCACAGTATATACAGAATAAATTAATTCTCTGAAAACTGTGGACATTTCTGATGCAGATTCCTGTGTGAGAAGTTTTTATATCAGTTTTGATTTCGGCTATGAATTTAATAATTTAGAGAGGCATCCTTGTACATCATAATCCTCACTTAGTTTATCTGCTAATACCCAGGAGCACAGAAGATTTTCAAAGAATTAGCGTATTTTCGCTATCTGATCTATACAGTCCTGCCTTAACACCAGAACCCCTGACCTAGGGGCCATGAAATTCACAATTTTGAAAGAGGCACCCTTGGTCATCATAATTATGCACTTAGTTTGTTTGCTCAATATCCAACATAAATTTCCACACTTACAATATTACAATATATGTAACAAGACGATATGTACATGCTATATGGAGATGGGGCTTTTAACAAAAATGTCTGTGATAAACAATCAACTAGTAGAATCATATTTGCAGACAAGGCAGGGAGTTAAAAATGTAAATATAAGCATTGAATTATTTTTGAAGGATGTAGCCTCATAACTGCAACTTTTTATGCAAAGAATTTTTCTTAATGCGGTAAAGCATGTTACTCAATTTGTCTGCATACACCATTGCAGTTATGGGACTACATCTTTTAAAAAATACTGAGCCAATAAGCCAGTAGAAGGTAAAAGCTAAAAGGAAATTTAATATCCCAATGACTAGAGTACTAAATAGGATATTCACAGCTAGTATGGGATTTAAGAATTCTTCCAAAGATGTATAAACCGACCAAGTTTTATTATTCTAAGCCAAATAATTTTCAAGTTCTGAGTTGGAGTTTATTTGGTCATATCATCTTAATTTAAGGTTCTGGTGACCTGTCTTTAATGAGCAATACACCTTCTACCCAACATGCATCAGCTAGTAAAGTCAGATAGTTCTAGGCTTTAAAGTATTTAAGTTATAATTATAAAATTTAAGAAAAAAATTAATCCATAACAAGAGGCCCATGAGCCACATCGCTCACCTGAGCACATTGGCTAAAAAAAAGCTTTTTTCCTATATATTCCCTTGTTACAAATTTGATCCCCCATTGTGGCCCCTCCAACCCCAAACCCCCGGAGAAGGGGGGGTCATCATTTGAACAAACTTGAATCAACTCTACCTAAGGATGTTTCCAATATGACTAAACATAGCTTTTCTGTTCTTGAAAAGATTTTTTCTTAAATATACTTATGTAAAACTTTGATCCCCCATTGTGGCCCTATCCTATCATGGGGGGGGGGGGGTAATATTTGAATCTACACTACCTGAAGATGCTTCCATATCAATATTACCAATCATAGCTTTGTTGTTCTTGTGCTGATTTTTCGAGTTTTTTTCCCATATATTCCCATGTAAAACTATGATTCCCCATTGTGCCCCCACCCTACCCCCAGGGGTCATGATTTGAACAAACTTGAATCTACACTATCTGAGAATCTTCCATATCAATATGACTTAACAAGGCTTTGCTGTTCTTGAGAAAAAGATTTTAAAATTTTTTTCTATATATTCCTACATGTATGTAAAACTTTGATCCCCCATTGTGGCCCCACCCTAACCCTGGGGGTCACGATTGGAACAAAGTTGAATCTTCACTATCTGAGAATGCTTCCATATCAATATAACTTAACAAAGCTTTGCTGTTCTTGAGCAGAAGATTTTTCAAGTTTTTTTTTCTACATATTCCTATGTAAAACTTTAATCACCCATTGTGACCCCACCCTACCCCCAAAGGTCATGATTTGAACAAACTTGAATCTACACTACCTGAGGATGATTCCCTATTAATATGACTAATTGTGGCCTTGTTGTTCTTGAGAAGAAGATTTTTAAAGATTTTTCCTATATATTCCTATGTAAAACTTTGATCCCCCATTGTGGTCTCACCCTACCCCCGGGGGCCATGATTTGAACAAACTTGAATCTACACTACCTGAGGATGATTCCCTATCAATATGACTAATTGTGGCTTTGTTGTTCTTGAGAAAAAGATTTTTAAAGATTTTTCCTATATACTCCTATGTAAAACTTTGATCCCCCACTGTGGCCTCAACCTACCCCCGGGGGTCATGATTTGAACAAACTTGAATCTACACTACCTGAGGATGCTTCCATATCAATATGACCAATCATGCCTTGCTATTCTTGAGAAGAAATTTTCAAGAATTTTTCCTATATATTCCTATGTAAAATTTGGTCGTCCATTGTGGCCCCACCCTACCCCCCGGGGTCATGATTTGACCAAACTTGAATCTACACTACCTGAGGATGATTCCACATGAGTTTCTTCTTTCCTGGCCCAGAAGTTCTTGAGAAGAAGATTTTTAAAAGATGGTATTAACTTTTCACTAATTTGTAATTATCTCCGCTTGGAAGAGGGCATGGCCCTTCATATGAACAAATTTGAATCCCCATAACCCAAGGTTACTGTCACATTAAAATCTACATGTTCCTATTCGAACACGCAAGCAATTTATATTTACCTGTGGGGAGTCTCCATTTTTCACCGGGTTTATGTTACCCTGTTTTATACCTCAAATCACCGGACCTTTAAAATATTTGTAAGCCCGTGCTTCAGTTTGGACACGGCAGTCCTGGGAGAAGGACGTTTTCAAAATTTCTCAAGATCTGTTTGATTTATCTTATACACATGGCAGACCACTGAGGGTTTTACTTGTTTAGAATTTAGTTGTATGGTCCTGCTTCTCTGAGGTAAGCCTTATTTGTGTTTGTTTTTAATATTTTATAAAGTTGTAAACATCTCAAAACACCCAGATACGGAATTTCTAAAATATGCAACTTTAAGCTATTCTATTTGATATTTTTAAGTTCTGTTATTTATAGTTACTCGAAAATGTTTGAGTCTTAATTGTACGGTGGATTGTTTGTGTCTTTATTTGTCGGTTCTACGTTCTGTAATAACTATTGTATAGTAAAGCATTTATTGCGTTGTACATATTGTACCCACGGAGTAAGTTGTATGTCTATATTATTCTGTGTATGATATTTTAACAGGTCTCATTCCTGTATAGTAGTGTAGAGATGGCGGCCGGTACCAGTCACATCTCATAGTCTTGAACGCAAGACGGACGTGTAACCTCCTCGGCACTGGAGAGGGGGAAGTGTAAACCTTTCTCGGCACTGGAGAGGGGTGTCTGAGCCTCATTAGCGGCAAGAGACTGTAGTGTAGCCTAAACACCGTGTGGAACAAAACCATAGACGTAGTAGACATTTTAGGGACACGGACGACCACACACCAAACCAGTTTATTATGTTGTAGAATATTATTTTGTTAATTAAAATGTAAAGTTAATATGTAGAAAAGATTTTCTGTTATTTATTTAGGGGAGTTTGGATCACTATTCTCTACGCAAGGTCATTATTTGACAAAATGGTGTCAGAAGTGGGATACACTGTAACAGAGTGATAGTCGATCCATTCTAATACCCAATCATTGTAAAAAAAAAAAAAAAAAAAAAAAAAAAAAAAAAAAAAAAAATCCATTTTTGTTTTCAATTCTGTTTTCAATTTCTACCAATAACAGTGTTACAAATTTTGGACATTTATGTTACCTACATGTTTATGTTGTGCATTTTTTATTTTGCTTCAGTTGTGTGATCATTTTTCGTATTTTGTAGAAGAATTGTCCGGTTCTTGATGTTTGAGACCTCCGAGAAGTGTTTCTAAAAGTCGGCAATGTCTCAGTAAGTTGGACCATATCAGCAACCAAATTGTTTGCCATGGGTATTGTATAGTAAGTCCGAAAGTAAATTTCTATCGTGTCCTGTGTGATGTGAGGTTTCTGTCATTAAACTCATTTTCATATCAAGATAAGAAAATGGATATACTAAATCAACTAAAAGAATATGGAGAGTCATTAGGGTTGAAAGACGAGGAGTTAACAACTTTCATTAGAGAACAACAAGCTATTCAGAGAGACGAGGGAAATGCGGAGAGAGAATTAGAAAAGAAAAGACTAGATTGTGAGGCAGAGAAAGAGAAAGTTTCATTGGAGTTAGAGAAGGAGAGATATTGGTATGAGATTGAGCAGATGAAAGTTGAGAAAGTGTATGAATCACAGGTAGTAAATACAAGCAAAGATGTGCAATCTGATCACAGTCAAGGTCGAGTTACGCCTAAAGCTCCAAAGCTTCCTGTATTTAATGAAGAACATGATGAGATGGACAGTTTCCTTCTCCGATTCGAAAGGTATGCAGAAGCACAAAAATGGGGTGAAGAGAATTGGGCTGTTAACTTAAGTGCTCTTTTACGGGGTAAAGCTCTAGATGTTTACTCGTTAATGCCCAAAAGTGAGGCCTTAGACTATAAGAATTTGAAGAAAGCTCTACTGAGACGGTTTGAACTGACGGATGACGGGTTTAAGAAAAAGTTTAGATCTTGTCGACCTGATCAATTGGAAACTTTTGCACAATTTTCAGTTCGCCTAAGTAGCTATTTTGATAGATGGATAGAAATGGCAAAAGCACCAAAAACATTTCAGGGTTTGTACGATCTCATGTTGCGTGACCAATTTTTACATATTTGTAGTCAAGAATTACGTTTATTTCTGAAAGAGCGCATTCCAGATAGTCTTAAGAAAATGGCAGATCTTGCAGACCAATACAAAGATGCTAGAAACCTGAGCTCAGTCCAGGCAGTAGATAAAGGTAAGGGTTTATTGCAGAAGAAACAAGAATCAATCAAGAAAACATACAGTACTAAGAACAGAGACAATGTGCATATGAAGACAACAAATACAGGTAAGTTTGTACCCAAGTCAGATAGAAGATGCTTTAAGTGTCACAGAGTAGGGCATATTGCTTCAGAATGTAAAGCCAAACCGGTTGTTGGTAGTGTATCTGAAGTAAGAACCAAAGGAGAATCACCTACTGCACAAATAAATGAAAAACCAGTCTGTTTTGTGAGTACTTTACCTTCAGATTCTATCATAGATTCGATGGTGAACATGTCGCCCACTACTCTTACTTCAGCTTGTCAGAAGTCTGTAAATTTTTCCATGCTTATCTCTGCGGGTTACATCAACGGAAATCCTGTGACTGTTTTGAGGGATACTGGATGCAGTGGAATTGTTGTACGGAAATCCAAGGTAAGTGAGAAAGACCTTGTAGACGGTAAGCAACAGGTGTGTGTCTTAGCTGACGGCTCAAAAATTACAGTTCCTGTAGCAGAAGTGTTCATCGATACTCCCTATTTGTGTGGTTATCACAAGGTATGGTGTATGGAAAATCCAGTGTATGATTTGATAATAGGAAATGTTCCAGATGCAACACTTCCAGACAAAGCAGACGAGAATTGGCAGGTCAACGCAGTAGAAACGAGACAACAGAAAAGGAACAGAGAGAAGCCTTATCCACCTCTGAAGGTACCCAACATAATCACAGACGTAATAGAACCACACTGTATCAAGACTGCACAAGAGGAGGATCCAACCCTTACTAAGATTCGGGATTATGCAGAACATAATACTGTTCACCAGAAGAAAAACGGTAAGGTAAAATGGTATAAAAAGAATGGTTTGCTTTATCGAGAGTTTGTAGCGAACGACGACAGCGTCAATAAGGTATTTTCTCAGCTTGTAGTTCCAGAGAAATTTCGCGCATTAGTCATGAAGTTAGCACATGATTCTTTATTAGCAGGACATCTAGGTATCCAGCGGACAATAACCAGGGTTAACTCAGAGTTTTTCTGGCCAGGACTCCAGAGTGACATCCGACGGTTTTGCCAGTCCTGTGATATATGTCAGCGTACTCTTCAAAAAGGTAGGGTGAGCAAAGTGCCTTTAGAACGTATGCCATTAATTGATGTACCATTCCAACGAGTTGCAGTTGATATAGTGGGTCCGTTAACTCCAGTCACGGAAAAGGGTAACAGGTACATACTTACTCTAGTAGATTATTCAAGCCGTTATCCAGAAGCCGTAGCTTTGCCAAGTATAGAGACAGAAAGAGTTGCAGAAGCGTTAATGGAAATTTTCTCTAGGGTAGGTATACCAAGAGAAATGTTAACGGACATGGGTACTCAATTCACGTCGTCTCTTATGAAGGAGGTAAGTCGTCTCATTTCTATGAAGCAGTGGACAACCACACCTTATCATCCCTCCTGTAATGGGTTAGTCGAACGCTTTAATGGGACTTTGAAACAAATCTTAAAACGACTTTGTGCAGAGAAGCCTAAGGACTGGGATAAGTATATAAATGCAGTTCTCTTTGCTTATAGAGAGTTACCGCAGGAAAGCTTGGGGTTCTCACCTTTTGAATTAGTCTATGGAAGGCAAGTACGAGGTCCCATGTCTATTTTGAAAGAACTTTGTACCAAGGAAATAGAAGATCCAAACGTGAAAACAACTTATCAGTATGTTTTAGATCTGAAAGAGAGATTGCAGTCCATGGCCCAGCTTGCCAGAGAAAACCTTGAAAAATCCGCCACCAGGTACAAGAAGTACTACGAAAAGAAAGCTAGAAATAGATCTCTAAAGGTAGGTGACAAAGCTCTTATTTCAATGCCTACAGACAACAATAAGTTGCTTCTCCAATGGAAAGGGCCTTTTGAGGTTTTAAAGAAGGTAAACCGTGTTGACTATCAGTTGAAAATGAATGGAAAAGTAAAGACTTTTCACATTAATCTACTCAAGAAATATGTTGAAAGAGCACAATGTAACAATGTTCTTTTTGTGACTGATGAAAGTGTATTTGGTTCAGTAAATGCTACATTTGTGGACTGTGTGGAAGACACAACACAGGAAGGACAGTTAGATGACTATCCGGCACTAGATTCTGACCAAGGCACAGACGTGGATATCAATGGTTTGCTATCGACCGAGGAAAGGGAAAAGTTGATGAGTACTATAGCCAAGTATGGTGACGTTCTACAAGACCAACCAGGAAGTACGAATATTTTAGAACATGACATCCGCATGGTAAGTGATAAGCCAATACATGTCAAAACACGTTCAGTCCCCTTTTCTTTGGAAGAAACAGTCAACAAAGAGGTGAGTGATATGTTGAAATTAAATATCATTGAACCATCTGAGTCTCCCTTTTGTTCACCAATAGTTATTGTTCCAAAAGAGGATGGTACCAATCGATTTTGTATTGACTTTCGACTACTAAACAGACAAACAATTTTTGACGCGGAGCCAATACCAGACGCAGACGAAATGTTTGCAAAATTTGCAGGATACAAATATTTCTCAAAAATTGACTTATCAAAGGGTTATTGGCAAATAAAACTGACAGAGGCATCTAAACCAAAGACAGCCTTTAGAACAAGTAAAGGGTTATTTCAATTTTGCGTTATGCCCTTTGGTTTAGTTACAGCACCAGCTACTTTTTCCCGATTGATGCGGAAAGTTTTGAGTGACATGGAAAATGTTGACAATTTTATTGACGACATAATTATTTTCACAGAGACATTTGAACATCATCTCAAAGTACTTGACGAACTTTTTCAGCGTCTACGTAGTGCAGGTCTAACTGCTAAACCAAGTAAGTGCTCATTGGCCTATTCCAGTTTGAATTGTCTAGGTCATGTGATTGGCAATGAACAATTGAGACCAATGTTGGACAAGGTCAAGGCTATACAAGATGCACCAAGACCAGAAACTAAAAAACAACTACGATCGTTCCTTGGGTTAATAGGATTCTATCGTAAGTTTGTTCCAAACTTTGCATGCATTGCATTGCCATTAACTGATTTGACTAGGAAAGGGTGCCCAACCAAACTTGTGTGGGAACAAGAATAGATATGGGTTACCCCATATCCAAGATATTCGACTTTTAATTTATTCGAATTTTCATTGTGCTCAGATGATTTCTAATAAAAAAAAACAAGTATTTACTGACAAAACATCAGAGATACTCAAGCTGTAGAAAGTCATAATAAAAGTGCCATAAATATCCTAAAACGACAAAATATTTAGGCTACTGAGTTTCAACATCTTTTGTTGAATAAAATATGCATGTACTAGGAAACAAACTGCATGTTCATATATAACGTTAGATGTAGATGCATGTAGTGACTATCACAAAGTCGCTAAAAATAGTTTTAATTTCACATAGAACATAGACTAAATATAATTAATAGTATAATTTTAAAAATGTATTTAACACCTCACTCATTTTCAGGAATATTTAAACCAAATAGCATGTTACAGGCCTGTAGCAACGTTTTCAAAGTGAAGGGGGGGGGGGGGGGGGGCTCCGAAAAAAATCCCGCGTACTATATGGGCCTGTGCTACATGTGTACCATCTAACTTTCCAATGATATAATCTTCTGTAAAAAAAAAAAAATTCAAATCAAGTTCAAGCCGTTATGGATTATCAAAGATAGCCTTTTTTTTTTTAAATAGCAAAACTTTAGATCTATCAAGGATAGATTTTAATTTATTTTTTAATTTTGTGCTATTAAATTACTATCACCCATAGTATAGGCAGATGTTAAAGATGGTCAACATGTCACCTTTTAGAATGAATGAACTTGTAATCAATGAACTTGTCCAGAGATGCATTGACGGTCGTTGTTAAACGCAAAGGAAAGCGCGAGATCGGTTGCGGCTATGGAGCATCACTGAATATTCCTTCGTCATAGGATAGAATCCGACATTTAACACTTAATATAGATTTTGAATATACAGATGTTTTGAAGATACACTTAGTATATTTTCGTGTTTTTAAACTGAGTAGATCGATGACCTAGTCTCGTTTTAGATAACTCAGCCCCTCTAGCCCAATTTAGGGCTTGAGTAAAAAACCTGTACTTCTTATGAAACTGGTGTATAGTTCTAAACTTCTTCATTTCCGTAGCAAATACTGATACCCAGTCTACGTGATCTAAGCGTCTCTTAGCAAACGGTGCACACACCTGTGCTTGCAAGACCAAATAGCCTAGGTCTACACACGTGCGAAGATCCTTTCAGACGAGCTCGGAACATTACGTTGCTTTGCCGAGAGGTTACGATTGCAGGTGTTTAACCATAATAACCATTCCGTTATTCATTAAAAGAGAGAAAAAAACACACAGTTAATGATTAACATATCCATTCAAAAGAAATTATAAGGCAATGAACGAACAATAATAATGACAGTAATATAACTAGTGAAAAGATTTATCATTATCAATCGAAGTATGACCTATATATTTTCGGGAAAAAGACTGAGGAGGCAGCGAGCGTAGGAATATGAAAACTTTTTATTTGCTTTTCCGGGGAAAAGGTGATTTTCTTAAAATCTTTTTACGTTAATTTTGTTTTCTTTAACGTATTAAATATACATCATTATTCTTAACATTTGTTGTAATCTTGTATCTACTGATCATGAATGGAACTATTTTCGTCGGAGCAATTGTGTGAAGAGTACCTGACTTTAGTAATATATCTTGAATAGATAATATGCACTGATCGAATATATTAAAAATGTCATGAAATTGCATTTCAGTCTTTGAAGTCGTCACTAAGTCATTCTCCTATTCTGAAATTACCAAACATAAAGGAGCCTTTTATACTTCAGACTGATGCATCTGATAGAGGTTTGGGAGCTGTCTTGCTTCAGAGAGTAGAAGATCAAAAGTTACCAGTAGCATACGTGAGTAGGAAGTTGAAAGAGTGTGAAAGTGCGTACGCAACAGTAGAGAAAGAATGTTTGGCTATTGTTTGGGCCATTCAGAAATTTCAAAAGTATTTATACGGTCAAGAGTTTGTTCTAGAGACTGATCATAGTCCTCTTGTGTATCTAAACCAGTCAAAGGTCACCAATCCTAGATTGATGCGCTGGGCACTCAGTCTCCAGCCATATCGATTCAGAATCCAAGCCATTAAGGGAAAAGAGAATGTAGGGGCAGATTACCTGAGTCGTTTGTAAATTTATGTAAATAGTTTGTCATTTGTAAAGTTTCAGGTTTGTTTTCTCATTTTTAGATTTTTATGTGTTTTAAAGTACTGCGTACTTTTGGAAAATGGGAGGTAGTTGTCACATTAAAATCTACATGTTCCTATTCGAACACGCAAGCAATTTATATTTACCTGTGGGGAGTCTCCATTTTTCACCGGGTTTATGTTACCCTGTTTTATACCTCAAATCACCGGACCTTTAAAATATTTGTAAGCCCGTGCTTCAGTTTGGACACGGCAGTCCTGGGAGAAGGACGTTTTCAAAATTTCTCAAGATCTGTTTGATTTATCTTATACACATGGCAGACCACTGAGGGTTTTACTTGTTTAGAATTTAGTTGTATGGTCCTGCTTCTCTGAGGTAAGCCTTATTTGTGTTTGTTTTTAATATTTTATAAAGTTGTAAACATCTCAAAACACCCAGATACGGAATTTCTAAAATATGCAACTTTAAGCTATTCTATTTGATATTTTTAAGTTCTGTTATTTATAGTTACTCGAAAATGTTTGAGTCTTAATTGTACGGTGGATTGTTTGTGTCTTTATTTGTCGGTTCTACGTTCTGTAATAACTATTGTATAGCAAAGCATTTATTGCGTTGTACATATTGTACTCACGGAGTAAGTTGTATGTCTATATTATTCTGTGTATGATATTTTAACAGGTCTCATTCCTGTATAGTAGTGTAGAGATGGCGGCCGGTACCAGTCACATCTCATAGTCTTGAACGCAAGACGGACGTGTAACCTCCTCGGCACTGGAGAGGGGGAAGTGTAAACCTTTCTCGGCACTGGAGAGGGGTGTCTGAGCCTCATTAGCGGCAAGAGACTGTAGTGTAGCCTAAACACCGTGTGGAACAAAACCATAGACGTAGTAGACATTTTAGGGACACGGACGACCACACACCAAACCAGTTTATTATGTTGTAGAATATTATTTTGTTAATTAAAATGTAAAGTTAATATGTAGAAAAGATTTTCTGTTATTTATTTAGGGGAGTTTGGATCACTATTCTCTACGCAAGGTCATTATTTGACAGTTACTTTGTGGCAAGTTTGGTAAAAATTGGCCCAGTGGTTCTTGAAAATGTGAAAAGTTTACAGACAGACGGACAGATAGACAGACGGACAGACGGACGCCGGCAAAATGTGATCAGAAAAGCTCACTTGAGCCTTCGGCTCAGGTGAGCTAAAAATGGGGAAAAAACTCAGTATAATGAAGAAAAATAGTCCAACTATGATGAAAAAACCAAGTGCATATCTTTAAATGGTGAATAAGGAGAGTAAAAAATGTCTGACAAAGCCATGCAAATAGTCTCCAAGTCCAGACAAAATCAGACAGACAAACAGGTGGACAGCTGGACAGACAGACAGACATGCTAATACCAATATCCTCCAAACTCTGCTTGCAGGGGTAGAGTGAGAAATTTCTATGCAAGAAATTGCTTGTTGCAACTTTTTGTTGTTGCAATAAACACAAGAAATATAATTTAGTCAATTTATTCTTTTAAAAAATAACAATAAAACAGACACTGAATTGTACACTCGAACATACATACACATATCAGGCTAAATTCCTACTGCACTCTTACCAACAAAACTTGTTCTTGATTTCTACCTTCTTGTATGCTTCATTGAAAATAAATAAGTAGAAAATTCTTCCAAAAAATATACACAGTTTATAAACTAATATAATTTAAAGCACTAACCCTTGCAATTTCCTACATCTACTTAAGGGAGATGAACATTTGGAGTTGCTTTCTCACTGAGTATCCGTCTTTGTAGTGTGATGTTTTGAGTATGATTCCTCAGATCTAAATGCATGCCTTTAGTCCACTTAAGGCTTTATAATACACTAATGTTACAAAACTTAATGTTTCTTTCAATTTCAAACACATGCTCTCAATCACAAATTCATCTTCTCTAACCACACACACACACACATTACAAAATCTCTTGCTTTGCTTACATCACAGAAATTTACAAATCTGAATGATTGTAATTAAGTGAGTAAGTCTGTCGGAGTGTTGTCCCCTGCCACCATGTCTGCTGATTGACTCTCTCCACTGGTTCCCAGCCCTACCACCGCTGAAGCTTTTGTTGGCATCAAGGGCTCTGGAAGAAGAGGAGTAGGAAGATTTGTGATATTTTCGGTGTCTGCATCAATGTCAATTTTCATTTTCTGGGGTTTAATGGTCCATGGATTTCTCTTAAGAACACTTTCAACCTCCTGTTTAAAGCTGTCCTGAAATTCCCTCATTTCCTGTTGGAGTTGCAGTGTGTCCGCCATGACCTTTTCTTGTCGCTGTCGGAGATCTGACAGCGTTCGCAGGTTCTCCCACATAATACGGAGACCCTCACATGTATTGTCCTGTCCATTTTGGGGAGGAATGGCTTCCCCGGACATATATCTATCATACTCTTGTTGTGTCAGATTTAATGACTCTGCATTAATACTCTCGATGAAAGACACAGCACAACACTGTTCAAAAGATTGAATATTTCACAGCTTCAGCAGTTTGAAAAAGAATTTCTACATGTTTCTAAAAGAAGCTTAAAATGTCAAACTAAGACCAGATCTTCTTTCTCCTGACTTTTTCATATAATCAGTTGTAAAATTTACAATTTATTATACACTAACATAGGGCTTACAGCAATGAAGACTTACCAGGTTAGTGAAATAATACCCTGCCTCTCCGCTCATTAGCCTACTTGGATTGGCAAACCTCGTGATATACTGTATATTGGACTGGAGTAATGGGGGGTTCGCCTTCAACACAATGAATATCAGGGCTGGGAGGAAATCATCTGCATTAGCTGGGCCTGTTTTTGAATGGCGCAAGATTTCAAAGATGTTCTTACAACATCGAGTGACACAATCCAGCTTGTCAGGAGGTGACTTCTTTGAGTTCATCTCAATTATTTCTGTAATACAAAGCCCAAATTGATGATATAAATACACATTACAAGTGAAGAATTAATACTGATATCCAACTGTGGTTTTTAATTTACAAAGCATAACATTGCAATTTTGTTGTTATAAAACATGAATTGTGTTTGCATGGAAAGTAAAAGTTCATACCCCTCATGAACTTTTCAGTTTGAAATATATTACTTGTATATTTTTAATGATTAACCTTTGAACTCTCGATTTTTTTTCCCAATCATTGGGATTTGTTCCTCACATAAATGAAGATTACATTTCCCTCTAACATCTGACTACCTGTGATCGCCCTGTCCACTAACTGTCGGACCTCCTCTTCATTATCATTAATGGGCGTGTCCAGCTGCTGAGCTGTCACCCAATGTAAACCTCGGATTCTGTCCTGAATCTTCAGATCTTTCTGTTCGTCCTCGTTACTCTGACAAAATACCATAGAGTAGACTCGTACCATCACATACTTCTCAATGTAGTCAAGAAGCTTCTCCGTCATCTCGGGACTCTGACCTGTAAAAATGTCAAGTCACAATAAATGTTCAAGTCAGATCTGTGTCAAGTCACAATAAATATTCAAGTCAGATTTGTGTCAAGTCACAATAAATGTTCAAGTCAGATCTGTGTCAAGTCACAATTATCATTCGAGTCAGATCTGTGTCAACTCACAATTATCATTCAAGTCAGATCTTTGTCAACTCACAATTATCATTCAAGTCAGACCTGTGTCAACTCACAATTATCATTCAAGTCAGATCTGTGTCATGTCACAATAAACGTTCAAGTCAGATCTGTGTCAAGTCGCAATAAACTTCATAAAAAGTATTTTTCTGTGTATAAAGTGTAAAAATAAAACAGGAGTTTAGCAGAATGGAGATTTAACTCAGCATTCACTAAATTTAAGCAAGGAAAATGCAGTTTCCATGTGGAATAATTGTCCCTGTTTAGTCATAAAAGTTTTATGTGCATATACTAGTACTCTCTTAATCCCAGGCATTATTTCTGGTACATACAGGCTACTTGTTCATAATACTTCACACTCAGAACTCACTTGGTATATATACATGCTCACCCCTACTGTCCCCCATCTCTTACCTTTGTAAGTACTATGCATATTCATCCTGTCAGACATATTTTGGTAGAAATCCTGAACCATCTCTGACAGTTCCTCCACGGGTGCATCTGTGTTCTGGGTGAGTTTATCCACAATGGCTTTTGTGTTCTTTGATACGTCTACTGCCACATTTTTACGGATGGACTTGAGATAATCTGCAAACTCAGTCCCGAGTTGTTGCGTTTCCAAGCTCACTCGCTTGATTTCTTTACGTGGACCTGTGCTCTCCTGTAGAGGTGAATCTGGAAAAACAATAAATAGGTTATACAACTGGAAGGATAAATGAAGTGAATTAAGAGTACACATATTTGTCTAAATACATATTTTCTTGAATTAATCTGGCCCAAAAATCATGAAACATCTTATGCCCTAAGTCAAAATCTGTATGTTGTGCTGGAATGATGCAGAAGACAAACTGTCCAAAATTCAATATTGCATCACCAAAGTGCAGTTATCTTACTTGACTCAAGTCTAAGTCTTCTTACTTGACTCAAGTCTAAGTCTTCTTACTTAAGTCTAAGTCTCTTTATCTGACTTAAATCTGTTTTATAATCATAAAGCTAGGTTTTTGAATCAGTACATGTATCTGTGATTAAATCTTCAAGCAAAAGCTCTGAAGTAAAGCACACATCTCCTTTCATATTATGTGTAATTCATGTGTAATGCAACTTCAATATTTTCATATTTATATCAACAGGTTTATATTGCAGGTAAAAATTACTTTGATGCATTATTATCATAAAACAAAAAAAAACTATTATTGATAATTGTAATAAATGCACTTACATGCTTATGGTATGTTATTTCTTGTATTCATAATGTACTTATTCATTTCAATTAATGTACGTCACAAAGATTAGGCCTAGAGCTAATACAATGTCATTAATAAACACTACTTAATCTCTTACACAGATGGGAAGCCCTAATCAAACTCAAGAGAATCTAAATAGGATTATACAAGTCACTATCTGATTATATTTCCTTTTAGATGAAATTAATTGCTTTGTAAATTGTAATAGAATATATATTTTTAATGACATATATTGTTTCATTATGTGCACTGTATATTTCTGAACAGTAGACATTAAAAATTGTCACACATTCCAGTTCTATACTTGGCATTTTATCATCAGCATATTTAACTGTGTCACACCAAAGGTATATTATGTAACTACATGTTGTTGTTTGTTTTTCATATAACAAGAGGCCCAAGGGCCTTAATGGTCACCTGAGTGTAATACAACAATTTAGAGGATCCATAGAGTATAAATGAACTGCCTCTGATATACCCAGGTGCAGAGAAGATTTTTAAAGCTTTAATGCATTTTCACTATATAATAAATAGAGCCCCGCCCTAATATCAGAACCTCTGATCCAGGGGTCATTAAATTCACAATTTTGGAAGAGGCATCCTTGCTTATCATAACTATGTATTTGTTTAAATAATACCCAGGAGAAGAGAAGAAGATTTTTAAAGAAATAATGCACTTTCACTATATGATCTATATAGCCCCGCCCTAGCACCAGAACCCCTGACCCTGGGGTCATGAATTTCACAATTTCGGTAGAGTCACCCTTGCTTTTCATAGCTATGTATTTAATTTGTTTAAATAATACTCAGGAGTAGAGAAGAAGATTTTCAAAGAAATAATGCACTTTCATTATATGATCTATATAGCCCCGCCCTAGCACCAGAACCCCTGACCCTAGGGCCATGAATTTCACAATTTGGTAGAGTCACTCTTGCTTATCATAACTATGTATTTAATTTGTTTCAATAATACCCAGGAGTAGAAAAGAAGATTTTCAAAGAAATAATGCACTTTCACTATATGATCTATATAGCCCCGCCCTAACACCAGAACCCCTGACCCTGGGGCTATGAATTTCACAATTTTGGTTGAGTCACTCTTGCTTATCATAACTATGTATTTAATTTGTTTAAATAATACCCAGGAGTAGAGAATAAGATTTTCAAAGAAATAATACACTTTCATTATATGACCTATATAGTCCCACCCTAGCACCAGAACCCCTAACCCTGGGGTCATGAATTTCACAATTTTGGTAGAGTCTCCCTTGCTTATCATAACTATGTATTCAATTTCTTTCAAAAATACCCAGGAGTACAGAAGAAGATTTTTAAAGAAATAATGCACTTTCACTATATGATCTATATAGCCCCGCCCTAGCACCAGATCCCCTGACCCTGGGGCCATGAATTTCACAATTTTGGTAGAGTCACCCTTGCTTATCATAACTATGTATTCAATTTCTTTCAATAATACCCAGGAGTAGAGAAGACGATTTTCAAAGAAATAATGCACTTTCACTATATGATCTATATAGCCCCGCCCTAGCACCAGAACCCCTGACCCTGGAGCCATGAATTTCACAATTTGGTAGAGTCACTCTTGCTTATAATAACTATGTATTCAATTTGTTTCAATAATACCCAGGAGTAGAGAAGAAGATTTTCAAAGAAATAATGCACTTTCACTATATGATCTATATAGCCCCGCCCTAGCACCAGAACCCCTGACCCTGGAGCCATGAATTTCACAATTTTGGTACAGGGTTCAATGTTTATTACAATCATGCCAACAGTTTGACTGCTTGATGTCCAGGAGTAAAGAAGAAGATTTTTAAAGATTGCATTAATTTTGATGGTTTTGACCCCACCCCTCAGGCCCCAGGGGGGCAGGGGCCACAAATTTCACAATTTTTGTTCCCCTTCACCCATAGATGCTATATGCCAAAATTGGTTGAAATTGGTTTGCTGGTTCCAGAGAAGAAGCTGAAAATGTTCAAAAGTTTACGAACGACGACGGACGAAAAGAGATAGCAATAGGTCACCTGAGTGACTCAGGTGACCTAAAAATGTAACTCTGACATGAAAATCATGTATACAATGTTAAAAACTGTTCCAAATGTTTGGCATTTACAAGATCTCCATCTGCTGGCTAGGGTACAGGTATCATTGTATCCTAAACTATTGTCTGTAATCATGGTAATTGTATATTAGTAAACAACGATATTTTTTTTTGTTTCATTTAATTGCTTCAAACTTCATGACGTGAATATTTAACAAAACTTTTTAGAACATTGAGCTGAACCTAACTGTGGAGTACTTGTAATCTAGCTGTTGGTCGAGTCATTAGTATGTACATGGAGAAATTACTGAAGTGTGTTATCATGTACCTTACACAAGAGATCACAGTCCACCTATTTCAGGTGTTATAAGTCCTTTATCAGTCTTTTGTAGGGAGGTCCAGTACTAACCAGTTCATACCAGACAGGTTAAGAAGGCAGGTAGATATAAGTATATATCTAAATACAGATCACAGGAGATAACACAGTGCCCCAGTTAATACAAGCATACCAAGCACATCCTGACACATTGCCCTAAATATCCTTTACTACAATACAATGATGTATATAATCCTAGCCTTAGGTAGTCATACCTCAATTATCTCTCCTACAGGAAGATAATGGCTGCTTACATCACAAAATGACAACCTTATACATTTAATGTTGTAAAAACCTAATAGGAAGTTGTAAACATAATATAAATGTGTCATAATGTGGTCTTAAAGAGTCACATATTTTGTGAACATAAATTTTCTTTTGTCTTATCATTTGAGAAAGTATTGTTATTACCTTCCATAATACACAAAACTATGTTGCTGTACTTTTGAGAAATATAACTTTAAAAAGTACAAGAACAATCTATAGATTAAGCAAAAAAATCAAAATTATCAAATTATTAAAAAGAACAAATATTGTGCATTTCTTTAGAAAAATATGAATTTTAACCAATCAATTTCTTTGCAATGCAATAACTAGAAAAATAGCTTCACTGTTAATAATAATGTTATTTGAACAACTTACCCCTGTAACAGAATTTCCCATTGATAGTTTTCACATCAATTACTACAAATTCATCATCATATTCATCATGTAACCTCAACACAAAGTTCTCTTTCATTTTCACATTGAGTTTCGAAAAAACATTTTCCAAAGACATAGCTGTTCATTTGCACTTTTATGCTTTACACCTGAAACTCTTTACTCTCTTAAATTGAAAGTACACCTTGTATGCTCTATGGACTGCACTGGACAAAAAGAACCAAGAAATGCCTTAACAAAGAAAATGATTTTTCAAATTTTCCACATTAGCAGTATAATTATGTTGTGGATTCCTAGCCAACCAATGACAAACTGTGATGATGCAATCACTAATAGCTTGGGCAGGTGACATTAATCTCTAGGCATGTGCTAGGTCATGTGACTTTGTTTGTAAACAAAGAGTTGTTGCTCAACCTGCTCAGCTAGAGACCATAATTAACCTGCAATCTGTCACCATTCTGATTGAATGATTTAATTATCAAATCAAGTGTCAATAAAATAATCAATAACATGCATGTCAGATCTAAAAATATATTATTTTGGTGATTTCTAAACTGATAATTAAAAAGCCACAAGGTACTTCTGCAACCAAAGCTAATTTTCTATCTACAATAAAAAAAAAAAACAATTTACAAAAATCAATAAAAACTCCATTTAAATAAATATCTTCACCTGTGTAACTTAAGTATGATCTTATCATAATTATGTATATATTTAAACTACCATCACAGCAACTTACTACAATATGGAAATATTTTCCTTTTTTACCATTGATAATTACTACTTAATAATTAAACCCTTGCACAACCTTTAAATGTAAATTATTTCAGTAGACAAATTCTGTAGATATACTATCATCAGACATTTTACACTGTTGTACCTGTTTATAACTTTTATGACAATTTTTTTCACAGCAAAATATATAACTTAATTAATTAAATGAAAATTGGTGTAAATAATTTCCATTTAAGGAATATGTCTTGTGCAAAAATGGCCACTAAAGGTATATAAGCATGTACCAGAATACACATTTAATAGTTATATACTTGATGATTTATATTGGACTTTGTATTACCTTTGGTAGGTGTCTTTGTATTACCTTTGGTAGGTGTCTTGATGACTATTATTGGACTTTGCATTATCTTTTGTAGGTGTCTTTATGATTTATATTGGACTTTGTATTACCTTTGGTAGGTGTCTTTGTATTACCTTTGATACGTGTCTTCCTGAATATAGACTTGACTGGATGATTACATTTGGTAGATATCTTTGTATTACCTTTGGTAGCTGTCTTCCTGAATATCGACTTGACTGTATGTGATCTCTTGTTGAACTGAAGTGACTTTTTCTCTGTAAATTTGGAGAACAATGGAGTAGAGGTCTCCTCTGTCTCTGGCCTGTCAACAACAAGGTATATACTGAAGAACACAAATCATCAGGAAAAAAATAAGTCCGTTTTCCCTTAATAACTTTCCTAATGAACACGTAAAATGTTTCAACAATATACTTCCAAGTTTTACTTTCTGTTCATCTAAGAAGATGAAACAGAATTATTAAACAAGAAAATATCTATATGCTACACAGATCGATAATAACAATATAGGAGCATTAACATCTCCCTGACCTAAGTCTAGCACCTGCTTCTCCGGGGGATATGATGATGTAACAAAAGTCTCATCAACAGTGTCAAGTATTCAATAACCTACATACTACAGGGCATCATACTACAGGGAATGATTCTGTCATCAATATTGGCTATTATTATAACCCTAATTCATTAAACATTCATGTTATTACAGAAAGAGAGAATACTTCTTTTCTCTTGTTGAGCATAACATCACTTGATTCCTTTCAGATGACCAATGAAATCCATACAGAGTTATATACATGACTACAACCACCCACCCCACCGTCCACAAAAAAAATCTTGGATAGATACATCAATAGATGACATTTTTTACATCATAAAATCCAAAATCCTTAAATCCATGTACATACAGTTAAAAGTGTTTGTTATATCAAAACATCAATATTGAGATAAAAGATATTACTATTTTTTATTATTCAGAACTTGAAAATAATGAATGATGAAGCAATCTTTGCTGTCCTTAGTGACTGGCTATAACAACACTTGGTACAATTAGATGTGTCGATAATGCCATGAATGCCCCCACAAGCAGCCAAAATATTTAGTTTTAAATTTGTATTCAAACATGAACCATATTTTCTGGTAAAATACCAGCATATACAATTTCAACCTCATACATACATCCCTACAAAAGTTACAGAGTGGAGACTGAAAATTTCTTCTTATTTTTTCTAAGTTCAAGAGAAACAACTCTGTCAAAAATCATCGTACCATGACCAAATTCGAACTTGACCTGTATTTTCTGGTAATATTCCTGCATATGCAATTTCAACCTTATACATACATCCCTACAAACATTAGAGAGAGGAAACTGAAAATTTCTTATTTTTCCCTAATTTCACGAGGGATAACTCTCTCAAAAATCATCGGACCATTACCAAATTCGAACTTGACCTGTATTTTCTGGTAGTATACCTGCATATGCAATTTCAACCTTATATATACATCCCTACAAAAGTTAGAAAGTGGAAACTGAAAATTTCTTATTTTTTCCTAAGTTCAAGAGGGATAACTCTGTCAAAAATTATTGGACCATGACCAAATTCGAACTTGACCTGTGTATTCCTATGATATATCCACATGTCAAATTTGAGTTGACAGAATAACGAAACAGGGTAACACTATGTGCCCCAGCCATTTTATGGCGGCGGCATAAAAACCTGCTATTAATGTAATAAGATCATGATATACCAGGACATACACTAACCAAAAAAAGGACACAGAAGATGTGTATCTAGCTATATTGGCGGAGTAAACAGAAGAATCAAGAGACTAATACAGGCATGTGTACCTGATAAAACCATGGTTTACTAGTATCTGCTATGTGTCACTCAAAGGTACAAAACTAATATCTATATTACGAATCTTATGATAATGAACAATCAGAAAATCTGGCTGGAAAGAGTAAGAAGTACCCTCTCCATACTAGATATCAAGGTATACATAAACAAATAGCAGTCTGAGTAGACACCTGTGACCTACACCTTGTTAACCCTGTGAACATTTAACCCAGCCCATGAGTCACAGTGTGTAACATCTGTCTTCCTTCATCAGCCTCTGTTACAAATCTTAATATTGATCTAATCATCTGAATGTGTGAAGTTGGTCTACTTGACTCACTATTCACCAAATCTAATAATAAGGCTGACTGGTCTGACATTGTTACAATATGCCTATAAATCTTAAATTTATTAGTATGAGTGATGTGTTCAGTTATATATGTGATCATTCTGGGTGTGACTGACACTTTAAAATAGTGCACTATAACTTTAGGGAATGCAGCTCAAGTGAAAAAAGTTGCAATGCATAAGTCCAGCTGCAGAATTAAAGCCACAGGGGTTTTTTTTTTGTGTTTTGTTTTTTTAATTTCTAGGATGCTGACCCTAATTTCTGGGGAATTAGAAAAAAAAAATTCAAATTTCTAATATTTTTTTTATTCTGCCAATTCTACTCAATACTCCAAAACAAATACATTTTAAAATCTTATGAATGTAAAATTGTGGAATTCAAACTTATTGGTCTGGGTTTCATAATCACTTCATTTTGTGAAATTAATATATTTATTAAATAAAGTATATTTATAGTTTGTAAATTTTAAACAAGCCATGTAATCATTGTAAACTCAGATACTGATATCATTCTCATAGATGAGAAAGATGGTACAGCATCACAAAAACAAGCTGCCCATCGGCCTCATTGCTCACCTGAGAACTTCGGCAAGGAAAAGCAGAAATCAGTTCAGTATTGAAAAGTTAAAATATAAAAGTGGGGGCAGGGGGCATGATTTGAACACTCTTGAATCTACACTACCTAAGGATGCTTCTAAATCAATATGACTAATCATGGCTTTTCTGTTCTTGAAAAGAAGAGTTTTAATGATTTTTCCTATATACTCCTACGTATAACTTTAATATCCAATTGTGACCTCTCCCTACCCCCTGGGGTAGGGAGAGACCTTTGGCTAAGGTGAGCCAGTTGCAATAATACATATAGTAAAGCTATTTGGGTGTTTAATGGCTCTATGTACTCTATCTTTCTACCCCAATCTTTCAACACACATCTGATTTTTTGTGAAAAAAATTCCTAACAAAAATTAACTTAGGTAAAAGTTGTCACTCTTGTTTATCCTCTAAATGAACTTTAAACATGAAAAAAAAAAAAACCATTGTTAGAGAAATTTTGTTTTTAACCATCAAGTATAAAAATCATCTCTAGGTGTTAACGAATGACTGAGGGTGAAAATAACAAGGAGTGCTGAAGAAGTGATGTTAAATGGCTTTGTGGTGTCAACGTCTTCGTGTCTCTAGAAACAATCCCTTTACTCACGAAATCATAAAGTATATTATAATGCAGTATGTAATAAAAATACAATATTGTTACTCCTTAGATTAAGTTCAATGTTCTTCTACACAATTAATACAGTTATATTCATAACCTAGCTGTATGAGGTCAATGTACTATGTGAAAGCAATGCCAAGTATTATTTCATTTGCACTAAATACAATAATATTTTAATCTCTTCACAATAAAGCTAGAAAATACTGTACATAAGTTTCAAGTGTAGCACGACTATAAGAGGTTGAATATCTGTTCTCCTTTTGTAGTCTGAATGGAAACATTTAATACTTCGTTGTATTTGAAGTACAGTCAAACCTCGTTATCTCGAACTCGATGGGACCAAGAAAAAACTTTGAGATATCTGAGGATTTGAGATATCGAGGGTAAAATACTTTAAGAATAAGTGGTTGGGACTTCAAAATCACTTGACATATCCATGGTATTCGAGATATCGGTGTTCGAGATACCAAAGTTCAACTGTATCTTTAATAGGTGCATAATTATATGTTAAGATAAATCATAATCAATAATCTCAAGTCATTCAATGAAACAATTAACTATTGCCCTTTTAAATATATATAAAATCATCTCTGCTTCAAAGTGTATGTCTAAAACTTGTATATAAGTTTGTATATTATTGTTACATTCTCACCTGGATTTCTAATTATGCTGATCCTGGGCCTTACCTCACCTAACCTGTTACCCCCCCCCCAACCCCCACCAACCACCATCACCATACACATACAAAAAAATACACCACTTTTCCCCAGTTTCCGTCCGGTTTTTCTGACATTTAGCCTGGGCCTGCTCCTCCTATCCCTCACCCACTGCTTACTTTTTTGATTTTACTTAGTTTTCTTGGGCCTGCTTTTTCCGACATTTATTACTACAACTGTGTTCTCAGTTAGTTCTCTGATTATCATTTTAAGCCGGAGTCTACCTGATAACCCCCCTCCCCCAGAACTTCTCTCACCACTGCTAAATGTTGTGTCCTCGCCTAGATTTATGTTCATTATGTCATGCCTGGTCTACCTGGTAGCACCAATCCCCCAGAATTCCTCTCATGACTGCTAATTTCTGTGTCCTCACCTAGTTTTCTGTTCATCATGTTGTGCCTGGGTCTACCTGATAATGCCCTCTCCCCCCCAGAATTCCCCTCACCTAGTTTTCTGTTCATCATGTTGGGCCTGGGCCTGCTTTGCTGCCTGGTAAACCTCTCTGTAACATTTAGAACAGAATCCCTGCCATGCTGGATTACCATAGAAACCACAACCATTTTTACAGAGCAAGTCTGACTCATCAACATGGAATGTCTTCTTAGCGGATTTCTTGCTGATATTCATAATTGTGGTGTGCTATAGAAAAAATATAATCCTTTATAATAATCAAAACATGGCAATATTATAAATAACATGTTCTAAAACTTCCAATTCTATTTGAGAAATATGAAGTTTTGCTTGAATAACTCTTCCTTACTTGAATTGCAAACCTTTTCAACATCTTATCATGATTATCACTAACTTAATCATAGCACATTTAAAATAAACCAATGACAAAAGGTTACAATTCATGTCAGTGTAGTATCATCAAATGTAACGCATTAAAGATGTATCTTGCAACACTTGTCATGTTCTAGCTGCAGATCTGTAGCTCGCTGGTCTGAAAAAATTGGGATGCACAATTAGAGAGCTACAGTGCCATCTGTAATGGGAGAGGAGAAAAATGCAGCAGACCAGACTGATTCAAACCTGAGCCCCCTGAATCTCCAGTCAGGTGCTCTACCAACTGAGCTATCTGGCAATCGGTGATTGAACCCGTCTGACCGCCAAATATTCCTCCCTCTTTAAAAGTCTTCGGCCCCATGACACCAACCCAGGCTCTTCCCTGGCAGGTATTTCACCTGTCACTTCCAGGGCATGGCATGGCACCAAATGTAATGGGAGAGGAGACTACCAACTGAGCTCTCTGGCCATCTTCGATCTAACTCATCTGACCACCACAAACCCATTTAAAAAGTGTATGTTTATTGGGCACAAAAAGTGCAATGTATCTCAATATATTTCTTCAAACTAGTATATCTAAACTGGCATCTCAAATTATTACTAACCCTGTGTTCAAACATATTTTGTTACTATTTCCACAACAAAACATTCCCCAATAATAGCCTCTTCAGTCTGAAATTTCAGGCCAATGAAAATTTTGCCAATTTATACTGCCATTTTGTGTGGCAAGACAATTTGGTCCAATGCACTTCATGCATAACTTGTATAAACAGTTTTGGTGTGGAAGTAATAAAGAAAATATATTTGGAATATTTTGAGATGGCAGCTTAAATATACAGAGGAATAAATCGAGAAACAGTTTGCTTTTTGTGCACCAAAAATATACCCTTTTTTAATGGGTGGCACTGTAGCTCCCTAGTCGTCCATCCCAATTTTTTTTTTTTACCATCAAGCTACAGACGTGTAGCTAGTAATGTTCATAGTGGTTGTAAACACTAAAATAGACCAGTTTACGGTATTTTCGTGCATTCACCTACCTTCAAATAGACATTAATACTGTCAAAAAGAGATTAAACCAGAATTGTAAGACATGATTGAACATTCTGTATGTCACCCTATTCTATACTCCATCAAAAGTAACCATAGCTTTCTAGCTATTTTCATTCACTTTATTCGACATCCAGTTTTAAATCTGTTTTTATATGTAGATTTTTCTCTGCTTTATATGTTTTCCCACTTATAACTGGCCTTTCAAAATCTGCAGGTACCTGCATGGTACCTTTACCCACCTAAAATGATGATTGTATCGTTTCCAATCCTTTTGAAAGCTTTGAACAGTACTTATATGAGCATTTATTATTATATTTATTATATATTATATTATATATTTTATTATATTATCTCTCTTATCAGCAACTAGTAAACTGCAGTCTGTGTAAATACTGACAATTAGCTCACTACGACAATAGGCTAGTCTTTCAGGATGCCTGATGCAAAACAACAAAAGGGCAGACGGAAGTTCCAATATTTTGGCTAAACTCAAGCATCAAACATTAATTCTTATCAAAATATCAAAGTACATATAAACGAAAGTAAAACCTCACTTACGCCAGCCAGCTATCGTGTCATTGTCAATCAATAGAAGTCATGTGATTATTAGTTATGCCTCTGGCTGCCTCGTCAACTGTACTTCCAGTGTCAAGGTCAGAAAGGTTTCAACCTCTGTTTCGTATTTATTCCAGTTGCTTACTGCATGAGTAAATTTATTTTAATCGATATTGTTTCTATATATTCTTTAAAAAATTCAATAGATTTAATGACTGTTTCGATACCTGATATATTTTATGGATATGCACTAATAATCTACGGAACTTCCAACAAATGTAAACAAATCTGGGGGGCGTTTCTCCATCAACAAAAGCACATGTCGACATGGTTTCGCTGTCGAGTCTCTTGCAGTCCCCAGTCCAAGCTCTTCTCCGTCCAGCCATGTGGCTCCCCATCATTAAAAATCTACACAGCTATAAAGAGGTGTAGGTGTCATTTTAAAGATTAAATTTAAAATATGCAATAATTCTCTACATTATGTACACGGTTGTTTTTTTTTTCTTCATAAAATTCAGGTGGACATGTAAAAAAGAAAACACTGTGATTTTAAAAGCAATCATCGATTCTCTAGAAATGTTAAAGGCCCATGACAAGAAAGGCACGGTTTACGATATCCATAAGGTTAGATTAATTAGAAGATATGAACTAGCTTGTATATATATACACTTTATGCATGTATATGGTCTACATTAATTTGTTTAGTATTCTTGTCTTTCACTTTTTTGTCCTTCATTTTTTTTATAATTAAAGGTAACAAAAAAGAGAGACTTTATTAATTTACAGATAAGTCAAGATGTAACATTTGTGAGAATTTTTGTCTTCACATGGGCAGAATGGTTAGATGTGATGGAATTTAAAGTTCTAAATGACAAAGTTGAGGTAATAAGTGTTTACCCTCACAGTATTGAAATTCAATTTCTTCTGTATTTTATACTCCTGTAAACATTGTGTAACTTTTTTCAATTCCTAGGCATATTCCTTTTCCACTGGTCTTTTTCCACTTTTCATTCCATTTATAAGCATTGTTAACTGTGTAAGTATTTTATTTCATGCCAAATATCTTATTACAACAATTCTGAAATCACATGCATCATTAGCAACCCAGGCCTTCTTTTCACGCTGTTCAATAAACTCTTCCTTACAGATATTTTTCTGGGTTCCATTCTTGGATGTTGGATTGAACAAAAACAGAATTTCATCACTGAGGACAATATTAGATGCAGATATAAAAGACTTCAAAGTTAATTAAATATTCTTCTAGAATACCAACATAATCTCAACACTGCTGCACTAACGTATTTAGACTTCAGTTTACTGCATTTAGACTGTTTTTTATTTTAACATATTATCAACATGCCATGAAACTGTGATAGAGATGGAGAATTTCTGACAGTCCTTAAACGATAGTCATGAAATCTAAATCTAATTTATTCATATGTACAATCATATGATCATAAATGAATTACATGTATATAATAGTTAATAAAATTGACAATATTTGTTCTGCAGGTTTAACCACTGTATCATTAATATAAAAGTTAAATCTCAAAACAAATGTGTAGACCAATGCTTTCATCAAACTTTCACCAAGAGCTGAAAACTCTACATCGTTTTAAAAGCAGTCTGAAAAATGAAAGCTTTTTCCTGTTCAAGACATGAAATTTACACAATATTTTTTTTCTCACAAGGAACATATAAGTTAATTACAATTCAAAAGACAAACATATAATGTTAATAGTATTTTCTCTAAATTTTCATTATTTATAATAATACATATAAACTGAAAATTAACTTCCAAAGAATATGAATGACTAACAGGCTACAATTAGAAATATATACATGTATTTGAGTATAAAAATTTGTTTTTAAAGTGGTAAAAATGTAGAATTCAAACACAGATGAAACTTACCGGTATGTTAATAAAAAAAACTTATGTTAATAACTGATATTCGTGCTTTGCGTTTTGATGCATTGCAAGCAGGAACATCTCTCTTTGCTACAAATCTCCTTTATGGCATAATTATGTCTTGGACTCATCTGAACCCCTTCTTTAGGACTATATTTCAACTAAAGGGTTGTAATCATCAAGAAAATTTAAATTTCAAAATAACAATGGCTACAAAGCACCTTCTACATCATTTATAAATAAGCATACACACTTAAAAATATACATATACTATCACTAATAATTATCAATAAAGCTAATGACACTAAAAAATCTATTTAACAAACAGCAATATTTGGTACAATACTGAATACTTAATATGGTTATAGCTAACACAAGCCTGGAATAGCTTTCGACACTCTTACTTACAGACATGACACATTAATTCGTAGGGATGGGTATCTGCAAAAATTTCGTATCGTGATATATTACGATTCTATCCCAAAAATATCACAATAAATCGTGATATTTTTACACACAATTTTTACTACAATTTCAAACGAATTTCCATAATATTCCTTAAAAATATGGTATAAAAACATAACTCTACTTTTAAAGTGTTCATTATTTTAATATAAAGAATGTTTTAATGCCGTTGTTTAACTGTTTTCAACATTTTTTTACACTTCCTGTAATTGTCATTCAATAGTTTGAACAAATAAATGAATAATTTCCAGAATTTATAGTTATGTACCAAATACCGGTATTTTAGTCTCCGTATCAAGATACGTATCATGCAATAAAAAATCGCAATATACCAGTATACTGATAAAATCACGCATCCCTATCAGTTCGGTATCCTTCATTTTCTGATGTCTCATACATTTATTCTGGCTTGAGATTAAAAAACACACAACAGAAAAAAGGGTGACTTTAATTTTTGCAGCAAGTATACTTTATCAGTGACAATGCAAATTAGTCCAGTCCATTTTTTTCTGGGAGTACATTATAACTATTGATGCTGCTCCTTAGCTGCATTCGTTACACAGAAATAAATGAGAATGTGCAAAGTTTCTGCTAATTTTAAAAATGAACAGATATATCCTTGATCTGCTTAATATAGAATAATTAAAAGATCATATTAATTGTTCTTTGCCCTTAAGTTTTCTCTTCCAAAAATTTCCTTAAATCCCTTTATTCTTTTGTACACATTGCAGGTGGTCAACCAAAACTTATTTGAATGTACAACCCTGGTCTTGCTTTGGGTGGTATTAATACATGTATTGCCAGTTCTGGCATGAGGAATTTTGTTCATCTAAGAATTGTTGATGATAAATATGTTGTTTTTTTTTAATATATCTAAATATCCCAATCCTATAACATGTTTTAATAACTCCACTGCCTCAGTTACAATTGATTTGTATCTTTTACTTTCCATCATCTTAAACTGCTTTTTTAACATACTTAACAAACATACTTATCTTTCAATAATAAATTATTTTCATAACCAAGAGGAAGTCATGTTAAACAACTAAAATTAAAATAAAATCATCTCTTTAAAAATCAGCAATAGGATTTCATACACAATACATCACACAATACTTGTCTGAACTCTAATAAAATTAAAACACATGAATTTGATTACAATAAAAACAATTTATATATGTATATAACAGATAAAAACATACAACAAATAAAACATGGAAGAGTATCAAAGTATCATCCTCTTAGAAGATACACTTGTGATTGATGCTAAGTTGCCTCCCTTTATTGCTGCTATTAATCTGGTTCTCTTTACTTGGTCTTTCTAGCCTCTCTATCACTTTGATCTATAAGAGCAATGTTCTTACTTGCTGCTATCAGCTGTAAGATGCTGATCCCTGCCTTAATGAAGGACAGTGGAGCACTGATATAGAGAATTGCCTGGAAAAGCCCAATTCCTAACACTGAAACCAAAAAAAAAATTCAACAGATCAAACTATAAACATGGAACATTTTCTAAAATTAAAAATGATTCCTGGAAATTCATATTTCAAAAGACATACAAATCATTGTGAGAATTATTATATAAAGAAAGGATATATTCATATACCCTTGTAACATGTAAGTTGGTCTTCCCTTTGAACTATTTTTTAACACCAAGAAGGTATTTCATTACTATACATATACATAAATTAACACACTCAAAATTTAGCACACCTTCCTCTTCAACTGATTTGGGACAACAAGAAGTGGGAAAGGAGCTAATATATTATTTCTGCTAAAATAAGTACAGATAAACATACAGTATAAGAATTAAGTACAAGAACTGTTTGATGAGCATACTCACAAGTTGGCCCTGGAGTGAAGTAGGTCAGATACAACATGCAGAAGAAAAGCTCATTGGCAGAACACATAACAAAAAGTATAATCTGGAAAAAAAATGTTTTCACACACATCATTAATAAACAAGTTATTTGTTTAAACCTAACTGCAGAATTGTAGCTCTCAAAAAAAAAAAAAATGTTGACAGACCGATGAGCTACAGTGCCATCCATTGAAAAAAAATTATATTTATTGCACACAAAAAAGTGCACTGTTTCTTGATTTATTTCTCCATGTTTTTCAAACTGCCATCAAAATATTACTAAGCTTGCATTCCTAACGTAATATTTTACTATTTCCAGAACAAACTATTACCTATAACCATTGTTAATCACCTTCCTGGCTTGAAATTGATAACATCGAAAATTTCTCCTATTTATACTGCCATTTTGGGTGGCAAAATAATTCAGTCCAACGCACTTCATGCAGATGTCAACTACAAGAGTGCATGTAGTGGATAGAGGTCTAAGGAAATTTTTGAAATCAAGCTTTTGTGCAGTTTAGGTAAGAATTTGGATAAATTAATCCAGAACTGAGTGCAACTCTTTGTGCGCAATAAATATATAAATTTTTCTATGGGTGGCACTGTAGCTCTCTGGTCATCCATCCCAATTTTTTTTCTGACCAGAGAACTACAGATCTGCAGCTAGTTTAAACCATAAGGTGGACTAATTGATATTCCATCAATTATCATCAAACTAAAAAAAACAGGTTTACTGTGAAGTGTCATATCTATTATAACATGTTATGAATGCCTAGAAAATCTTAATGTCAAGAAATTTTGGAGGCTTATATGAGTGATTATACTGTCTGTCTGTCTGTTTATCAGTTAGTGTTTGAGTACTGGATTGACTGACATTTACTCTCCCTGTTGTTATACTGTCTGTCTGTCTGTCTGTCTGTCTGTCTGTTTATCAGTCAGTGTTAGAGTACTGGATTGACTGACATTTACTAACCCTGTTATTATACTGTCTGTCTGTCTGTTTATCAGTTAGTGTTTGAGTACTGGATTGACTGACATTTACTTACCCTGTTGTTATACTATCTGTTTGTCTGTCTGTTTATCAGTTAGTGTTTGAGTACTGGATTGACTGACATTTACTCACCCTGTTGTTATACTGTCTGTCTGTATGTTTATCAGTCAGTGTGTGAGTACTGGATTGGCTGACATTTACTCACCCTGTTGTTATACTATCTGTTTGTCTGTCTGTTTATCAGTCAGTGTTTTAGTACTGGATTGACTGACATTTACTCACCCTGTTGTTATACTCTCAGTCTGTATGTTTATCAATCAGTGTGTGAGTACTGGATTGACTGACATTTACTAACCTTGTTGTTATACTATCTGTTTGTCTGTCTGTTTATCAGTCAGTGTTTTAGTACTGGATTGACTGACATTTACTCACCCTGTTGTTATACTCTCTGTCTGTATGTTTATCAATCAGTGTGTGAGTACTGGATTGACTGACATTTACCTACTCTGTTGTTATACTGTCTGTCTGTCTGTCTGTCTGTTTATCAGTTAGTGTGTTAGTACTGGATTGACTGACATTTACTCACCTTGTTGTTATACTATCTGTGTGTCTGTCTGTTTATCAGTCAGTGTTTTAGTACTGGATTGACTGACATTTACTTACCCTGTTGTTATACTGTCTGTTTCTCTGTATGTTTATCAGTCAGTGTGTGAGTACTGGATTGACTGACATTTACTAACCTTGTTGTTATACTGTCTGTCTGTCTGTCTGTTTATCAGTTAGTGTGTTAGTACTGGATTGACTGACATTTACTAACCCTGTTGTTATACTGTCTGTCTGTCTGTCTGTCTGTTTATCAGTTAGTGTGTTAGTACTGGATTGACTGACATTTACTAACCCTGTTGTTATAATGTCTGTCTGTCTGTTTATCAGTTAGTGTTTGAATACTGGATTGACTGACATTTACTCACCCTGTTGTTATACTCTCTGTCTGTCTGTATGTTTATCAGTCAGTGTTTTAGTACTGGATTGACTGACATTTACTCACCCTGTTGTTATACTGTCTGTTTGTCTGTCTTTTTATCAGTTAGTGTTTGAGTACTGGATTGACTGACATTTAATTACCCTGTTGTTATACTGTTTGTCTGTCTGTATGTTTATCAGTCAGTGTGTGAGTACTGGATTGACTGACATTTACTTACTCTGTTGTTATACCATTTGTTTGTCTGTCTGTTTATCAGTTAGTGTTTGAGTACTGGATTGACTGACATTTACTTACCCTGTTGTTATACTGTCTGTCTGTATGTTTATCAGTCAGTGTGTGAGTACTGGATTGACTGGCATTTACTTACCCTGTTGTTATACTATTTGTTTGTCTGTCTGTTTATCAGTTAGTGTGTTAGTACTGGACTAACTGACATTTACTTACCCTGTTGTTATACTGTCTGTTTGTCTGTATGTTTATCAGTCAGTGTGTGAGTACTGGATTGACTAACATTTACTAACCCTGTTGTTATACTGTCTGTGTGTCTGTCTGTCTGTTTATCAGTTAGTGTGTTAGTACTGGATTGACTGACATTTACTAACCCTGTTGTTATACTGTCTGTCTGTCTGTTTATCAGTTAGTGTTTGAATACTGGATTGACTGACATTTACTCACCCTGTTGTTATACTGTCTGTTTGTCTGTCTGTTTATCAGTTAGTGTTTGAGTACTGGATTGACTGACATTTAATTACCCTGTTGTTATACTGTCTGTCTGTCTGTATGTTTATCAGTCAGTGTGTGAGTACTGGATTGACTGACATTTACTTACTCTGTTGTTATACTATTTGTTTGTCTGTCTGTTTATCAGTTAGTGTTTGAGTACTGGATTGACTGACATTTACTTACCCTGTTGTTATACTATCTGTATGTATGTTTATCAGTCAGTGTGTGAGTACTGGATTGATTGACATTTACTCACCCTGTTGTTATACTCTCTGTCTGTCTGTCTGTTTATCAGTTAGTGTTTGAGTACTGGATTGACTGACATTTACTTACCCTGTTGTTATACTGTCTGTCTGTATGTTTATCAGTCAGTGTGTGAGTACTGGATTGACTGGCATTTACTTACTCTGTTGTTATACTGTCTGTTTGTCTGTTTGTTTATCAGTTAGTGTTTGAGTACTGGATTGACTGACATTTACTCACTCTGTTGTGATAATAGTGTTTGAGGATTGGGTTGGCTGACAAATCCAGCTTCTTATGGCTCTCTCCTCCCTTCATCAAAGAACTGTAAAAGTAATTTTATGTATAAGGAACATTCAGATACCTGGTACAAGCAATACCAAGTGTATCTTATTAAATTGTATTTTCCAAAAATTTTCTGTGATCATCATCTGACTTTTGTATGAAATTTATCAAGCTTAAGAAGCTTTTACATACTGTTATCATAAATAAATCATAAACTTGGTTCTCGATTAAACACAAATATGAAGAACAAGAGGCCCATGGGCCACAACGCTCACCTGAGTAACTTTGGCCTTGCTGTTTTTCACCCGATTTCCCCCTTGTAATACCTATTGTGGCCCCGCCCTACCCCAGGGGTCATGATTTGAACAATTTAGAATCTACACTACCCCAGGATGCTTCCACATAAGTTTCAGCATTTCTGGCCCAGTGGTTCTTGAGAACAAGATTTTTAAAGATATTTTCTACATATTTCAATGTAAAACTTGGATTCCCTATTGTGGCCCCGCCCTACCCCTGGGGGTCATGGTTTTTACAATTTAGAATCTACACTACCCCAGGATGCTTCCACATAAGTTTCAGCTTTTCTGGCCCAGTGGTTCTTGAGAAGAAGATTTTTAAAGATTTTTTCTACATATTTCAATGTAAAACTTGGATTCCCTATTGTGGCCCCGCCCTACCCCCGGGGGTCATGATTTGAACAATTTAAAATCTACACTACCCCAGGATGCTTCCACATAAGTTTCAGCTTTTCTGGCCCAGTGGTTCTTGAGAAGAAGATTTTTAAAGATTTTTTTCTACATTTTTCAATGTAAAACTTGGATTCCCTATTGTGGCCCCGCCCTACCCCCGGGGGTCATGATTTTAACAATTTAGAATCTACACTACCCCAGGATGCTTTCACATAAGTTTCAGCTTTTCTGGCCCAGTGGTTCTTGAGAAGAAGATTTTTTAATGACCCCACCCTTTTTTTGTCTTTTCTTGATTATCTCCCCTTGGAAGGGGGCTTGGCCCTTTATTTTAACAATTTAAACTCCCCTTCACCCAAGGATGCTTTGTACCAAGTTTGGTTAAAATTGGCCCAGTGGTTCTTGAGAAGAAGTTGAAAATGTGAAAAGTTTACAGACGGACGGACGGACAGACAGACGGACGGACGGACGGACAGACGGACGACGGACAACGGGTGATCAGAAAAGCTCACTTGAGCTTTCAGCTCAGGTCAGCTAAAAAAGAGGTCCATAGGCCATAATGCTCACCTGAGTCACTATGGCCCTTCTGTTCTTAACTTGTAGATTTCCCCCCTACCCCTTGGGATCATAAACAAACTTGAATCTACACTACCTGGGGATGCTTCCATATAAATAAGACTAATCGTACCTATGTTGTTCTTGAGAAGAAGATTTTTAAAGATTCTTCCAATGTATCCCCATGTTAAACTTTGATCCCCCACTGTGGCCCCACCCTACCCCTAGGGATCATGATTTGAACATGATTTCCATATAAATATGACTAATCAAGATTTTGCTGTTCTTAAGAGGAAAATTTTTGAACAATTTTCCTATATATTCCTATGTAAAACTTTGATCCCCCATTGTGGCCCCACGCTACCACCAGGGGTCATGATTTGAACAAGCTTGAAGCTATGCAACATTACATGTCAGGAAGCTTTCAAATAAGTTTCATCTTTCCTGGCCCAGTGGTTCTTGAGAAGATCTTTAAAGGACCTCAGCTATTTTTTTTCAATACAGGTGACTCTTGATGGTTGAACTCTGATCTCTTTAAGTTCTCAGTCTCTCAAAGTAAAACCCTGGTCCCAATTTTTTTCTTCTATTTAATTAAGCAGATTTACTCACGATCTGACAAACTTTTGATCTCTCAAAGTTCTTTTATCTCTCAAACGAAGACCTGGTTCCGATACACAGATTTCACTGTTTTCCACTCTTGATATCTCAAAGTGTTGATTGCATACGTACGCCAGTCAAGTGTGTAATTAATTTAGCTAGGAATTACTTGGATAACAGTAAATATCGGGGGCTAGAGTGGATATATTAATTGGGTGTTTACAAAGGTGACACTTCACCCGGGTGTCGTTCAAGTGTCGACAATTAAATAATTGGTTGATTGGTCAATTTCAAAAAACAGATAGCCATTCACTTCTAATTTTGACTGATCAGCCAGAGAGATGATAAATTTGAGAATTAAAGAACAAGGTACGGTTTCAATACATATCTGGCCCTGTATTTTTCTAAAGGATCATTCTCTATAAGGCCGTTTTGCGGCCTACAATGACTTCAAATTTTCAAATAGTATTTTTTCCCTTAAAAACTGCATGAGTCAGTAGGCTAATATTCCAATTTAATGATAAATGTTGATTGGTTAATGATACAAAAGTATTTGTTATGATATAGGGTCACAAAGTAAGGTACTATCGGTCCGTATTAGCATTAGGGTAATGGGAAAACTCAAGAGGGTTGGTGTGTTAGGTAACTCCTACACATGTCATAACCACCTTTAACCAACACCAAAATTTGCATGTAAACTTCTTATGAACATAAAAAGTGACTACCAAATTATCAACTTGGTTAAAGGTGGTTATGACATGTAAATAAAAACTTTTCGCTTCATTTTTACGATATTTGCAGGAAAAGCTAACTACTTACAATGAAGGATATCAGCTTATGTAGATTATTTCTTATTATAAACTTCCACTTAGAGTACATGTTTCTATTGATTTACTAAGAATTAATATAAGCCATGCATGTTTACTCAAAAAAGGAAAACTTTTTACTTAAAAAATCTAAAATCAAAGGACTGAAATGACTGGTTGTTATGAAATTACGTGAATACAAGTCTCATTGAACTATCTGCTAGAAATAAAGAAATTCTTTTATAGACTATAAGACATGAATATAAGTTACTTATTATAATTATATTTTTTATAAGGATAGTTTAGTTTATCTATGCTACTTCTTTGTATTTGTATTTCCTTAGGAGTACTGCATATTTGTTATTAGTTCTAGAAATGATAAAAGCTATTTTTGTTGTAGCGGGAAGATGCATTGGCTATTTGTGTTATAAACTTAATTTTTCTATGGGTACACATGTAACTTTTATAGATAGAGAATTACTGATGGGATGGTTTCATGATGGAAATTCTCGCCTCGACCTTTTAGAAGGACACTTTTCCGTATGAGTGACATAGGATCCATGTATTTTGTTAACTGGGTGTTGAGAGGACTCAATCTATTCATCACACTTCTTTGGTAGCATCAATATAAGTTATGAGAACAGTAGTTCTGTCTTAGAAAATAAAACGCCAAGGAGGAAAGGGGTTCCTAAATGTCACGTGATTGATAATTGAATGTTGCTTTACGTCATTTTAGAATTTTTCACCCAGATAAAGAGATCATCTACTTAAGGTGAAGTGTCACAATTTTGATTTATGCATGGTTTCAGTATTGACCAACACCTACCGTGGGACAGGACCTCCTTCTTTAAGATAATATCCAAGAGACCCATGACTTTTACTTTCAATGCTGAGGACTTAGCAAAGGAACTGTCACTACCCGTGTTAAACACCTTAGTTCTTGACGCAGCACGGAAAGAGAATTTAATTCTCAGGTTTCAAGAGTGCAAAAGGAGTGTCATCTCTTACGGTCCATTTTGTACCTGGGATGTTGTAGAACTCTGTTAGTCCATGGATATACTAAAACTTCTGATATGCGTAGTGGAAGGAACTGTTGAAAATCTACTCCATTTTATGGAGTGCCGTGGGGGGGGGGGGGGGGGGGGGGGGCTCGACTTTTATACATACATTTGTGTATTATAGTTAAGATAGCGACTTTTATACATACATTTGTGTATTATAGTTAAGATAGCATTTTAAATTAAATATATTGTTTTACATGCGTAATTAAATTGAATCAAATCAACTCTTACGATGTTATTTCATTTTACGTCGATATATATATTTTTAATACAACCTTTTGAGTTTTATGTACTGACCATTAAGATGTACTTGCATTAATATTTTCATCCTGTAAATTAATGAATTCTTAATTTTTTTTGCAAATGTAGACTATATTTTATAAATTACAACTTAATTTTGATTTAATCACAAACAAAATTCATTCATTGCTTTAAACATTTGATACACAACTTTTATAGGTCAAAAGAAACTTAGAAATCTCATTTTTTGCATGGGCATTTTATGCGTAAAATAGGTACCACATCTATAGAAACAATACACAAGTATAATATAAACATATATAAAATAATACTTTTAATTAAATGCTATTAAACATTTTTCAACATCGTACGAGGTGCATTTTGTAAAGATTTACATTCAAAATATGCAAAATGTGAATGCATCAAAATTCTTGCCATAAAAAAATATCTTTAGCCTTAAATTAAACAATCTTTGCTTATAATACTTAAATCTGATATGTTTCCGACATAAATAAACAATTTTTGATCATTTACATCTAGAAACATGCATGAAAACTTGATGTAAATAGACCTACCCTCAATTTTTCTTTACTTGACGGCCGTTTGTGATCTTTAAATCACGCAACTTAGGTGATCGATGTTGAAAAACAAACATCAAAATCATGAAATATAATGATTAAAGTTACATAAAATCACATTTTTAAGTGATTTTATCGTAGGCCGGAAAATGGCCTTATAGAGAATCATCCTTTAGAAGTGATGTAAGAAATTTAAATTCATCCTTTCTGAATTATTGAAATTCCTTGCAGTAAGAACATACAAATCGATTTTCCAGTATGACCTCCTAAATGCTAATTGTGACGTCATGAACTTGTGCCTTTTCCCGTATTTTCTTTAAAAGTTGTTGAAGACATCAATTTTTAGTGGAATTTTCTTTCAAAAAACATACAGCGCATGCATCGCCCACAAAGATTTTGATATATGTGATTTTTCAAAGCATTTTACAAAATATATCTAAAAATTGAAGTGGGCGAGAGCTGCGGACACTATTTTCTAAAGGAAAATAAGCACAGAAAATGAGTCATTTTGAGGTTTTTCTGCAAAAAACTTAGAAATGTACCAAATTAATGACCTCATATTTCCAGAATGGTCCTCCTTTATGCCATATTCTTTAATGATTTATCATATTCATCTACTCAACTCATGTTATAGCCAATTTTATAACCTTTTAAGAACATTAAATTTTTAGGGCACAATAAAGCCCAAACCATACCTTCTTCTTTAGTGGCATGTCATAAATTCTCATGAATTACAAACCTTTATTCTATTTCTACACATTTACAGTAAGGAAATCATTGCACAAAATTGCAATCTCAATTACTAAATAGCGATACTAAGCAATCTGGTGTAGGACCTAGCAGGAGATCAGGTGTGCTATTTGTGCCATGCAAATACCATTTGAGCATAGTAATGAAATAAAAAGAAATAAATATTAAAGCTGAAAGATTTTTTTTCTTATTTAATGAAGATAACGATCTTTGTTGTTGAAATTCAGTGAATTACTCGTAATATACAGAAGAAAATGTGCCAGAATACTTCCTTTCAACATAATAGAACCAAAATTGATTGGACCTGAAAATTACGGATTTCTTTCGCCTTTCAATCTCTTAAACCTCTCTATCTCTCTAACTTTTTTAAGGTCCCTTGAACTTTGAGAGATCAAGAGTCATCTTTATTTCATAATTATTTCCCCTTGGAAGAAGGTTTGGTCCTTCATTTGAACAAACTGGAACCCAAGGATACTCTTGCCAAGTTTGGTTGAAATTGACCTAGTGGTTCTGGAGAAGATGAAAATGTGCAAAGTTTTTGATAACATCAACACACGCTAGACAAATTTCAAGCAGGAAAGCTCACTTAAGTCTTTGGTCCAGGTGAGCTAAAAACTGTGGTTGGATCTGCTAGGATTTCCAAAAGGTTAACAAAGTTTATTCCTCAACAAAAATGTCTTGTACATTATTGTTTAAAAGAAGTTTGATCATAATTTATTCATCTTTCATGAAAAAAAAACTTGTTTCCAGTACCAACCTTTGGACATGGAACCAGTGACTAGTGATATCTAATGCCATGCTAAACTGGAAAAACAACATGTACTTTGGGTAGAAGTGACACAGAGCAGCCATTAGACACATAGTGGCACAACGGTCAATAAGCATGTCCAACATGGCTCCTAACTTACTTCCTGTAAAAAAAAAAAAGCAATGACTTGCTAAAACTCAAACTGGAGAATTTGTAGAGGAATACACACTTACATAACCACCGAAACATGGCTGAAATCCTGCTAACTCAACATTAAACAGCAAATAATCACATTTACATAATGAGTTAACTATCACAAAAACTTTTTCAAGTGAACCATTGAAAGCATTTCTCTGTTGTTTCACAAAAAATCTTCATCAACCAGTGAACTGAAGTATTGCTCAAGTGGTTGCATTGTTTTCTAAGTAAAGCTGTAGGATATATTGTTCAAGGAAAAACACTAAGAAGTATGCAGTCCAGTCAATATCGCAAAAATCAGAATCCCAAAATATCCAATCCCAATGACATATGTTTTGTATTGCATGAAATCAAGAGCAGAAATTTTAATTCTTTCTTGAAAAATCAAATTTTAAAAAATTTTGAATGTGGAATTTGCCCAAACTTCATTACTATAAAGGAGTCAACCCTTTACCCTGATCCAGCATTCTGGCTAAGTGGCCGTCAATGGCATCTAAAAGTCCACTCAGTAAATACCAAAATGAGGCACTCCACGGATCTGTCGGCAGGTAATAAAAGGAAATAAAAGCTGTGATGACCCGCAGATAATCTGAAACAGACAATACATAAAAAATATTGCCAGGAGCAGTATATTTAAGACTTATACTATTATAAAACTATGAAAGATATCTTTCCCATCCTCTTCCAAGAGACACCTTGACAGGGATAAGCCCAAAGATGCTTAAGGAGGAGGAATGTAGCAGTCAGGAAAGTCGATATGCTGTTGGTTGGTTTGGTAAAGTACTTGTCCGAGTTCAGGGAGTCAAGATTCAAATCTTGATCTGGTTTGTCATGGTTTGTATCTTCCAATACACTAATAAATGTTTAATTAATAAAGCAGAATTGTACTCAATAGCATGTATACATTGTCATGCAAAACACATCCTCGTGGCTTTGGGGTACTCTTCTTCTTCTGCCAAGAGCTTGAAGACGTTGGTACGGCAGAATGTGATCCTGTACTGGTGTTGGTGTCCCCTTGTTTCCTTGTAGACGTTGGTACAGCAGAATGTGATCCTGTACTGGTGTTGGTGTCCTCTTGTGACTGCTCCTGTTTGGTTGCATTGAAGAGGCAGTTCTATGGCAACTAAGGAAGAGACAACACATTACATCATGTTAGCCTTCACTCTGATTCTTCGTTGACGTAAGCTCTCCCACTCTAGACTTTCAATCATCATTGTGACACTATTAGTGTAGTTATTTGTCACAAACCTGCTGCTCTCCTTTGCACCGCTTCTATTTTGTTAATGTTCTTCTTTGTGTGAGGGTCCCAGACAGTGTATACTTACTGTAGATTCCTAATTATACACGAGGAATTAAGTAACATCACAAGAAGCACTACTCGCAAAATAAAATTACTTGCTTTTATTTTTATGGTGCTGAAATCCATGTAAAATCTCTTGATCAACCATCAATTTACGAATCATTATTCTCGCAATTTCACGTTAAAGAGTCAATTCAAGATGATAAGTACTCATGAAAAATAAGGAATCTACAGTATTCTACCTGGGGTCTGACCAAAGTCTTGTAACATTTGTCCTTGATGTTGCTTGGACAGGACGAGAGGTTCCTCCATAAGAAGACAGTGGTGGTGTTTGCCTTATTACAAACATTATCGATACGATGGTTCCACGGTAGGTTGTTGGAGATGTTGACCCCTAGATACTTGGCTTTTGTGGTAACGGCCAGCTCCTTCCTGTAGATGTAATAGGGGGTAATGCATTGCTTCTGTTTGGTGGTGATACAGATAACCTCACACTTGTCTGGGTTAAAGTTCATTAGCCAGCTTACTTCCTAATTTTTGAGATTTTCAAGGTCAAGTATCTGGAGTTGTCTGGCATCGACCTCTGTAGTGATGGTCCTCAGTCGTCCGCAATCTGGCCTTGGAACAATAGGAACTTGAGGAAGGTAAAACTACTTACTATAGTAACTAATAACTATTTCCCACTATTTTTACCCTACAAACAGCATTTTTTTGTCATCATTTAATGTTAAGAAAGATGTTTGGATATATATGACAGTTCAGTGATGTGATTAAATGATATAATAATATGATATAATAAATTAACAGCACAAAAATATTTTGTTTACAAACAGTATTTTGACATAAATCACAGGCCTCTGAATTTCTATCAATAAGACGTTATATGATTGATCAGAGTGATATATATACCCCCTCTATATATATATAGCGGGGGTATACATATCACTTTGATCAATCATATAACGGCTTATTGATAGAAATTCAGAGGCCTGTGCATAAATAGTATCCTATTTCTCCCCAGAACTAAACTCCATACACTTACCAACTATATTTGGAATAAACAGGAAAATGTTCTCAGCCATTTTTCCCTTACTTCTTTGGCAGAGTTGCTAATGCAGTTTTATTAAGATATGACCAAGCACTCAGTTATTCTCCAGCATGTAATCGATTTTGTTGTCAAACTCTCTCTCGGAACTCCTCGTTTCCGCTTTTGCAAGTGAAAAGACACCGTGCTGATAAAAACGAATACATCCTTCAGGTGCACGAGAAATAAAGATATACAAGTTTTGAATATTTATAAATATTTGCACTCTCTGATGTCATTAACTGTTTCTCGAGTTTTCCCCTGCGTGCGTTTTTCTATTTTCCTCTAAGGGGACGACTTTTAGATTCTGAGGGCAGGGGGAGCTAGAGCTGGAGCTAGTTTTGTCCAGAAATTATATATATAAATAAGCTGTCCGTTAAAAATGCTGAAAATAAATAATCTAGCTATCCTCGATTGGTAAGGTAATAAATAAATGAATACTCTATCCTTGACTGACCTTAACAAGAGTTTTGGATTTGTCCCCCCCCCCCTTTTTTTTTCTTTTTGCTTGTCAGACTTTTTTTTCGATCATCTTGACAAAATGAAAAATGTGAAAATAAATGTAAATAAATAATAAATCTAAGTCACTGGCATGCAAAAAAATAATCTGACCTCCAAAAATTGCCAGCCCCCCCCCCCCTTCAGAATCAAATGTCGTCCCCTAAGTCATTCTTTAAAAAAAGAAAAAAAATACAATGTTCATAGAACATATACAAAACGTTATTAGTGAGTTATTCAATCAAAACTTGATTTAAGTAAAATAAAAGAAATCAAGTTGTGATAACTGATTAAAAACAGAATGAGTCAATCGTTCAAGTCAGTCCCCGATCTAAGTCTTGATGGGAATTTCTATAAAATCCTATGGCATCGAACCCGATGCTTTAACTTAAACATTTAACTTATACATGTATTTAAAAACAAACTTTGATGTGAATGGGTATGGAAATAATGGTGAAACAACTTATAACACTATAAGTAAGGAATATATATTTATATATCGAAAGACTAATAGTAAGCTGATGAATCATAGCCCTACTTTTTGGGAGAAAGACACACCCCATTCCCCTAGAACGTTGTCTTTGATCACCCGCGATTGTGGTTCCGTTCTAGCCCCAGGGGTCATTATTTGAACAAACTACACTCCATGGTGATGTGCTTATGTAAGTTTAACTTCCCATGGGTACTGATTGTTCCCAGTTATTAGCATTTCTGTTTTTGAATTCATAAGAAGCAGGATTTATTCAAAAACTTCTACATGAAAATAAGACGTTTCGTGCTTTGGCCCTCAGTTCAACATTTAGATATATCGACGACGTTTTATCGATTAACAATATTCCGTTTCATTCCTATATGTTTATTCGATATATCCAACTGAACTCAAAATAAAAATCACCACAGAGTCTGACACATCTGTTTAATATTTGGATGTTTTACGAGAGAAAGACATTAACTGATGGCAAACATGGCGCCTTTTCACATATATATATATCTTTGAATGTTTGTTAAATATTGTCTTCAGAATAAGATATTGATATTCACATGAAATATATGGAGATATCGAATCGTATTCAAGCTCAAAAGTTCATTCAAACAATACAGATCAGGAGCAGAGCAAACATGAACCTCTAAAACATCAGAGGTGGGGTCAGGTGCCATGGAGGAGTGAGCATCCCTTGCCAACCGATCACACCCGCCGTGTGCTCCTCGTCATGATCGGGAAATAAGGAAAAAAATCCGTCGACAATTCAGTGTGTGAATAATGGCCTAACAATAAGTATGAAAAACACCAGTCAGCATTTGACTTAATGATAGATTGTACATGTATTTGCTGACATGGTCATTGTATCGACCATAGAACTTACGAAATCATGACGTTAAACAAGACTGTTGATATTCTCGTTTCATCAACTTGTTTGTCAATAACTTACCTCGTTTAGAAATTGTTCATACGTAGAGCTCTTGCGTATCGAACCAACTGAGAGATATAAACCCCATATGTAGGTGATGAGGGTATATTGCTGAAGAAAGGGAAGTTGACGATTGAAAAGTTAAAGACATCACGTTTATCATAAAGCTTTGTTGTTAGATTACCATTAACGTCTTTTTCTATAGTGAAATATCCAAATATGAAACAGATGTGTCAGACTCTGTGGTATCTTTTATTTCAAGCTCACTGGGATATATCGTGTCGACATATGAATGGAAATAGCTATTGTTAATTGATAATAGGTCGTCGATATATCTAAATGTCGAGTTGAAGGCCATAGTAAGGGTTTTCTTTTTCTCATGCTTAAGATTTTGAATAAATTCTGCTTTGTATGAATACAAAAATAGGTCTGCTGATAACGGGGCGCAATTGGTACCGATGGGAATTCCAACAGATTATTGGAAGACCTGGTCTCAAAAATATTGTTTTCATATAAAAACTAATCACAGAAGTTTCTAATATCATGGAATGAACCATATACACCATACAAATCTTTTGTGTACAGAATTCCCGCTTTAATCCAATTTTCAAAATAAATTGGTTTATTTTTATACGTAAAAAGTTTATATTTTTCCAGATTGGTAAAGATAAAAACTTGTCTGTGGATATATTCATTAGATCTTTTTGTAATTTTATATGTATTGAAAGCACAGATTCTTTGTAGAATTTAGGAAGATATTCTAGTTCTTTATAGTCATCTACATGTGTTAGAATAGTTTTTAAAATGTACTCTAGTGACAATGTCTCTTTATAAAATGAATAATTTTAAAAAGATGCAAGACTAGATTATGTTTTTAGTAATCTTGGAATCCAATATGGTTTGGATGCCTGAAATTTATATTCAACATCAATATGTCAATTAATCCCGCTTTCCTTTTCCTTTCCTATAAGTGCATTTCTTTTTATATGGTCTTTACTATTCCAAACAAAGTTAAAAGTTAATCTACTTATTTGTTTAACTTTTTTTCAGGTGGATTAGGCAAAATAGTTGCATTATATTGTAGTTTTGAATAACACAATGGGTTAACTATTTCTTTTTTCCCAAAAATTGTCAACTTTCTCTTTTCCCATGAATCTAATGTTTTAGAAATTTTATCAATTTTATCTTGCCTTTTTTTTTATAAACATACTACTATTTCTTTTTTGTGTCCTACGTATATATATCTAGAGGTTTTACTGGGCCGTTAGTTACCTTTATATCCGCTATTCTGTTACATGATTTTTTAAGGTCCCCAGTAACATGCATTCGATATATCTATGTTTAGATTTGGCCCAGCTACTTTTGAAAATTTATTTATTACTTGAACAATGTGTTTTACAGATTCTATGTCTTTAAGTGGGTTTGTTGAATCGTCCGCATGTTGTAATATTTTAATCTCATTATTAAGTCCAATTTTGAAACCGTGTTTATCCTTCGAGGATTTAACACTAGTATTTCAACTGTTATTATAAATAAGTCCAGGTTATATTGGACAGCCTTAAAAATTGTCGTAACCCGGTGATTTATTATTTTTCATATTTTTGATAGCTTCTTCACATTCCTTCATTGTGGGTATATTCTCACAATAATTTTGTTATAATCTCTTAGTTTTGAGGAATTTTCAGTTTCGGAAATATAGCTTTTCATTTCTTCTTCATATGGGGTTTGAGACGTATAGAGATTTTCATAAAAACTACATAATGTTCCTAAAATTTCATTATTGCTATATACAGAATTTTCCCCTTCAGTTATTTTTTCTATAACATTATTTTGCTGGCGCTTTCGTTCCAAATTTAAGAGGAACGAGGTGCATTTTTCACCATATTTAATCCAGTTAGCTGGGGGGGGGGGGGGGGGGGGAGACAACTAAACTTTATAGTTTAAAATATATTTTATTCAAATCAATGAAATGGATTGAACAGCAGGCATAAATGCCATAAACTTTATGATAAATATTACTACAACTCTATAGTTAACTTCCTTTATTTATGTAGCAATATACTGTACGTGTACATAATTTGGCGAATTCAAAATTTAGCGCAGTCACTGGGTATGGAGTTGTTGGCGAAATCATGAATTACCGCTATACATGTCCGTGCCGTATATTGTATTTATAAATGATTTCTTAGCATTATTCATGAATTAGCGCATCGTTGTCTGCGCCAAAGCCGCTAAAATATGAAGCCCGCTTTTTTAAGTACACATACAGTATACAATTATTACTAGCATATTATGGAGTTTATATGTCTACCAGTTGATTCGATACACATGACCGTGTTCTACGTACGAACAATTTCTCAAATGAGGCATGCTATTGACAAATAAGTTAACGATACAAAGATATCAACAATCTCGTTTAAAATCAACATTTTGCAAATTCCATGGTTGATACATGCAATGACCTTTTTTGCAAATACAGTCTGTCGTTCAGTTAAATGTTGACTGACGTCTTTTATCGTTTACCCGATCACGGCGGGTGTGAACAGTCGACAGGGGAAGCTTGCTCCTCCATGACACCTGATCAAATTTCTGTTTTCAGTGGTTCGTGTTTTCTCTGCTCAGAATTATTCGACTTTAAGAATGGCCACTGTTTGTTATCTTCACATTTCATTTTTCTTGACTGAATAGATTTCAAAACTTTACTGACATTTTTTTATATATATATATACATATATACACGTACATATTCCATGAAAGAGAACAAGAACTCTGCATGCGACACGTGGCAGATCGACTGACGGATAGACACCGATCACTCTTCAACGAGATTATAGAAAGCAAATATGCTTGAAACAAAATAAATTGATCTATTTAAAGTAGGGATGGCAATCGAATACTGCTGATCGGTAAGCCGCAAGACGCTCCGTGTACTATTATTCATGATTATTTTACAAATAATTTCACTCTCAGTATTTTGAAGAGAACAATGTTTTCAAAAACTTTTTAAATACTTATTTCTTATTAACTGGTTGATACGGTCAGAATGTCTTGCGGTTAACCGATTAGCAATTCTGTTTTCAATTGCCATCCCTTCTTTAAATAGATGAAAAATGAATTTAATTTGTTTCAAACATATTTATAAAATATTTGGACAAGGGGAAAAGGGATATAAGGTATTATATATATATATATTTATCATCCTCACGGAAAGTACGAAAAGTTTATTTTTAGAAGCAAATCGGGAATTTTAAGGGGGGAGGGGAAAAGGGTATCTTTTTACACGAAATTTGAGGGCTGGTTACACATCTAGTTTTCAGCAAAGCTCACATAACTCATTCATGATCAAGTATTTTTCACTAAATGTCGTGGAAACTGACGAATTTATCCGTTCCAAGTTATATGAAATGTTCCAAAGCAGTCGTGAAAATTGAAAATTTAAAAATCTGTTGGGGGAGGGAGGGTAGGCCTATGAATTAATTATCAAGATGCATACCTTAAATTCGAGAACTTTTTTTTTTTTCAAATTTCGCGCGCCTGAAACATTCTCGCGATTCCCGAGGTTTGTTCTTGGAGACGAATTTCCAAAATGGCTTCTCGATAAAATGGATAACGACGCCGAAAATGTGGAGGAAAACGAAAAGTATTCATTTCTCCTTGCTTCGGCAATAAGAAACGAAGACCCAGAGCAATTTTTCAGCATTTACGATTCAATATTGCCAAAAAATCTCCCTGACACTCAGGTAAACACACTTTTTATACTCTGAAAGAGAAAATTTACGTCTTGCTGTTCTTCACCTCTCGATAGAAAAAAAAGGAGAGCAAATACTCAAAACAATGAATTTGAATAATGCGGTATTTAATCTGATTTTTTGCTAAATTTTCATATTTATAATTTTTTTACTCAACGTTTAAACAAACGTCGGAACGAGAACAACAAATCGGAGTGATCTCCCTTTCACTGTGAAATTTGCAAACATTTGCGTGGGCCTGACCTGTGTACATATTTATTAGGTGTAGCCGAATAACAAATTGTTAACCCGTAGCCGTACATGACGTGTCTGGAATATTCGTCTTTGTCGTAGAAATATGTTACAACGCCTTTTATAACATAAAAGCGTCCAAAATGACTCCATTTCAGTTGAAACCGTAAGTGCTTAGCTGCAGTGTAAGTAGGGCAAAATTTTCAAGGTAGGCGGCAGTGTATCCAACATGTCTGCACCCATGTTGAAAGCTCTCAAATATGGAGACCACATAATTCTGACCACATGGCCCCACAACAGTTATTTTAAGTCATATTTGTAAAAATTTCAAGAAGTTTATGTAAATGCATGTACAGAAATTTCATGCTGCTAAATTAAGGTCATGGAAAGATGACGCCCCCCCCCCCTTTCCGAATTTGAACAAGTTGTCTATACTGCATGCTTGTTATGAGAAATGTTGGTATTTATGACACCACTTTCATTACAAATGTACATTAAATAAATGGTAATATTAGTATTATAGTATATGTATATATGTATACACAAGACTACTGTAAAACAACAAAGCAATCTTACTATATGTTAGGTTTATTGTAGCCTGTTGCTTTTACTATAAACATGATAAGTGACATAAACAATGAAACAATGTGTACACATAGTTGTCTAGATCTATGATGCATTAATTAGCAGTCATTTGATGTTTAAAAGAGTTACATAGGCAGATAAGATTGACTTTTGCAGAGGAAATTCAGACTAGTACTTGAAATAAAAATTTTGGACAGACTGCACAACAGAATTTTTATTGTGAAGAATATTAACACATTTTTTATGGCTAAGCTTAGCATCAAGAATTAAGTTTTAAGTATATGCAGGGTTGTCCCTAAGACCCGGGGGCCAGGGAATTTCCCTGCCTATTATGTCTTAATCACCCGATTATTCTGGTAACCCCCCTCAACCCAATGTTAGGGGAGGAACTCCAGACCCCTTCTACTTTTTAAATGCCCCCTGTTATTTAAAGTCTTAGGGACAACCCTGATATGCATTTAACTATAAAGTTTATTTTGTAGATAATTGAGGGTAAACAGCCCATCAATGTATTCATTTTTTGTCTTTTTCAGTTAGAGTTGATTAAAAGCAGGGCACGTGATATAGCTGATTATCCAGAAGACGAATTCAGTGCTTTAGTGCTGAGAGCCCGCAACTTTAGCCTGGCAAAGAACAGGGACAAAATGTCCTATGATGTGACTGCCACCGGAATGTATAAAACGGAGGACAGACCATCAAGTGAGGATAATGATGACGACTTAGACAGGGTTCAGCTTCGCCCATTTGGTGGTTGTCCAATGTCATACCAGTCCCCATCTTACAGCAGACGCCAAGAGTCTTGTATCATAGACATGGAACAAGTTGATAAACGCACTGACAATGATTCTGGTATCTGTAATTCTAGTAAGACAACCACCAGTGTGGGCAGTTACTCTGAACATGAGGATAGTGAAGGTGATGAGCGAGGGTGTTTTGACTACTACCCATCTACCGTCAAAATCACACCAACAACAACATATCACCTGGACTATGATGAAGCTCACGAGGTAGATTCTGATAAAAATGACATTGAATCACCGCAGAGTGGTAAAGGCAGTGATAGTGAACCAACATTTCAGGGAGTTCAGATGAGGACTTATTCTCGCCGAACCGTTCCCAATGATGAGGATGACTTTGAAACTGATGATGATAGTGACTCTGATTCCAGAGATCTGCACCAGAGACTCTATGCCAGAAGTGACAGAAAACGTCATCAAAACTACTACACACCAATGACTCGTGAAAGTTGTGAGGATTATGAAAACTTTAGTACCTCAACTTTCTCCTTTGAAAACAGTCAGAGGGCCCTTAAAGAAAGATCGGGGTCTTCCCTACGTGATGTTGACGATCAGATTAATTTTCCTATGTATAGCAGACATTCCCCTTTCATTGGCAGCACTAGTAGTGAACATGTACGAATTGAGAAAAAGAGTTTTCATCGTGGAGAATATGGGAGTGATCCCCCCTTTGGCCAGGGGCTGGACCAGCTTAATAAGGTGGGGAGTTCTATTGGAGAACTGATCTCTAGTACCAAGCACACAGTAGATGGTATGCCTGAGGGACGACGTATTTCACAAAGCCCAGATCTTGCTGCTGAGGATGGAAAAAAGAAGAAGAAAAAGAAAAGAGGTTCTAAAGGTATGTTTTGTATTGCCAATTGTAGAAGCCTGCATCTACATTTTTTGATATAATTTCGTTAATTTGTTTATCATTGCCTTTTTGACAGACTACATAGCTTTTATGTGTAAGCTGCCTTGGTTACAGCTAAACAGATGATATCATAAAACTCGATATCAGTTGCAGTGAATGTGAAAGTTTTATTTTTTGCATAGACAGGGCATTCAGTTCTATTGTAATGTTCAATGACTATCATAGGACCAAAACATTTTCTTTCTGACCAATAAAAAATTCAACACCTGTGTAGGTATAAAAAAAACTTTGTGTTCACTGCCATAACTAAGCAGTAAAAGTGGTACCATAACTAAGCAGTAAAAGTGGTACCAACGACATCCTCACAATGTCAAGGTTTTGTGATTTCGGAACTCCACACAAACCCTTGACATAAGTCGTTATTTAAAAGTTGGGCTTGCGGTTACACATGACATAATGGGTAATTATAAACTAACCAATGAGAATTATTCTTCAAATCTGTCGTTATCAAATTGCTCAACTCAAGAGCATATCTTTTGTGATTGTAAGGAGGACGATCTTCAAAATCCCCGATGTTAATCATTTAAAGTAACTAGTCACAAATTCTACAATTTTGACACTTTCCATTTTAAAATCGAGTCATATTTGTTTCCAAAACTTACCAATAATAAAAGCTGTTTTGTGATTGGTTCCAGTCCTAGACCAGGAACACAGAGCTCCAGATAAGGTGCGTATTTGCAAAAATACGCATTGAATTATACAAAATACGCATTGAAAATTAAAACTGGGCGTACAGTTATGCATTAGCAATCGTAAATAAGCATTACACTACGAAAATACTCGTACGGCGGATTGAATAATACAAGTACGACTTAGCTAATGATATGAATTGAGGTTAGCTCAGTGTTTGATTTTTTTTTCAAAATGAGGTAAATAATTTAAAAGCGTTTCAATAACTAGGACTATTCTATGTTATGGCGACGACGATTTCCAGTTCGGGAGAAAGAATTCAATGATTTAGGTTAAAATCGATTTCTTTATTTAGAAAAACTACGCACTAGGCATAGTTACTTTTAAGCACACAAAAGCTTGTGTCGTCTATGTAAGACGATATTGTAACAAGCGTATAAGTAATAGAAAACAGTGTTAGAAAACAATGGCTAATTGGAGAAAAAAGAGTCCTAGTTGGAGAAAAAAGTTTATACTGTAATGTTATGAAAGAGTACACTATGTGTAAAAAAAAAAAAAAAAAAAAAAAAAAAAAAAAAAAAGCAGTGAAGACCAGATTAAGACCATATCGAAAAAAAACGAGCTCTGCTTAAATTCAAGACCAATTAAATAAACTGCTGTAGAGAGACATTACGCATAATATGTATTTGAATTTAATGATAAAGAGTTCTCTTAGATTCTCTAGAGGTCTCTATGGTTCTTTGTTTAGTAGGACGGTTACACAAGGATTGTACATAACGATTTTATGATGGCTTCATTGACAATTTCTGATTTCTTTCGTTATTTTTTTTTTCTCGATTTACTCTTGACTTGCTACGATATCATCTTAAATGGAGAAAAAAATTATGTGTCTATGGTTACTTTCCCTACTGTATGATCTTCCATGTCAAAAAAAAAGTTTCTCAGGTTTAGCAAAAATCTTGTTGGCATTTTTAAAATTTTATTTAAATAAATCCAGGAACTGCTGTAGTTTTTTCTTTCCTCTTTTAAAATACCTTGATTTCGATAACAAACTCAAAATTACAATAGATTTCAAAACATTAATATATTAAAGAAATACTCTCAAATCATTTTGCTGAATATGAAAATCTGCATTGATTTGAAAATCAGGGAGTAAATACACTTTTGGATTAAAAATTATCTGGAGCTCTGAGGAACAAATGAAATAGTAGTTTTCTAGCCCAACTTTTAAATAGCGACTTATGTCAAGGGTTTGTGTGGAGTTCCGAAATCACAAAACCTTGACATTGTGAGGATGTACCAATGAAGAAATTTCATTTTTTATTGCATCTTTTTTATTCCTTAAGAGTGCATTTAGATTGAACCTTATTACTAGGTGGAATTCACAACCAGTTCATATTCAACATGATGGTAATTCATGGGGTACTTCGTTTCATATGTATTCAAACATGTACTGGAAAGCTATTTTTTAGCCAGCGATTTTTTTTCTATTTACTGGGAATGGATCCGGTACCAATTGGATTGGGAAAAATAGTTTTGAAATAAAACATCAAAACAAAGAGGAATTTTCTGTCATGTCAACAAATGAAATTTATTTTGCATTTATTCTACATGTTCTAACCTCATTACCTATTAATCCACACTTTAAAGAATGATAAAGGAATATTCATTGTTTTACATATTAATGTCCCTTATTTTCACGCTTTCAAGTTGTCAAAAATGTAAGACACTAGCATGACAACGCTGTCAACAACACGCATACTGCCATATTACCACTGACATACATGTTAAAGGGTTTTTATCACACGTGTCTCAAAATTTTTTGATATGACAAAGTTTACATGTTATGAAAATCATATATTTGAAAATCTTTGCTAGAAAATTAATATTGTTGATGTTTCAGCGATTCAAAGTTTGAATTTCTCAATATGCATATTTTGATCGACGATGCTATGCGCCATTGCTCAGATGTCATAGGTGTCAATCCTGGTCCAGCAAAGTACTTATTGTGTATAAAAATGGCTCATTTGTTATGTCTATTAAACCTGTTAGTAAATAAATAAGTGATAATTGGATAATTAACAGCTAGTAAGGTTTAATTTGTGGCTTTAGGATGCACAAATGCGTACAAAAAAGGTTTTAGGAAGACTTTTTTCACATTTCCAGGACTTGGTCGAGAAGTGAAAGGGGTTCCTTTTTTCTGCAATCGCAAGGGCTTTGTCTCCATTCAAAACAATTGTTTATGCCCTATCACAATTTTTTTCTGTATTATAAAATATTTTTAAGGACATGGTATCTTTTTAAAACAGAAAAAATACTCAACACATATTTTTTAAAGTCTCACAGAATGTAGTATATGCTAATACATGTATAGGAATGTTGTGAACTTTGTAATGGAGTATGGCGCCATTAAACACTGTTGAAGAAATGTCATTTCTATTACATGATATTCACTGGAACAGATAGAAGATATATAGGATTTATTTATATATAGTTTATTAAAATAATGAAGAAGTTGAATTTAAAATTCTCGTCTTTATAAATATTTATGGAGTCCAACTTTCTATTTAGTCGGAAGTTCTGAGTTGTCAACGGCTTCGTCTTCGGTGTCCTTTCCTATTGTCGGCATATTTTTCTTGGTTATTTCTCTCATACATAAAAGATTGACCGTCCATAACTAAAAGAATGTCGTCGATGTGAAAATTTCCACCGACCTTAGGCCAAAAAAAATAATAGTCTTGTTTCCTGCTACCAGCCTGAAAAAAATAGGGTAGGTAGGTAGGAAAATTGTTTTATTTTATTTTTAGTTTATTTTATTTTATTTTATTTTTAGTTTATTTTTTTTCGACAACATTTCCTGGATATGAACTAATAAAAGATAAAATTAAACATGTCACAGGTCAATATTGTCTTTCAAAATCAAATTTCATGTCTTTTTATGCACAACTCAAGTGGTACTTTATGAAAGTCCATATTTAAAACAAGAATTTCATGAAATGCTTGTTTTGTGTCAACACGGAAAACAATTACAGTGATAGAACGATGAAATTCCGGAAATTCTCGATTTTTTTTCTTCCAAAACTTAAAAAAAAACTTTAGGGTCAGGTGCCAAAAAATAGGGTAGGACGGGTAGCAGGAAACGAGACTTTTTTTTTTTTTGCCTTATTGTGTAGTGTGTATTTTTTAACGCCAAAATCTATTTGATATTTTTTTTCTTACGATAAGCTTTAGGAGTTCTAATTGACCATTGACACCTATGATGTTTCAGTACCACATGACCCTTATCTAATTAGTGGAGATTTTACTTCGAGAACTCACCTAATTATGACTGTTTTCAAAGTTTTTTCATGATTAAACGATAATTATATGTTTCAAGAATATAATAGTGTTTCATTTTTAAAAAAAAGATAAATATGTGATAAAAACCCTTTAACCTACTATGATTAAAAAGAGGGAGATTCAGACCTCAAAAGAGGTAGCATTGCTTGCGTGGTTTTACGCTTCAGTTTTGAGAAGATATATATATATATATATATATATATATATATATATATATATATATATATATATATATATATATATATATATATATATGTAAATATGGCCTAAAATGACCATTGCAATAATTAAAGTCAAATATCAACTGCAATGAAGTAAACAAAAACATCATTTACATTAATTTTGCAAATAAATGTTTTTCATGCTCTTCACTATAATAGCTTTGAGTGCATGGTTGCTTTAGCCTTTAAAGTGATGTTTTGTTAATATAGCCTGGAAGAAATAATATATAAAGTTCATAAATTTAGTTGCCAAATAGAGTTAGTGATGTCATTATTCATTTCATATCTAACACTAATTCATATTTCATTAAAAAAATTGATTTCACGCGATGACCAAAATCGTAAGAAGGGATGCAAAAAGAGTAAATGAATGCTGATTCCCTTGATTACTTTTATCATCGATGTCAAAAGCTTCCACTCAGCATGCTCAGGTTCTAGAATAGTGTACCTCCCTTTCTCTTGGCTATTGACAAAATTTATCGTAAAAATGCCTTCTCTTAACCAATGTAATCTCACCTGTCGTTGTCAAACACATGCTTTGAAATCTGTTTACGATAAGGCATTTTACGATAAATTTTGTCGACAGCTAAGAAAAAGGGAGATGTAGTATTCTAGAACCTGAGTGGAAGCTTTTAAATTAAAAAATAACCCTGTATACAGTATTCATGTCTACTAAGTTCAATTCATTTTACTAGTGTTATTTTTGTAATAAACATAGAAATTTAAAATGTAAACAAT